TGTCTGGTAGCCTCTTGGATTACAGCAGATATGTTTTGGTATTGGAAGTGACCTCTCCTTTTCAGTCTTTCTTTGGAGATTTACCTAATCATACCACGCCTGAGCTTGGCTCTTGCCTAGGTGAAATCCCACCTCTTCTCTTATCCAAAACTCTGCCAACCACCTGGTGATATTGCTGGTTGAAAAGTTCAAAGGTGCCATGAGAAAGCTTGAATTATTGATGCTGCTTTCCTTCCATATGCCCGTAATCATCCGCTGCTTGGGCACAGCCCAGGAAGAATTGATGTTAGACTCCACAGCTGGAGGCTTGCAAGGGCACTGGAACAGACTCTAGGCTGCGTGGAAACAAGGTACAGGAGAGTGAATATGTCACTGTATGTGTTAATATGACCTGTGGTACGCAGTGCTGAGAAACTCGCTGGAACCAGGACGGACGGTGTAGGTACGTTGAAAAATTACTGTGAAAAATTATAAAGAAGGATCTTGAGGAATTTGTACAGATGAGTGAAAACCAGAAACTGTTAAGAATTAAGTTCCAAGAATTTCCCTTTAAGATTAATGATTGTACCTTTTCCTCTGTGTGAGTTGGGAGAAACTGTGTTTAGGGAAGGTGAGACTTACTTCTCTACTGGTCTTAAAATAACAGCATGAGCTATCCGCTCTTCTTCTTGTCTGTACATTCATGCTGTGTTTCTTAATAGCATTGAGGTTCTCCTTTCTCTGTCATAAAGTATTCTTATTTCTTGTAAAAAGGAATTGGATTGTTCTTTCTCCTGTTGTGATTTAGATGAAGTTGGTATAGTGAAGGGAGTTGAAAAACTGATGAGAAGGATCTTTCACCTGCTCCTGTGTGTCCAGGAGGAAGAAGTCCAGGGCAGTTAATCAAAGCAGGTCTGATGTCAAAGGAATTGTTTATAAGCAGTGATTCATGTTACCATTCCCAGTAATAACAGTGGTGTTACAAAGCAATCTGCTCTAAAACCCTGCCCCAGAAGAATTGTGAACTCTAGATTTTCATGTTCTAACCCAGATTCAGAGTCTGGGGTCCTATCTTTACGGTGAGCCAAACTGAAGTCCTGTGTGTAAGCTCCCTACACATTTGGGCAGCATTCCTGATCTTCCTCCTCATCTAAGTATTTTGTTTTGTGGAAGGCTCTAGTTTTCCAGACACATGACTATCTAGCAGTACTGCATAAAAGCAGGCTTTTAAATTTTTTTTCCTACTGCATTTGGCATTGTAGAGAAGCAGTAACAACTTTAAGCCCCCGGGAGGATAGAATATTAACAACTATTCTCTACTGAGGATTTAGAGTTGAATTCAGCTACCATTAATCTCAGTAACAAAACTCTTTTTGCAGGATTTAGAGATCTAGGCCACTAGTATTGGTGTGCTAAGGAGGGAGGGTGGGCTGAATTAAGGTGACCAGAGACCTACATGTTATATAGAGGACAGTTTAAAGAGAGGGATGAAAGAGGATTTGAGAGAAACTCTGTACTATGCAATATATGTGTCCAAGGTGTTTTGAATAATGTCAACTCTAGACCAGAGTAAAAAAGTAAGTTTAGAGAAAACACTAAAGACTTTGATTGTTGAGGAGCCCTTAACTGTATATAACAGTGCTGTCAGGGCAGCAGCTTTTTGTTCAGCATCAGAGTTGCAACTGGGGAGAAGGGAGATACTGTATATTGCAGTTGCAGAAGATTGTTCTGTAATGTAGAAGGGTACAAAATGGGTAATATGCAAAAAAAAACCAAACCATTTTTGCAATAAACCCATGTGCTTTACATACATCTAGCATGCTTGTTTTAGAGCATCAGCCTTCCTGGACTATGTAAATCTCAAATGTGGTTTTGCTGCCCTCCTTGGGGTGATTAGGGTGAGGCAAACTTTGATTTACTGATTCGTTGTTTACCAATTTGTTCTCAGAGCACTGGAATGTATTTTTATTTTTATTTTTTTTTTTCTTGTTTTTTGTTAAATAACTCATAAGGATGCTTGGACGAGTTTTAGTCTGCAAGAAAGTCAAAAGGTATTCTGAATGGATTTCCATTCAGCAGAGTAGGCTGCCTTCTTGAGGTACTGAATGTTAGAATCCTCATTCTTTGTCAGACTTTATAATAACTAGAAAGCTTTATGCTGAATTGCAATCTTGACTGCATATTCTTCCACCATCCCCGTACCCTAGGGCAAGGAGAGGCCTGTGGATGGAAGCAAGTTGCAACAAACCTTGGCCAGAACTCTTTCGGGCTTGTAGCATGTGTACAATAACCAGCAAGGGTTTACTTTTCATTATGGGGATGAAAGCATTTGTACCACATATTATAGCTAATCCCCTGGCTCCCTCCCGTCTCTCAGGGATTCCCAACTGGTCCTTGTGTGGGTCTTTGCAGTGCCCATTACTGTTGGATATGGCTGTCAAATTGCACTCGGCAACCATGATTACTGAAATGCAGGGTTCAGAGCTGTGAGACAGGTAGATATCACATCCCATAATAGTCCAACATCTGACTGAAGGCTTCCAGATGCTGTATTTCAGCTTTTAAATGAATAACATTTTGTGGAGTTATGATGATGCTAGGAATTAGTAACACAATCTTAACTGCTAGGTCATCTGTTACCTATTGAGAAAAACTGTAAGGCTACGATGGATGAAAGTTTCTCTTCTGCTTATAGAGAATCTATCGAGTTGGCCAAGAAACAAAGAGAAAGAAGGGGCAAAGGGACAGAAGAGTTTAACAGAGAAAGAGGTGAGAGGACAAAACATATAATAGAATTTCCCTGTGTCCTGGTTTGTACCTCACCTGTCACTGACTAATGTAATCTTTAAGGTAGTTAGAAATGCCCTTAACAGGAGGCTTTTTAGCTTTTTTGTTTTAGAAAGATGTTGAAGACTGTTGGCTTTCCTTGCTGTAAGATTTTTTTTTCCTAGTCCCATTCTGCTCTTCCATTCTAACAGGAGGCTTTTAAGCTTTTTTTGTTTTTGAAAGATGTTGAAGACTGTTGGCTTTGCTTGCTGTAAGATGTTTTTTTTTCCTAGTCCCATTCTGCTCTTCCATTCACCTTCAAGTTTTTCTTTCTCTGCTTGATCATTTCCGCACAGTTATGCCCTTACTGTTTGCTGGTTTGGACCTTTGCCTTGAAGTGTTTAGTGACTGGGGAATCAAAACCAGGCTCTGCCATTAGCACTTCATTCAGACAAATGTGTAGAAGTGCAGTCTGGAGCCCAAGTGGTATTTTGGTCTGTCTGAAGCAGCAAGAGGTTGACTCATAAAATAAAGGATCTTTTTAACTGGCAAGGATAGAAGTGATATTTTCTAACAGGCGGAAAGGTCACACTAATCCTTTGGGCACTTTTGCATCCATTATTTCCTGCCTACAATTAGAGGAAAGATAAAGAGACAAGCAATGATGATTAATACTTAGAATACTGAACATTTCCTAGACTGTCAGCTAATAATTATGCACTCAAGAGGAGTTGTGTGGAGATGCTGTTACATAGTTGAGTAGTATGTGCTCTTGAATTCTTGCTCAGTTTAGCCAAATCCTAGAAGGCTTTGAACGGTTGTTCATGGAGCACATCATTCCAAACCAGACCCATCACGCTAAAAGAAAAGATGGAGTGAGGCAATTCCACAGATATTCACTGTGTCTATAGTAGGAGTTCTCTTTGGTGTACAAATGCTTGCCAGGATTTATGCAGTGTGTTTTTGCAGTACAGTTGTGTGTCAACAAAAATCAGTTATAATAATATGAAAATCCTTTTGCTGTGGGCAACTAACATACACTATCCTAAAAAACAAACAAACAAATAAAAAATCTTCTGTCAGTATTTTATGTCAGAAGCAATTCTGAAATGCAGACTCAGACAATGTTAACCTAGTTTCAACTGCTTTTTCCTCCAGAGATTATCAGTTTACATGATTGTATTGTTATTATTGTTGTCTACTCTATTATACTTTATTTCTTCCCTCTTTCTCCTATTCCTTATTAATTCCCTTATTTATTTAGGCTTCTCTCCAGTAAGATTTCAGGAGAACTGTTCAGGGACAGATATTATTTGCTATGAGAGCTAGTTTCCTTGTAAATTTTGCTATTTGAGCTAAACTGTTTTAATGACAGGTCAAATCTTGAGTGTGATCTGTTCATTAATGTCCTTCACTTGCACTGCAGAAAATGTAAAAGGTTATCCCATGGAAAATCAGATACTATTTAACTGTAATTATGATAGATACTTACATTTACCGAATACTTATCTGCTTGTTAAGAGATAAGTGCTCAAATAAAAGGGGCTTATGTTTTTGCATCCTTTCTACTAATTACTTATTAGCTCAACTTGTACAGATGCTAGTACTGCAGTATCCATTCAGCTTGTTCAGTTTGAGGCTTTTTGGGTTTTTTTTTGGTTAACAACCAGTTGTGGTCTTTTCAGTTCTACTCAGTGATACAGCATTTACTCACTATTGTGTATTTTCAACCTGCAAGTCAGTATTTTTCATATAGATCCAACTGTGACTCTGGATACTGAGGAAACTGAGTTACCTACTTACTGTTCATTCATTTGATGTAGATCTTTAGATGTCTTCCTCTCTTCTTAAGCACAAAGAAGCTTATTGGAGAAGTGAAAACTGAAATAAAATGATCATTCTTTCTTAAACTACAGTGTGGCCAAACTTTTGTTAACTGTGGAAAATCATAGGCATTTGTTCAGTTGCCTGTATATGACTGGCCTCTGGCAAGAGTCCTAATAAAAGAAGAAAATAAGAGTGCTTTGTGACAAAATAAAACAGTGATTCCCCTGGAAAAGGACAGTCAGTTTGGCACTCCTCAGCTGCACAGGTATGGTTCTGCCAATGTTTGTTCAGCAATATAGAAATGAGGTAAATTACCGCTTAGGATGAATCTAGCCTCTCTCTGTAGCTTATTTCACAGCAAAATGCACAATGTTTCCTTTCACAGGTGAATTGAGATAAGCCCTTACATACTCCTGAACGCTGCAGAAATGCCTCCTTCCCGATCCAAGACTCGGCACAAAAAGGTTGGAAAAGAGAAAGGTTTGAATTGTGAGAAAAAGGCAAGTTCCCCAGGAGATTCAAAGATCCACTGTGGGAGACAGTGGGAAGGTAAAAGTAAAGGCCAGCTGAAGGGCAAAGAGTCCTTGCCTGAACAAGATAACACCCTTGAAGAGGACCCCTTAAAAAGCCAGAGGTTGGTGGGGCTTCAGGGAAGCAAAGAAAATGACCACAAAAAGTTATTCCGGGGGAAAAGAGCCTACAAGAGAAAGGATAAAAGAGAATCTGGTCCAGGGAGAAAACATGGAGAACAATTAGTGCCCAAGTTAGTGGGGAAAAAAGAAAAAGCCTGCAAGCAACAGGAAATGACATCAGGACGAGAAAGTGAGGACAGCAGCGATAAGGAGGAAAGGGCCATCACAGACAGGAAGAAACATAGTTTTAAAAAGAAGTGTGGAAAGTGCCCTGCTGTTAGTGAAAAGGTCATGGAGTTAGAGTCTGTAAAGTCAATTGCAGTGCAAAGTGTTGAAGGCTCTCTTCAGAAAAATGACTGGCGGCAGAAGGCACACAGGGCCAGGCACAGGGAAAAGCACAATGAGAACCGTGGCTTTAAGGATGCTTCTGAGCACAAGTCAGATTCTCAATCCCAAGGCAGTATGAGACATGGAAAAGGTGAGAGAACTGGGAAAAAACAAGTTGGAAAACGTACCAGGATTATTGTCACTGAAAGTGCAGAAGAAAATATCCTGGAAACCTCAGAAAACTCCTGCTCTGACTCCAGCAGCGAAGTCCATTTGACCAATAAAAAAGGTACAAAAGAGGCTGTAATGGACAGCGCTGCAAGCAGTGAAGAGAAGAGTAGTTCTTCAGAGGAAGATGGCATCAGTGAGAAAGAAGCTGTGCTCAAAGAGCCTCCTGTGGCTGAAGGAAAAGGCTGCAAGGAACTGCTTGATGAAAGCAAGGAAGAATCTAACGAAACTGAAAGGGAGCAGGTGACTGCAGGTGGAAGGAATGAATCTGAGGATGAAGGCACTGACTTTGTAGGATTGGAGGCAGAGGAGAAAATGAAGCAGCAAGATGACATGCCAAAACAACTAAAATCTATTCTAGCTGAGAGGAGTGAGGAAGATGATAATGTAAGCATTTCAGGACTCCAATTTGAAAGTCCTAAGAACAGAGAAAATGGCAATAATGAAGTAGGCAAAAAAAATATGTTAGAAAATGATGAAGTTCAAGATATGTCAAAAGATGTACACGACAATTTGGACAGCAATGGAGAGAACAGCAGTGAAGAGAGCATTGACAAAGGAAAAGAAAATGCAACAAAACAACCACTGCCCAGTGCTGTGAAAGCAAAACTCCACGTTCGCCTTAGCAAAGTACTTCAAGGAACTGAACAGAAAGAGGACATGTATGGTGAAGGCAGCGCACTGAAAGAGAGCCCTTTGCTTTCCAAGAAAGAGAAATCTGGGAGGTGTGAGACTGCAGAACAAGGTAAAGCCGTAGGACATCTACAGAGGAACAGTTCTTCAGATTATAGCAAGAAGGAGTTTGCAGTGATGATGCTTACAAAGAAACGCTCTTCTCAGTCCCAAATCCTTCTCAATCTGAAAAGCAAACGTAAAAATGCTGAGACCAAACCATTAACAAGCTGTAAACCAAATCCTGTCCACATGGCTTTGGAAACCAACTCTGACCTGAAAAATGTTGAAAGCATCTGTTCAAAACCCACGAGTCTAGAAACCCTCAGTACACAGAAAGAACCCAACATAGCTCAGAGTTCTGGAGAGAAAGGATTAAATCTTTCAAATACTTCAAGTTGCTCCACTATTACAAAAAAATCATCTGATAAACAGCTCCTTGGCAAGAAGAAGAAAGTTGGGAAAGTTGTTGGAAAAGTTAAACTGAGTTCAGGCCAGACTTTAGAGGTAAAAAAAGCGAAAGCAGAAGAAGTGGTTGCAGAGGCTGAAGAAGAAAGTATGCATGAAGGGAAAGGATCCAAGTACTTGCACACCCATTCTGCTTTTAGAAAAGTCACCAGCTGGCTTGGCCAAAAACCTGCCAAGAAAGCAAGCCTGAAAGCTCGTCTTCTGAGTGTGGCACGTGCAATTGGTATTTCAAGATGGCTCTGGAAGAAATTTGGGAAGAGGAAGAGGAGCAGCAAACCTTCTGCATTCAGAAGTAGAGTGGCAATCCGGATTGTAAGCACTGCTGGGTGGCTTGGTCGGTCTGGCAGAGCCTTCCCTGGTACAGCTGGACAGCTGGGGGAGGCTGAGTTGAGTGACAAAGAATCTTCTCCTCCATTAGTGGAGGGCAAAGATGGTCCTAAAATGGCAGAGGAAAGAGAAGTGGGACACATTGATTTGCCTTCTGATGATTCTCCTCTTCATGGAAGCAGTTCCTTTCCATACTTACTTAGCTTGGATGAGGAGAAGAACAATGCTACTGATGCCAAGTTTGCTGTGGTATTCCCCAGAGTCCACAGCATGGTTAAGACAAATAGCTCCTTAGCAAGGTGCTCTGGGAATGGTTATTCCCTAGAGAAACTGAGATCCCTATTGGACAGAAAATCTGTGATGCCTGTGCAACAGGGTTGCAGATTCAAATGTGACCTTCCTAGATCTTTGATGGATCAAAGGCCTCAGAAAAACAGTGCACAGGCTTTCCTTCCACATCAAGAAGAGGATCCAATACATACATCAGATTATTCCAGTGAGGTAGATGTCAAAGAGGGTTCAGGTGTCCTCCAGACTGCAGGGTCCATAGTCACACCTGGTGTTCACTGGTCTCAGCAGCAGGCTCAGGGATGTGATCCTGAAGCGTGGCTGAACTCTGAATTGCTACTGCCACGACTAACCATTGAGAACCTAAGCAAATGGGCCATCTACAAGGACCCGCATCTGGCCAACAGCCACATGATGAAGGTCTGCAAGGATCAGTGGGAGGCAGAAGACATCACTGACAATATGCTAGAGATGGAATTCATGCAGAAACAGGTACAGGTGGTGTCTCCAGTACTGAAATGAAACTGAACTTCTCCTGATTTTCAATAATGTATGTATGCATTTCAGGTGTACTTGTGTGAAGACCACTGTGGAGAAGTTGAGGAGATTGAAGATCTGACCAGACTGGAGTATGTGTTGTCAGTGGTATTCTGCAGCTAATTCAAGGTCACAGAGGCTTGCTTGTTATCCTTCAAAGCTGCTGTTGTGTCAACAACAGAAAGCACATTATAGATCCTTGGCTACTGTGTGAGAAAATAGAATTAATTTGATGCATATTATAGCTGAGTAACTGATGCTCCACAGTAAAGCTAATTAAAAAGCTGAATTGCACTGTTTAAGCTCTGGACCTACACTGAATCATGTGGGGAGGAGCACGGTTGCAGAGGGAACTCCTGACTGTTGTGTATAGTGTGTCCCAAAGCTCTGCTGCACAGAGTGCTTATTCAGTCTCTGCAGTCACTCTCCAGAGAGAGCAGCTCATCTTAATTAGCAGATTTTTTTACAGATGCATCCAGGGAACTCTGCCTCTCCTCTTCAATGATTTCCAGTCCTGAAATGGGTTTCAAAAAAACCAAATATACTTGATGGGTGGGAGAAATGAGGTTTACAGACTGATGTGACATCTGTGGTGTTGCAGAGGGACAAAACTGGAAACCTGATGTACCATTCTTGTTGCATGAAGTGGGTGGTAAGTCAGGAAGACTTGCAGGGTTAGAGGTCCATTTCTATGTTGTTTGCCTACTGACATTGGCATCTGTGGCTTTAGTGACTCCTGTTGCCTTCAGATATGGAAAGCTCTGGCCCTACATCTTTAGCAGCTTTTAAATCATGGGTTCAATGCTATTGTTGGGAGAAAAGCATTCAACACTGCTTCTTACACGTCTTGCACCTTCTACCCTTGCCATCCCATTGAGATAAACAGGAGGCTGTGTAAAGGCTGTGTGCAAGGTGTGATCACACAGAGATGGACAGGCAGGATGTTCTGAGCTTTGGCTGCTCTGTTCTCTGATATATTTAATCCTGGACATGTTGGAATCACGTGAAGACAGTTTCAGATCTCAGTCTCCTACAAAATCCTTGGGAGGGAAGAACAGTTAATAGTAACACATGCAAGTGAACCTTATGGCTGACAAGTCCTTTCCTCTGTTTGTAGGGAAGTCTGTGAGAGCTCAGTTCTGCTGTGTCTGAAGAAGAGGTTCCATCGCAATCTTATTTATGTATGGGTGGTAGTGGTTAGTTTGGGTGGGTTTTTTTTGGGGGGGGTGTGTTTGTTTGTTTGGTTTGGTTGTTTTTCAGTGCTCATTCATTCTGAGCAATGAGCTTTAAGAGAAAATAATTTCTATCATTCCATCAAGCTTTAATAATGCACCGAGTAGCTCAAGAGCTTGCTCATTACTAGGAACAACGATAAGAAAGATACTCACACTGCTTTTGCTCAGAAAATGGGTAGCATGAAATATTTCTGGTAAAATCTGAAAGTCCCAGAGTTTCTCTTTAGTTTTGGTACTTGTTGCCAACCCATGAGTAAATTTGGGTTCAGTTTTAGCCTGAGCTGCTCCTAGTGAAATTCTCCTGTCTTAGCAAAGCAGTTCTGAGTAAAAATTGTGGATCTCGAGAAGTAAATGCAGACTCTCTGCAAACATTTCACAGTGTTGCAGTCCAGAGCTACTGCTAAATGCCTAATTGTTCTCTTTTTCATTTACTGGCTCAGGTGTTCATACCTGTGCCTGTAATTTCATATGAAGCTTGGAGAATAGACAGTGACCAGTGAAGATGACCATAGACCAGTGAGTGCCCACTTATCCCAAAATATTAATGATAGAGCTTTGAAAATGACCACTGAAAAATTGTGCTATGCCCTGAATAAGCTGACAGTATAGTCGGAATAGACAGTATTCCTTAGAAAGTTATTTTAATCTTTGTATAAATATATGGGTTCAATTGCATTCCTCATCCAGAAAATTCTAAGAACCCACCAGGTTGTTTTTCCCTTTCTTATTTTTGTACTAGACTTACATTGGACAAATTTTGGTTTCTGTGAATCCTTTCAAAGACCTCAGTATCTACTCTGAAGATGTGGCTGCCCAGTACCACCAAGGGACTCTCTCAAAAAATGCCCCGTATGTTTCTCTTTCTCAAATAACTCCCTAAATTTTGTTCCATTTGTGCTCCAGAAAGTATTTTATTTTCCTCCAGTTGTCTGATGGAGCAGGATGGATGCCACAGAAAGTGAACAATCCCTTTGGCAAAGTTGTAGTTGCTCGGACCTGTAACGCTACAGAGCTAAACTGTTTAGGACCAGTTTCAAACCAGTATTGTTTGAAGATCCTGAATTCAGTGCCTGCTGGGACTGTACCTGAGGGGTTCTGGCAATACGCGCTCCCCACTGCTAACATTGGCACAGCCCTACCAGCCCTAGCAATGTAGTTGGGTTCCTCTAGTGCAGGTAGTACTGCTGGTGTCCCTTACATTAAACACCAGGCCACAGAGCATTACTCAGGTTAGGCTGAAGACGTCCTGGAGGAACCTGAACTTTGCAATAGCTTGTAACAATGGTTTAACCTGATGTCAGCAAAGAACAAAGCTCTGATTTCCCTGGTTCCTAGCATTTCTCAGATCAAGATACTGGCCCACCTCTAGATTTCTCAGATCAAGATACTGGCCCACCTCTAATGTAGATCACTGATGAGTACCATTTTGGTGCTGTATTTGTGAGGTAGAAATGTGAACTCAGTTAATCAGGATTTTTTTTCTGTACATCTAGACACATCTTTGCCATAGCAGAAATGGCCTACACACTATCTCAGTCATCAGAGCAAGAGCAGTGTGTCATCATCAGGTAGGAAGAAGCCTTTTTTGAAGGCTTGTTAATTTCTTTACTTAAGACTTTAATCTTTGTATTTCGCTGTCCATAAGTTTATCGTTTTGGCTCTTGTGTGAAGGCTGTCAGTAGAGAACATAAGATGGATTTTTATTTCACTCTGTACAAATACAGCTGAATTGATCTTCACATCAGTTTGGAGGAGTGGAAGAGAAGGCATTTGACATTTCATAGTGGGATCTTATTTGGGCCTATTTTGTCAGGTTGTCTTGCTTTTTCAAACAATATCTTCATTTGTTGTAAATCATTACAACTCCACTGATTTACTGTAACAGGTCCTCTAAGTTGTCTAAATCAGGTAATTCTGGGTTTACACCAGTTTCTTTACCTCTTGTTCCTCCAGTGGACACAGTGGATCAGGTAAAACAGAAGCTGCCAAAGCAATTGTGCGATACCTGACCATGCTGTACCAGGGATCAGACAGCCACAGGATCAGACAGGTAAGAGGCAGCTGAGATTGGCTTTATGCTGTGATAGTTAGGCAGGGAGTAGAAGCCAAAGACAGGGTAGAGGCCACACTATTTATGTTATTTCTTTGTTCCTGTTTAACTGAACTGGACTTTGGATGGCTTGTGGTTCAAGGTGAAGCTCCGGTAAAGACATGAGGAGAGATGATGTATTTGTTATTCTGTATTTTAGTATCTGGGAGCCCTGATGCTGTATATAGTGCTGTATCCATTTGAACAGAGAGATGATGCCTGCACTAGAGACCTTAAGCAGTGTCTGGGAGGTGAATCTGAACAAACACTGAGCAAAAGTAAAGTGAAAGATCATAGCAGTGAAGGTAAAGAGCTCATAGAGCAGCGCACAAATGGCTAGAGGTAATGATACCAAGATAAATTTAAAAAGTGACTCTTTAGCCAGGCAAGAATTATTTCAGTGGTCTCATTTTTCTTGGGTTTTCAGGCTAAGTTACTTAAATTTGTTTTGTTTTAAAAACCTGTGATTGCTACTAAAGTGTTCCCTCTTTTTTTTCCAAGCCCTGCAATGTCCTACCTATCCTGGAGAGTTTTGGGAATGCCAGAACCATCCTCAATGACAACTCAAGCCGTTTTGGAAAGCTTCTGAATGTCTACATGCAACAGTGAGTTAAAGGAACATCTTGGGATGCTGTCCTCCCCAATTGTCAAGGGTGCTTGAGTGAGAAAATGTCTAGAAATGCTTCCAGCTCACGCAATAGCTCTCCTTCCCCTACACTTTTCTTATCATCAGATAGGAAGAGGGTGAGTTTACACCCCTATTTTGCTTTTAAATTTCCTCCACAAAAGAACAGATCTTCACCTCTCAACATGGGTGATAAATTAAAAACATAAAAATGGCTGAACTCGTTTATACCAAGGAGCCATCTATTACAATGTTGTGTCTCCAACACTGGCCATAAGCATTCACTGAGGCAACAATAAGAACAGGCAAAGCATATATAATTCTTTCCTCTAATAAACAGGCAAAAGGCAAAGCATATATAATTCTTTCCTCTAATATTCTGTTAGCTCTTAACCATTTGCAGCAGCTCTGGAGTTTTTCTGAGACTCTTGTGGTTTTCCAGTTTCCTCTTGGACTCATAGAAACTTCATGCCTCTGCAACAGTCTTTGGCAAGAGTTATACAGGTCTAACCAGTTCTGTGAATAACACCTTTTTTTGTTTTGAACCTGCCTCCTTTCTATTTTCTACTTTCTTTTTTTTTTTTTTTCCTGTTGCCAAGCACCAAGCTGGCATTTTCATGGAACTGTCAATCATAACCCCAAGGTCTCAGTCTGAAGCAGCAACGGTTAACTCAAAGCCTGTCAGTTTATATGTGAAGCAGGGATTACTTTGGCCTGTGTGCATCACTTTACATTTATATACAGTGACATACAGTAGGGATATTCTGACATGAAATGGGTGGGTAAGGTCAGATGGGAAAGTGGTAATGCAACAGCTACAGCTAAAGGGAAGAGACCTGGACTATTTTCAGGACATATTCTGTAAGGATTATTCAAATCCGAGCTCCTTTCTACTCCGGAGGCTGTTCAGAGCCCAAACTTGAATCTGTATGTTTCACAGCTCCTTTCTCTGTAATAGTCTGATACAAAACACCAGTGCTGGAAAACTTCAAAATTCATACCAAGTTGTTTGGGTCATACCCTTGTTTCTCAGCAACAACTCTGCTAAACCCCCAGAGAAATGGATCTACACAAAACCTGTCACTAGCTTCTGACAGCATCTGTTCTTGTCTTATGCTCAGTGGCATCGTGGTGGGAACATCCATCTCCCAGTACCTGCTGGAGAAGTCTCGTGTGGTATTTCAGGTGAGGACCAATGATCCCCTCCCTCTTAGAGGGTTCCTTCTCACCCTTATTCATATTTAATCTTAAATTTACTGTTAAATAACAGGGATGAGAATAAGTATGAGAATCGCTTCCCATTTCTTCCGTTAGCAAGAAATACGCCACCTCTGTATAGTACAAGGTGATCACTTACTTCATTTGAATAAAATAGGAGGTCGCTCTGCCTCACACAGGTTGAATTAAGTGACTTATTAGAGATTACTGGAAGTTAAATCTTTCCTCATCTAATTTTTCTTAATGTCTGGAGTGTGGAAAAGGTCAGATATTGGAGCTGTGTGAAAGAGACTGCTCTCAAATGGAATGTTCTTAAAGTGTCAGTGAGAAACCCTGGAAACTTTTCAAATGAAATCGTTCTTGGGTGGCTTCTGGCCTCCTCTTTTTGACCTCAGAGTTTGTGTCTTTCTGTTCGTGGCAGTATGTATGCTGTAGGGTTTTAGAACTGGGTATGAGTCAATTCTATGAACTGTGTCCCCATCAGGCCCACGGTGAGAGGAACTACCATGTGTTTTATGAGCTACTGGCTGGGCTGCCTGCGGAGCAGAAAGAGGAGTTGTACTTGCAAGAGGCAGAGTCTTACTTTTACCTGAATCAGGTGAGTGAGGTGAGGATGTTCTGCAGCAGCTGATAGAGTGAAATGGCCAAGACATCACTTCTGTTTGGTCAGTGAGGCACCTGGTAACTTTGCTTCCCTCACAGAACTATGCTAAAATCTGCTCTGCTCTTTCTCACACCTGACCTAAGAAGGACTACCTTAGTCTCTTGTGTGATCTTTTTCTCACCTTTTAGGCCCCTTGTGCTCCCAAAGAAAGCCTTTTAAAAAAGGAGTCATTGTGTAGGCCCATGGCTCCACCATGTGGTGAAGAAATCCTTTTCTCGTTGCCTTTCCTTGGATTTGCAATTTATTGTGGGACTGAAAAGAGCAGGAGGTATTCCTTTCTACCTTTAGCAAAATACTTGCTTCATTGAGTCAGTGGGTAGAAATTTTAAGCCCCTGAAATGTACTACTGGTTACAATTGATTTAAATTGAAAAATTGTTTGCCAAACTTATGACAAGCCATCACCTTGGAGCACAGTATCTTTTGTTTAAGAATGTTTTCCATATTCTAGGAGTTCAGAAGCAATAGCAAGATATCTTTCCTATTTCAGTTGTGTGGGTCAGCTTTCCCGGGTGGGCGAACTCTTTACAGCAGCTGTGCTCATGCCAGAATTCCTTGAGGAATGATTGCTATCATCTTTCCTTCAGGCAAGGAATGGACAAGTACCGTTAATGACTCAAGGATGGAGGGCAATTAAGGGCCCATCCCTTAATGGGGTTATGTTCCTATTTGGCAAAGTATCTGCATTGTAAAGTAAACTCTTCAAGGTGATAGTTATCAGGAGTGTCCCAGCCTGCTGCAGAGAAGAAAAGGGGAAAAAAATCAGATCATGGGTAAAGAAGTTAGCAGAAACTGACAAAATCTCTGTTGGATCTTGGTCTCAGCAAGAAGGAGCCCAAGGGCTGCCTGGACCTCATTCTTGTCCTCATCTGAATCTGACAATCAGCTGGAAACTTTTGTCAAAGAATGCCCTTGTACACAAAAAGGTTCTACCCCTTAAACCAGAATTTAATGAACTTTAGGGTCACAGGCAGTTAAGAGTGTCCTCTTGTAGAGAAAACCACAAGAAGAATAAGAGTAATACACCTAAGTTTTAGTGAAGCTTTGTGGCAGAGGTGAGTGGGACTGTAACCCAGGATGGCTCTTTGGGTGCACAGAAACCCATTTGCTTTTAGACGTTGGGTTCTGGTACCATTTGGAGCAGCAACTCTGACATGACTTACTTGGGAGTAGCTTCTGGCATCCCTTCTTCTCTCAAGCTGCAGTCCAGCAGTGGGCAATGGGGAGCTGGAGTGCCTGTGTTGGAACCATGATAAAAACTTACCATGTGTGGGCAAGAGAGATCTTATTCTCAATAACTTCAGAGAGAAGAGAGACTGATCTGTCATGAATGCTGAGCTCCCACTAGTGGTGTCTTTGGTCTTTTTAGTTTAGATTCTTCCAGTCCTTAAAACATTGAACCCCTCCTCTGAAGATTGCTGCTAATAGCTCATCCCTAGCCTGGGGCAAAGGGGCTGACCACGATTATCTGTCCCTATTCTCTCAGGGCAGAGCATGTGACATCCTGGGGAAAGAGGACAGTCAGGACTTTCTGGTCTTGGTGCAAGCTCTGGAGGGCATCAGTCTCTCGGCCGATCAGCTGACCTCCACCTGGGCTGTCCTGGCTGCCATTCTGCAACTGGGGAATATCTGCTTTATCTCCTATGAGGTACATTAACCCTTGGCAGCTTGGGAATGGACTGTTTGTGCTAAACATTGCTGTTATCCCATGTGATGGGACCAGGGATGTTATTCTTGACTGAAGATGATCCTTTGAAGACTATTCTGTTCTTTTGATATTATGCTCTAGACTGACCTAGGCAGGGACAGAAGATGGGAGGCAACCAAGGGTCTTTAGAGCTTGAGTGGGTCTTTGAGGAGCCAAAATGAACCTAATTGCTGGTGTTTTGGCCAGTGCAACTGAAGTGCCATTTCAAATGTTAATACTAGTGGAACTTAGCATCCCAACCACAGTTGAATCTGTTGTTCTCCGTTATTTAGAAAGAATCCTATGAACATGCAGCCATCGCCAGTGACACTGAGATTCAGATTGTGGCCAATTTGTTGCGCATCTCAGCAGACTACCTGCAGAGTGCTATCACTCACCGTGTCACTGTAAGTACCTTTATAGTGATTTCTCATCCTGGAGTGTCCTAGCCCAGTGCTCTGTCAGCAGAAGGGCCACCACCTTAGGAGGTACAAATATGGGAAGTAACAGCAGGACTTAAAATGGTTGCTGTGCCCTCAAGGCAGCTCTGTAAAGGTGGCAGAACTCACATCTAGGAGGGCTTTTTTCTAACATGAGGGGGCTTCAGGCTTAACACGTTGGTCAGCTGACTCCCACCCTGATATGTGGCAGCAAAATTCTGTTTTTACTTTTGTCTTTGATACCTGGGTAAATTCTCATGCCAAATTGAAGAAAAAAGAAAATATCCATTTATCCAGGCTGACTTCCTTGCAGATTTAAGACAATATGTGTATTTGTCAGATAATAACAGTAAGTTCCAGCTCTTTATGTATCCAGGTGACATCTTATGATCGGATCTTCACCCCTCTGTCTGTAGAAGGAGCCATAGATGCCAGGTGACTTCTGCCGTTGATGTCTGGGCTGGTGAGATGCACCCAAGGCTGCTGACTTTGCAGTAACTGATTTCACTCCCCTCTCCTACTCAGGGACTCCATTGCCAAGACTCTCTATTACCTGCTTTTTGAGTGGGTGCTGCTGAGAATCAATGAGTGGTTGGCTCCCTGGGAATCAGACTGTGCCATGGGCATTGTGGACATACATGGCTTTGAGGTTGCTTTTCCTGTTCTTGGGATATTATCTGGGCTCTAAATGCATGTGCTGATTCTCCTTGGTCACTGCCAGAAATGGGAAGGGATCTGTTGGGTACTTACACAGATGGGAGTGTGCATGCATCTAGGAGTAGATCTCTTCTTCTTTGTGCTCCTTCACAGCTTGTCTTGCCTCTTCCTGTTCAGCCTCGTCAATATACCAGACTGAGAGCTTGCAAACCAGTCATAAGATGATTTTAATTTCTCAGGTTTGTTCATATTTACTGATCAGAATGAGCTGCCTGAATCAGCAGCTGAGTGCAGCACAGCAGTGCATTAAGATGATTTTAATTTCTCAGGTTTGTTCATATTTACTGATCAGAACGAGCTCCCCGAACCAGCAGCTGAGTGCAGCACAGCAGTGCATTATGCACAAGGAGACAGGGCCTCTTGGAAGGTCTGTGTGTTGGAAGTGATGGTGCCTTCTTGCCTTTGCAGGATCTAGGAGTGAACAGCTTAGAGCAGCTCTGCATCAACTTTGCCAATGAGCATCTCCAGTGTTTTTTCAGCCAGACTGTTATTGCCCAGGAAGAGGTAAATGGAACTCAATGCCAGCAGGTGGAAGGCAGCCCATATGGAATGAGCTGAGGCAGCCTCAGCTGGAGAGTATTATTTAGAGGGGAAGCAGGAAGCTGAATAGACCTGGCCCCTTAAGCAGTGCCCATGGAATCCTAGTCCAAAGAGCTGGCTACTTAATATCTTTTACTAATTCTGTAGTAAATTAAGGAAAAGGGAGTTTGTTAGTGCCTTGCTTCCTTTTATGGATTTTATATGTGAGCTGGTCAGGACCAAGGACCCCAGACCTCAGCTGATACTTTTCAAGCCTGTTTGGTCGATTCATTATAGCATTTTATGTACCCCTCATGTCCTGGACGTGAAAGTGCATTTATCAGACTTGCTGCCTTTTACAGTTCACTTTATCACTCTGCTCTAGCAGCCTTCCTCTCTTAAATTAAGAAAATCATTAGTGGTTTCAGAAGTAGTTTCATAAGACAAAATCAGACAATTCTTGGGAAGTTCCTAGCAGCAGTGAAACACTAACTTTCTGGTGAACAAACCAAACCCCTCTGTTAACTCCCTCTACTTAGTCTTGTTTGCATGACTGGATTTGACTGCTTGGTCTTTAACATGCAGGAGGAATATAGACAAGAGCAGTTAGATTGGATTCCTATTTCCAAGATGTACAGTGAGTCATGCCTAGATTTCATTGCTGCAAAACCCCATGGCATCTTGCGTATCCTGGATGACCAGACTTCACTGACTCAGGTGAGAAGCTCTTACCCTCTTATGTGATCCCTTTCACAGGATGCTTGTGGCGAGGCAGTTACAGAGACTGTTTTTGCACAAGTATAGATGTTTTTGCCTTTGCTTCAACAGCAGCTTTTCAGCCTGCTGGATAAGTTGTCATCTCCTTTACAGGCCACTGACCACACTTTCCTCCAGAAGTGTCATTATCATCATGGAGACAGTCCTTGGTATGTCAAGCCCAAGTTGCCTTTGCCAGTCTTCACTGTGAAGCACTATGCAGGCCCTGTCACCTATCAGGTGAGCTGGCTCGGGGCTCTGAGCAGTTGGAGCAATAGGCCAACTTGGAAACATGCTGTGGATGTCCCGATGGATCAGCCCTGTGTGTTGTGAACAAAGCCCTCTCTTTGTAACTGCACATTCCTCTAGAGCATCCATTTATCAGAAACAAGGATATTCTTATTAGGAGAGGCAACTAAGCTGCCTCTGGCCAGAAGCAAAATAGGCAATGGCCTCAGCTACACAACATTGCTTGTCCCAGAGCCCTGGAAATCCAGGAAAGCTGTTGCTGCTGAAAGAAGGTGAGGGGTCCAAGCCTGCTGGGTAATGTGAAAGGGAAATGGAGCAATATATCCTAAAAGCAGAAGTCATTATCCCCTCCACTCCTGATGGCAGCAAGAACAGCAAGCTTCATTCTCTAGGGCTTTCCCCTTGTTCCACCTCTCCAGCTGTCTGCCTCAAGTCAAGGTGTGTTCAAGAGGGTTGTTTGCCTGTCTGGTGGTCTTGAATGGTGCATTAAATCAGACTTTGCCTCTGCAGGTCCACAAGTTCCTTAATAAAAACCGTGACCAGCTGCGTCCAGAGGTGCTGGATATCTTCTCTCAGAGCCACCTCAAGGTACTGTAGTGGTTCAGGATGAAGATCTTTGTTGCAGACAACTAACGAGCCACTCATTGCTTTCATGTGAGAAGCAGAAAAATCCTGGTCAGGTGTCAGGAGAACCTGGAGAAACTGTGAGGAGTTTTGCTCTACTGAAGGACAATTGGGAATTAAGAAACTCATATTTGCTTGCAGTTGATGCATTTTATATATAAACCACACAGATTGCCTGAGGATGCATCTGTGTTCCTGGCACTGCAAGGGGCAAGGGAAAATGGTCTCCCACCCAGTTTCAGGTAGAAGAGATTATTCTTTCTGTGTAATTCCGGGAACTTTGGTCATTTTCTTTTGTTTTTCCAGGTGGTGTCTCACATTTTCCAGAAGGCTAAGGCTGCCTACAGTCAGCAAAGGGAGCTGGGAACCAGAGGCAAAGGGCTCAAGCCTCAGGCCTTCACACTGGTGTCCAGATTCCAGCAGTCTTTGCAGGACCTCACAGCCAAGCTGAGAAGGTGGGAGATACTGTTCTGGTGCCATCCCTGCACTGGGCTGATTGCTGCACCCAGAACTATGTGAAGACTTCCCAGGTCAGCACAGAGAGGATGGTCAAAGGTTCTTCCTTCTGTTTTACAGGAGCCACGCCTTCTTCATTCGGTGCATCACCCCTAATCCCAAAAAGGTATGGCAGCACCCTGAGCTCCTTATGGAGTCCCTCAATTTCTTAAAGCCCTCTCCTCTCCAGCAGCTCTCCTTTTGCAGTTGGGGCTTAGACATGTGAGCTGACCATGTTCTGGAGGAGCCAGTGTCAATTGTACACCAAAGAATGTGTTGGGTTTTGTGTTCCAATGTCCATAGATGATGGCAAAATCTAACCCAAGGGCAGGACAGTAGAAGGAGAACCTTTCAAAACTCTGCCTTCTTTCTATTTTCTTTCTTTCTTTATGTCGTGTTTTACGTTTTTCTTCTGCCTTATATTCACAGCTGTCAAATATTTTTGATGTGGAGTATGTCACTTGTCAGCTGCGACATTCTGGGATACTGGAGGCAATCCACATTAGAAAGGAGGGATACCCAGTCCGTCTTCCATTCCGGAACTTCCTGGCCAGGTACAGTGGTTTACTGGCTTGGGATTCTCCAGCCACTCAAAGCCTGGATCAACTTGTCAGCACATTGTAATTTGTTCTCCGAAGACTCCAGACAGCCCTGGCTTTCATCATTTCAACATCTCGTCTTCCAGGTATGGCCTCCTGGCTGGGCGAAGGCACAACTGCTTGGAGGAGAGAGAGGGCTGTGTGGCTGTGCTGTCTCGTGTGGTGGGGAACCCCTCAGATCTCTATCAGATTGGAGTAACAAAGGTGATACCTAGAGAGAACCTCATCTTAATTGCACAGTCCCAGCCATCTGGGGACTTTTGGGGACTGGCTTTCAATGGACAGAGAGCAGCTTGGCTCTGCTCAAAGAGGGAGGGCATGGCCTCCTTTTGTTTTGCTTCTTTTCTCAAGTAAGAAGGAGGGATTTTTAGCATTTCAGATAAAGAAACAGTAGACTCTTGGCTCCAGGCGTGGCCAGCTCCTTTGTCTACTCAGCATTCCTTGATGGAAATCTGGGCTTCTGCCTTTCCTGCCTACTAAACTTAACCACTCCCTGGTTCCCTGTCCTCCACAAATGCATCCATCTCTGTCACCTCCTGCCCTCCCCAATTAAGGGAGTGCAGTTTCCTTAGCAGGGAGCCTTAAATGCTACAAAGAGATAAACCAGCTTTTGTTATCGATCAACTCTTAGACAGGCTGGCTGTTTTCCTTGTGGGTTACAGCTGTTCCCTTTGCCCAGGTCTTTTTGAAAGAGAAGGCCAGGCAGCTTCTGGAGAGACGATGGAGCCAGAGGCAGACTTGGGCTATTGTTACCCTGCAAAGGAACTTCCGATGCCGCCTTCGCCGCAGACGCCTCCGTGTCCTCCATGAGAAAGCCACAATCATTCAGGCTTACTTCCGAGGTTACCAGGCAAGGTCAGGAAGTTAATGGCCAGACAAGGAGCAGCTCTTTGTCCTTGCCTAGGACAGCAAGGTGGAGATGTGCCTGACCATGACCCTCCTCCTGTTGGCTCCTGGCTGGCTCTGCTGGGGAGGATCCCGTTACTGGAATGGTGGAGGAGGGACTTCCCAGTCTGGTCCCAATGCTAAGCAGAGGTTCCAGGGGAAATACAGCTGCTGTCAAAACTGTTATAATAACTTGCCTGTGCTAAGGTTGATACTGTGATAGCTAGAGTAAAGGATATAGGGAAAATATCCTAAGGAGGACCAGGCTTAACACAGAAAGACCAAATTCTGACTGGCTGTTTGTATTAATGTTCTATGTGGCTCATACCCTCTAATTGAGTCCACTGTCTGCCTAAATTTTGTGGATGTTTCCCTCATTAACAGTCCTTTTCACATCCTACTAGGAAGCGTTACAGGAGGCTGAAGAAGACTTTGGTGCAATTTAATACCATGATTTTAATCTCCAGACCTGTGATTCAAAGGAGAAAGTACTTTCAGGTAACAACACTTCTCAGGACCAGGTGATCTGCAGGAGCTATTTCTGCCCAAGGTAGAGAGACCTGGTGACTGGTTGAGGCCAGGGCAAATGGGTTGAATGCATTTTGCACAAGCTATTAAAAAGAAAATTGAAAACAGGAAACCTGACCACTAGTCCTTAGAGTAGCAACCAACATCACAATAGCTGTCAGCTTCATGAGGGAGAGAGTACACCTGCTGGCATTACTGGCAAAGGATGGGGTAGAGAGTTAAGGTCAGTGTTGTTGGGAGACTGCAGAGGTTCCTTTTGCCCTGCCACACCCAGAGCAGTGCGTGTTTCTGTTCCTTTTCCTGCTCCTTCCTACTTGGACAGGATCCAGCTTTCCTTTCTCCCAGGTAACCACAACAGCACAGCTCTTTTGAATCTGTTTCTGTTCTTCCAGTGTTTACTTGCTGAGGTCTCTGTACATGCAGTAGCAACAATAAAGGTCCCAAAGTTCACCTGCTGCAAAGTTCCTCCTTTCCCTCGCCCCACAGCTCTGCCCTTTGGACTTTAGCATGCCTACTGTCTTTCTCAGCCCAACCCTCATAACCTCCCATCTAGTCACACCGTTCTGCAATACAGACAAGCAGGAGAGAGAGAGAGGGAGAGACCCTCCTTTTCCATCTCAGCGTAGGAGTCAGGTGAGTGGTGAGGCTGGGGAACAATAGAATAGTTGGGAAAGGGCAGAGCTGCAAGGGAGTTTGGCTTTTGATATCCCTGCCATCCCAGGTAAAGGGGTACCTCTCCGTGGACAAGTTTGTCTGCCCATGTTCAGGCTGCATTACTGTGTTCTTTCATCCTGGGGGAGGCAGATGAACATTTCTGACAGTTTCTGTGTGCTTTTGTCCTGAGACACATCAAATGGCTGACAAGGGAAGAGAGGTGTGGCAGGGATGCTGGGCAGGTGGTGAAGGCTCTTGGTGTTGGATCATGTTGTGCAGGGCAGGTGGTGTTTCAGTGAAGCTTAGGGCTTTGCCTGGGCAAGCCCTTCTCAATACACTGTGTGGAGCCCCAAGAAGGCTCTGCAACTGTTCTGTCATTTTATCTGCTGAAGCAGGACCCCAGCTCCTGCTTATCTGCAGAGCCTGTCTGCAGAAGGAGCTGGAAGGAACCTCATATAGATCTTTTCTCACCCCTATTCCCCTTTCATCTCTTAACAGAAGGAGTTAGAGGAAAGGAAACAAAGGAGGTCATTCCTGGCCAGTGGTGACACAGAGAACAGTCCCAACCAAGGAATGGTAAGTTGTCAAACAGTCTGGGAGGGTCTGAGATAAAACAAGCCAGATTCTCGGTGTTTTCCTCCTCCCCTGTGCCCCCTCAGCCTGGGTTTGCTGGGGAACAGCAAAATATCGGGAGAGTGTACAGATCCCACAGGTATTCTGGAAACCCAGCAGCAAAAATGCAGTTTAGCCTGGTATAAAGAGCCTTCTAATACATAACTGTCTTATTTTTTTCAGTGTTTTCCAGTCTCTGGGCATAGTCAGGCATCATAAAGTGGTCCAGAGGCAGAGTACTGTATTAGTTCACATCACTGGACCTGTTCTTTGCAACTATTTTTGATAATCATGTTCTGTTGTGAAGAGCAAGAATGAGGCAGTTCTGTACAGATATATTTATAGATGATGTTGTAGAGGAAGAGAGGTATTAAAGCATTCATAACAGATTAACTGCATAGTCTACAGGGTGTTTAAGCTGTATCAGCTACTGTAAGTAACACTGCTAACTAATGTCATTATTTGTATGTTTAGATTGGGCATACATTTGCTATAGTGTATGTAGCAAGGAAATATGAATTTACATCATCCGCAGTTTTGCACAGATTTGTCAGTAACAACAACAGGAGTACTTATCATTGGGTGCTCTTTTATTATCACCTGATTCCTTGGGTGTGGATTCGGGATTGTGGAATTTCACAGTCCACTTCCAGAATATGCCGTTGAAAAACTAGATTTAAAGTCAAATCTTATTGTGAGTAAAATCAAACTGACCAAAAAAGCTGTGAGTCTATCTTTAAGCATTGCTGAGAGTTTATGTGGAAAGAGATGTCAGAATGGTGTGCTGGTAAGGAGAGGCTTTTCTATGCAGATCTTAAAAAAACAAAAAGCAAAAAAGCCGAAAGCTCAGGCTTTCTGCCTTTGGCTTGGTTTCACAGTGTCTTAATCTGAGCAGTCCTGACTGAAACACCCTGAACTACGTTATATGCAGACATTGACGCTGATACACTGTGTTGCCTTGGCCCATTTACTTCCTACCTTGCACAAATGCGTGCATCATGTGGCAAGAAATCAAGGTTCTCTGGCCAGATTGTCATCTGAATTATCTAGATGTCTAGATAATCTGTCATCTGAGTTTCCCTAGGAATCCCCAGAAGAATGGCCTGCATCAAAGATTAAAATCGGGTCTCTATTTATGCTATAGCACTCTTGGATACAGAAAGATAATAAAAAAGGCAGAAAAAGGAGCAGAAGGAAATGGCCTTTACCCTTCAACCACAATCTCTTCTGTACAATATGCCAAACTTGTTAGTAACGAGAGATGAGTCAAAGCAAGTTGATTTTCTTGTCGCTTCCCCCTGTGGCAGTTGATTTTTTTTTTTGGAATTACTCACCTTTCTCTCATCTCTTGTTTGCTGACCCATGTCATGTACCCATGTTACTGCCACTTCCCTATTTGTAATGTTTCTGAATGTTGCGTAGGCAGAAATTACTGGTTTTGCTCAGATGTTCAATCCTTGTTCTGGCCAGCTTTTCAAAGGCAGCTTTACCTAGTCTCAACAGAACAGCTCAGGGTTTATTTGTTGTTTCACTTCTGGTACCCCAGTGACTGACTTGTTCACTCTCTCCCCAGGATGTGGGACTGCTGGAGATCCCTGCAGAGCTTGCTGCCCTCCTGCACTTAGCTGAAGGTGGGAAATCCTCCCTTTTTCCCTTCTTTTCCTGCGCTGTTTTACTTTACTGGGTTTTTTCTTATTTTCTAGTAGTTTAATTACATGCTTGTTCTGCCTGCTCTCTGTCACCTGGGTTGTATCTGATTTATTACTATTGCAGTGTAAATATGATAAAGGCAAATGGTGTCACGTATATTGTTTCCCAACACGACAGGGTGGAAAGGTGAATCGGGCCACTAAGCAGGACACCAGATTAAAACTCAGTGTCTTTGTTACCTTTTCAGCTCTTCTTTTGAACTGTGCTGTTAGAACTGATGACAATGATGGTGCAAAATGTTTCGGTCAAAGCTGTGTGACAGCAAACTGTTTAATGAACTCAGGTGCCTTGCAGAGCTGGATATCTGAGGAGTAAGAACTTAAACCCATCTGTTTTCAGCTCAAAAATCTTTAAAGAAATTGAAGGTGAAGAAGTCAAAACTACAAATTTTGCACTTTCAGAGAAATATTTTTGGTTTTTCATTAAAAATTACTTCAATTACTTCTTCAAAGTAATTACTTATTTTAAAATAGAAGCAGGTAGAAACAATGTAACAACTTAAGGATGAAACAATGTAACAATTAAAGGAAACATTTTGATTGGGATGGAAAGTTGTTTAGGTTTTTTTTTTTTGTTTTCAAATCACCAAAATACCACGGACCAAAATAACTTCCCAAGTTATTGACCTGATTTTGACCATTAAGTTATTTGCAGTTTTGTTTCCTCTGTAACTTTTTGTACAACGTTTATAGTTAAGTTGCAAATGGCAGGATTTGCCTCTTTATTTTGGTATAGCATCTAAGAAAACAACAGCTGCATCTTTGGCCTTCTGCATAGTTCAGTAAAAGATACAATCAGGCAGAAGAGTCTTGTGAATTGGAGCAGACTGTGCTGGATTCCCAAATACTTCATACTTGGGAGCATATCCTTCTAGGGACTGTCGGCTGGTCTAGTGAGCAATGTCACTTGGAGCTCAGGGGACAAACCACACTGAAACTGCTGGAAATGAAAGCTGATGGGATGTAAACAGGGAGGAAGAGGAGAGCATCAGGGGACACATTGGTTTGAAGAGAGAGGAAGCACAGAAACTGTACTGCATTGAGAAATCTTTTCATTTAGGAAGATGTTTGCTTCTCTATTATTTATGATAAATCCCTCATCCAGTGCCGCCTCACAAAGACCTCTCATTTACCGAATGGTTGTCAGGGCTATCTCCACATAAGCTCTGTGTTTCCTGCCTGCTAAACTCTGCGTAACAGAATTGAAAACTCCAGGTGTTGACTGTCACCTGGGTGTTACACAGGGGTATGAGTCTGAAAGATCAGAGCTGTAAAAGCTCTCTCCTGAAGTTAGGCCTTGGGGTCTCAAGGAAATGAGGATGTGCCTGCTTGGGGATCTGAGTGTGGTCTGGGTGTCCCTGGAGCCCAGCGTGTTGGTGTAGGGCCTCAGGCAAGGTTACATGCGTGTTAGCCAGGGGGGTTGGATGTGTTCTGGCTGCCTTTCCAACTACTACAACAGAGACCTCTTTTTGTTGCAGGTCAATACCGAGCACAGACCAACCACATAACAGAGACATTGCCTCCAGAAGTCAAGGTCAAAGGTGACCTTTCCCTCCCATCCACCATCAATAGCTATCCTTTCTCCTCCTTCATTACATCACACTTCCAGGTGGGAACTCTTTTTATATCTCTTCATTGCTTCCCCACTGGGAAGACACACAAGTTCTAGTAAAACTCTGCATTTCTGTCCTTTTGTTTCTTTGTAGAAGGCAGATTTCCCTGCCCCTGGTCAGCTTCTGCAGCACCCCTTAACCCGTCTGGATGCTAAATACCAGGAGAGCGCGCTTGAGATCAACAAACTGGTAAGAGATGTCTTTCTGACCAGGGCCTTGTTGACGAACAGGTGGGTGTAGGACAATGTTTTAATGCTGTTATACAACAAGATACTGGTGGTAGGTACTGTTCCTGCAATATCTGGAGGCTCAGGAGAGCAGAATAAATTTAGCCTTCTAGGGGAACTGGAGCAGAGATCACATGCAGCTCCTTAGGGTTGCTGAGATCTTGGTGAGGCACAGACAAGGCATAGACCAATGGGATCAAAGTGAATCGCCTGGTGATGTAGCCTCAGAATTTGGCAGAACACACAGGATTTACACCGCTAAGCCTTAGTTTGCCAATGTCCCAGATTCAGTAACAATGACAGTATAAGGGAGATCTGTCTTCTCAAGCACTGATTCTTATCCGTCAGTCACAAAATGTTTAATTTAACGAAATCTTTTCCATGCTGTGGTTTATAGCAAATCTATTGATTGTATCTCAGGCATACAGTTGCGTCAGTACAGAACAGGGAACAGTGAACTGTTGTACAAAGGCTGGAGAAAGGCAGGGACTTTGTCATCAAGAAAACAACACCTGGAACCACACCCTAATTCTGTAGTGTTTGCATGAGGAGGATGGTGTTGTTTCGTTTCTGTGAATGTGAAGCATAGATTTCTTCTTAAAAATGGTAATGTTGACTCTCTGGAAATAGAATGAAACTTCAGATAATTTCTAAGTAAATCTGGTAATCCTTTTGAGAATTAAATGTAATTAAAATGAACCCATTAGGAAAGGTAATACCTAAAACCAGTCCCTTGTTTTGTCCTAATAATCCCAATTATAGAAAAGCGTAAGCGTCAATAAAATTCTGTGAATACGATTGTGTTTAAGCAGACTACTATTATGTTTCCTGAAGATCAAAGATAATTTTTCTCCATTGCTAATTAAAAGAATAAGCACTATTTCTTTGGCAAAGTCTGTAATACACAGGGATTTACTACAAAGAATTTAATGAGAACTAAACAACTGCCATCTCCTGTTTTTCTCAGTGAATCTCTGTCACGCTTACTACCACTGAAGATTTTAAGAAGTGTTGTTCTCTGAGTTAAAAATAGGCCATCACTCATAAGGATGAGTTTCAGAAGGAGATAAGGATGATCTCAGAAGGAGAGATGGGGCTTTGAGCAACCTACTGTCATGGGAGGTGTCCCTGCCCATGGCAGGGGGGTTGGAACTTGATGATCTTTAAGGTCCCTTCCAACTCTAACCATTCTCTGATTCTATCAGAGAGGTGGTGGAGTCTCCTTCTCTGGATACATTCAAAACCCAACTGGACACGTTCCTGTGCAACCTGCTCTAGGTGGACCTGCCTTGGCAGGAGGTTTGGACTAGATGAACTCCAGAGATCCCTTCCAATCCCATACCATTCTGTGATTCATAAACGTTCTTTCCAAAGCTGTCCATGGCACGTTTTAGAAAAATTTTAATCTAATGTCATATTGAAATGTAGAGGCTGAAAGAAATGATTCTGTACCTAAGGGTGAGAAATACAAATTACAAAAGCATCTAAGATGTTGATATGCATAACCAAGAAGCTGAATCATTGCTTAAGTGAGTCGGTTGAGATACCACATTTTATGCTACTTGGTATAATATTAACTCAACATTCAGCTGTTAGACAGTGTTTCCTCATGTCTGGCTCTGAGCTTTTCTCAAAGATCATCTAAGCATCAATTTCTTTTACATAGTTTTACTGCTAGGCAGCCTGTGGTCTCGGACACAGTAACAAACAGCCTACAGTAACTTGCTTGTGTGTCTGAGCTCTGCCCAAAGAAGGGGAAGCCTTTTGCCAAAGAACAAATTCTGAGTCAGAGGCATAATTAAGAAGAGACTGAAGTCATCCTGACTTTTAGTCAGGGTCCAGTCTCTATGAACACAGCCTCACAATATCCCCAGAACTTAAGTGGTGTGCAAAATCTGAGAATTGATCCAGATCTGAGTGTTGGCTGCTCTTCTTAGGCTGACAAACACCCTGGTGTCTACAACCAGGTTGTCACCTTACAACACAGTTTGGGACAGAGGGTTACAGCTAGAGTTCTCTCTTTTTTTCCCCCGGATGCTTCTAGATTTTGCGGTTCATTGGTGACAAGACTCTCCATGGCTGGCAGGAGATACTTCTGGGCAACTACATTGCTGGGAGAGGTTTGAATAATGTGGCTCTGCGCAATGAAATCTTCAGTCAGGTGGTTACCCAGGCATGGAAAAACCCAGACATGGAGCACAGCCAGCGAGCTTGGGTCCTGATGGCGACTTTGCTGAGCTGCTTTGCCCCGTCACCAGCACTGGAGAAACCCTTGCTGAAGTAAGGAGGAGAAAAGACCTAGCTACACTTTCATTAAGAGAGATGATCAGCGTGCTAAATGCAGTTGCCTTTTCCTAGATTTGTGTCAGATTATGGCATGGATGGCTACAATGCTGTTTGCCAGCACAAGATCTTGACAGCAGCACAGCACACAGAGGGAGACTCTACATTCTCTCGGGCCTACCCTCCAACTCAGCTGGAGTGGATTGCGAACCAGAGGAGAGGGAAGATGGTGCTGGATGTTCATACCTTTAATGGTAACTTGTGCTTCTGCCCTTCTGCTGTCTTCTAGTCCCTAAAGACTTTTCTAGTGCAGAAATTGGCATTCAGAAAACAATTCCCTCAGCTTAGTAAAAAGGGATCAGGACACTTCTGGCTGGTACAACCACGGGGGATACAAGCACCTGAACCTAGACCCAAAAACCAAAGTCTCAGCCTGATGAGACTGGCTACTGAGTCTAAGGGATTAGATTCTTCTGGGTTTGGGCCCATCTCAACAGAAGGCTGTTCTGGTTGTGCATCTCCGTGGGTCTAGTTTTTCTGTTATCCATTTCTGCACAGTCCATGCAGCAGCAACTGCTGCCATTGTTACAGGACTTTCTGCCTTTCTCCCTTCTCAAATAATGTCTTATGCTGCCTCTTGAGTGATCAGAAGGTCTGTGAATTGAATGCAGATTATCCCTGCTCAGCCTCCTTGGTGGGTGAAGTGGTGGCCTGAGTCAACTGCGAGGGTTTTCAGCTGTCTGGTTGGAAATACCAGCCTGTGCCATCAAACAGTTATTTGGGACATGAATGTGTTCATGTGGAGCCCTCCACATGCTTTCAGTCCTCCTGTGGCTGCTCAGATGTGTGTAAGACTCTCCAGCTGTGCTCTGCCTATGTCCTATGGAGCTTAAGTGTTGCTTTGGGTCCTGCCAGGAGGGCTGTGTGTACTGACTTTCTTTTCTGTGCTAGAGGAGAAGTTCTCAGCTGAGGTGGAGTCCTGGATGACTGGGGAGCAGTATGCAGGCTGGCTGCTGAGTGCAAGGTACTGCCAGGGGATGGGAGAAGATCTGGGGGTGTAAAAGTGGCTGTCACTAGTTCTAACGTTCAGACTAATTGGCACTGCAGGCTAGAATTTACATGATCACATGTGGATTAGCCACTCTTTCCCCACTCCTGCGCTTGTGCCTCTCCATCTGTGTCCATAAACTGTGGGCTTCCTTAGGAATAGAGGAATAACTTGTGTGATCTGGGAAAGGAGCTTCAGAGAAAAGCTTAAAAAAAAAAAAAAAAGGACAAATCTTGAGTGATTCTAGCTTTTTTTCCTGACCCTGGGCACTTAATAGTTGATTCACGCCCTAGACCTTAAGGACTTAAGCCAGGATAGACAAGGCAAGAAGAAGCTGAATGCAAGGTTTTCCTTTCTCTCTCTTTCCCCTGCCTACCTGGACACCTTTTCTCTCCTTCCTTTCTCTGTCACCAGGGGCTGTGATAAGAACTGTCGAGGGTGGTCTGTCTCCATGTTTACTGGCAACACATGGCAGGACTTGCTGGGCTGTGACTTTGTGATGGACCTCATTGGAGAGATGGAGGAGCTCAGTAACTTCAGCAGCCCCTCTCAGTCCTCAACTGAGTATCCTATCACTCCTGAAATGGACAGAAGCTCCCAGATCTCTGACCTGGATTCGTAAGTCACCTAATCCTCCTGCCCCACCACTTGTGGCCCTGTCACCCAGTGGCTTGTCTTTCTCTCAGCACTCTGTGCTGTCCTCATCTCATTTTCCTCTTCAACAGGATTCCTCCTGCTCCAGGCATCCAGGCCCCTTCCTTCCCACCACCGAGCCTGCCTCCAGAATTCAACAATCTCAATCCAGGTAAGTTCTTGCCCAGGACTGTGGATGGCACTGGGAAGGGCCAGATGGGTCCCTTGGAGCAGAGGGGAAGACAAATGATTCTTCTTGATGTAGAGCAAGGAAAGGGTTCCACTCCAGAATGTGAATGTCTAATAGGGACTGGAGACAGGGGAATGTTCCTTACCTGCCTTGTCACCAGACTTCTCTCTGCTCTTAGATCCAAGATTCAGAGATGACCTGAGGCCTGTAGGTCAGGTAGGCTTGGATCACTATGTGGATGATCTGTTTGACAATGTGCTACATCAAGGCTCCGGAGTACCAGTAAGTCACACTCACTTTCTCTCTACAGTGCTCCTGTCCCTGTGACTCTCTCAAGCCTCTGACTCTGCCTGTTGACTCTGCTTCTGCTCATCTCAGATATGCCTTTGAATGGCTTTTCCTCTTGAAGTCTGTCTCTCTGAGCTCAGACAACTCGTTTTTTTCTTGATACAGGATATGGAAAACAGGGAGAGTCTGACTGGGCGCATGAAAGGAGGTGGGAAGATTGGACCCACACAGAGAGGAATCTTTCCTTCTACAGGTCTGTAAGGGGATGGGGACAGGTGGGGACACCTGTGGGACTACATAACCTTCAGAGAGCATGAGTCAGGGAGTCCCTTAAAAGCTAATTATTGCATAGGCTCAACTGATTCATGAAGAGCATTGGTCTTTAGAGTAGGTCATCAGAAGTTGCACTCCTCACTCCCACGTGTTGGGAGATAGATGCTTTGGGGAAGGTGCTCAGTAAGGGTACCACCTTTGTTCTGCTTTTAATTTCTCTCTTGAGTTGATCTTGGAGTCAAGGCAATAGATAGCTTGCTTCTGACCCAGGTCACCTCTTCCCTAGCCCAGTACTCATAAGTCTTGTGTTCACCTTCTATTTACCTATGTTTTCACAAAATAGTTGCTGCCTTTCTCAGGGGAGGGTTTTAATATTTCTTATTGCTTCCTTACAGACTTTCCCATCATCTCTAGCTATTCCTTGGGTTAGTAAGTCTGAACCTTGTAAAGGTTCTGGTTTGTGTGTTTGGTTTCTTTACTTTTCCTCATTTCTCTGGAGCTAAGACTCTGGTATTTTGAGTAGAATGGAGTCGAACACCAGTGTATTAATGGCACTGAGAAATCTGCATGTGTAGCAACATACCCAGCTGTTTCAGAAAAGTAGGGAATATCCTGTTCAGATCATTCCGGAGTCTGGGAATATTTTTGGCAATAGCCTCTACAGCAGTAGAAGCTCTGGGGCATGACAACTTGGGGCATGGCTACTTATATCAGAGAGGGATGTGAAGATCTCTCCATAGCATCCCTGGGCCGTTCTCACTGGCAAGGACACCCTGTCCAATAGACCTGTGCTGTTTGCTGACTTACTTCTAGCTGAGACTGATCTCCATGCCCCTTGCTCTGCTGGCTTTGCCCTCAGTGGGATTTCTGTTTTGTGGCCTCATGTGGGACCTGGCTGCTGGGAGAAGAGGAATTCCTTTCTCCCCACGGTTCCTTCACATGATACGTAATGCCTGGGCACTGTTCATTCACCCTTGCTACCTGCTGCAAAGAGACAAATATGGATCTGGCTGTCCCAGAGATCTTTGCCCAACCCTCAAGAGAAACCCTTCTCTGTAATCATAGATAGACAGGAGTTATTTATATGCTTAGTCATCAAGGAGAGTGGTCTCCTACACTGCAGAAGCAGGGTCTGGATCCTGCTATTGTAAATTCTGGCAGGCCACATATTTCTTATAGGTTTCCTTTTTCCACCTGAGTTTTGCTGTGTCCTGCTGTGTGTGAGGAGATAAACTATTCACATGTCCTTGTTGTTGGCACATGTGGAGAGTACCCAGCCTATGTGATGTGTTCTGTGGGGCTTTCTGAGCTGTGATTCCCCAAAAACACTGTGTGTGTGGCCTTTTGCCTCTAGGCTTCTCTGGAATGACTCAAACACCAGTTTACCAGCCCATGCCTTCCATGATGGGGATGCCAGCAGCCATGCCTATGATGCCAGCGGCTGGTGGGATTGCACCTATGCCAGGTAGTAAAGGTGTTTCAGTAACTCTGCAGGGGTGGAAGGGTGGCTGTCCTAATGGAGCCTGGATATTGGAATGTTGGGTGAAGTGCACAGTGAAAACTCAGCTCTGGGCTGATGCTCATCACTGTGGGGAACTATTGCCTGTGGGTTTTTGCAGATGTGTGTGTCTTCCACAGCCATGGTTATGCCCCAGCCAGTGGTTCCAGCTGTAGATCCCAGTCAGTTGGCAGCACAACAGCAAGCCTTTATCAACCAACAAGCCATGCTCATGGTGAGTGGAAGGGTCTGGCTGGGAGGGGTCCAGGAACTGGGGAAGAAAAGTGCACTGGTGTATATGCTGTGAAGAGGTTAGCCATGCTCCCCTTCTGCCTTAGGCCTGCTCTGTAACACTCTGTGCTGGGGGTTAGCTGTATAAAATTGGGATTATTTAAGCCTGCAAAACTGGGAACTCCCTTTTTGCCCCTTTGTGTACATGGGAACACTGAGACACCATAGATGAGTGAGTAGTAGGGACAGGAGTGGGCCCCGAGAAGCTGTGATTCCATGTGTTGTTAAGCTGGGATTTGTTACAGATGCAGATCTGAGTATTCTGCTTTCTGTATAAAGTCTTGTGAGTGCATGGAGGTCCCAGGCTATCTCACTGGTAGCCGAGTCTCTGGGGTGGTGTTAGGAGCTCTGCATACTTGGCCAGGTGAGAGCAGACTCTCTGTGCATGCCTTTTCCATTACACTGGGAAATTTGCAGTGGACTATGTAGATGTTCTCTGATTACTAGTGAAAGAAAGGGACAGCCCGCCTGACAGCTGGTGGTTTTGTGTAGCCTAGAGCTCAAGGACATTGTAATTCCTTCCTCCAGGCCCAGCAGGTGACCCTTCAAGCCCTGAGTATTTCCCAACAACAGCAGCAGCAACAGCAGCGGTGGCAACAGCCTCTTGAGAACTCAAGGCCAAGGGTCTCAAGTCCACCACAAGCCCGAGCCCCAGCTCCAGTCCCAGCCCCAAAACCCAAGAAGCTTCCCAGCAACCAGAATGCTGCACCATCACCAAGCACTCCAGAAGTGGCTCCAGAGCCACCAGCTAAGGCAGAAGAACCGGTATGAGAAACAGTGGTGGTGAATTCAGTTTGAATTTCATGTTGCATTTCCTATGCTTCCCTTCCAGTGTGGTAGTGGTTTGGCAGAGTGAGGAGAGCAGAGAGCTATGCTTACCTATGATACTGAGGTGTTTCAAACTCTGCTTGCTGAATTTTTAAGACACAGGATCAAGCCTTGGTGGCATTAGCTCTGTGGAGGTTTGGCTGCAGTGTTGGCCAATTAATTTCCATCTGGTCTGAATTTTACCATAGGAAAATTAATCTGAATTCTTTATCTTCTAGCAAACTGTCTTGGGCCTCTAACATATTCCTCCTTCTCTGGACTTGCTTGATGATTCTTTGGGTCAGAGAATGATCTCTTGGGACACTCCCAGATGGGGAGAATTTCTAGATCAGAGCTTGGCGAGGGGAGATCACCTCTGAACTTAAGGGCACTATGGTATCTGCTGGCTAGTGCTAACTAACCATGTTGTGAACTCCTAAGATCACCTCTGAACTTAAGGGCACTGCTGGCTAGTGCTAACTAACCATGTTGTGAACTCCTTGCAGGTTTATGTCTACACAGAAGACCAGTACTCTGACAGTGAAGATGATGACTGTGCTCGGGAAACTTTCCAGCAGAAGAGAGCATATTTTCAGAAGATGGGTAAGCATTTCACACTTTGGGAATTCCGCTCATCATAACACCTTGTTTTGCAGCTTCCCTGGCATAACAAGGTGTTCTTGTCTCCCTGCCTGGAATCCAGCTAATCCCTGCAGGAGCTGCTGGTCCTATGTGCAATGGGAGTTTTGGGTGCCTGCTTGGTTGGCTACAATTCAGATTGTAAGGCATTGTGTTGCCTTTTTTCTAGAAATCTTTGGGCTTGTGACTGCCACACCCTCCTTTGCCTCTAGAAAGCACAGGCTTCTGCTGACTGATGGAAGGGTGGGAAGCGTGCCATTAGTGCTAGGTTTTGGTTGGGGGTTTAACTAGCTGAGGTCCTCCTTTCTATGCAGGACAGCAACGCATTCAAGTGAAGAAAGTCAGGCCTCCATCCAAAACCTGGACCCCTCCAGCAAATCCCCAACCACAGCAGGAGGAGGAGAAAGAAGAGGAGAGGGAGGAGAAAGAAGAGGAGAGGGAGAAGAAGGAAGAAGAGAAGCCCAGCCCTAAAACAGAGGCAGGTAAGATGATATGCAATGGAGAGCCAGAGCAGGAACTTTCCAGGAGTATTGTGCCAGGATATAGCCAGAGGAGGAAAGGATCTGGCTGTTCTCGGAATTTGCATCTTGACAGCAGGGGGGAGAGAGAAAGGCCTGAGCTTTGGGAAGTGGGATCCCAAGGCAAAGCAGTGGAAAACCATGGCCAGTCAGCCTAGTGGTGAAAGAGAGGGAGCTTCAAATGAGATAAAGGGATTTCTCCTGTGTTGTTGCCGGTGTGTTGGTTAAAACTATCATCCCCAATAGCTCCTGCTCCCCCTTTGCCTCCTCCTGAGCCAAAGCCAAAAAATCAGACACCCAAAGCGAAGAAGGAACCACCCATAGTGAAGCCTTCGGGCCCTGAGTCACGGCCTGCACCCAGCCGGGAGATCCGCAACATCATCAAAATGTACCAGAGCAGGCCAGCCCCTGAGCCACAGCCTATTGAGCCCGTCAGGTGAGAGAGTGGGATCCACCCAGGTGGGAAGGAAGGAGATGAGTGGGACTATATCCCAGCACTGCCACATGGCTTCACTGTGGCCACAACCCCTTTGCAGCCCCTGTAACTGTGTTCCCCGTTTTCTTGCAGGAGAGTGTCCAGGCCATTTATGAAAAAGAACGACCCCAAAAATGAGGCACTGGCCAAGCTGGGAATGATGAACCTCGCATCTCCCAAATCAGTGAGTTCTTTGCTCTCTGGTCACCTAAGAATTCAGCAGAGAGGGCCTGTGTATCCAGTCTCCAACAGGTTGAGTCCTATCTGGTATTGCCATACCAACAGCCAGGTGATTTCTTCTTGGGTTACTAGATAGCTGTGAGCTTGAGCTCATACCATGGTGCTGCCCATCCTAGATTGGGTTTCAGCCTATGAAGTCACTTGAGGTTGTGGAGAAAAGGCTCTGGAGCAGCAAGTCCTATTGTGGTATGTTTAAGGCTGATCTGGAAGCAAGCAACTCAGGTTCCCCACATTTGGCACCAACGCCTTGGCCCATAAATATATATTTTTTTTTCCCTTCCCAACTGAAAGCTTCAATCTCAAATACTTGGTTCTCTGCACCTGGGTTTGCTTGATCTTCATCTGTTTGGAGATCATGTGCTGGTTTAAAGGCATTGCTGTTCACACAGATCTTACTTCTGGGATTGAACTGCTGCCCCGGGGATGATTTGTAACAGCAGTGTTAAGACAGAGCGCAGTAATGTAGAGAATGACTGGGTCAAATTGTTTTGCTTGCAGCCAAGCGCCCTGCCACAGGAGAAGAAAACACCTCCACCTCCACCTCCAAAGCCCAAGACAGGCCCAGCTTCCAGCTCTATCCAGGAGAAGCAGTTGCCTCTCCTGTCCGTCTTCAGCCAGGAGAATACCCCACCGGCTTCCCCAGCCCCTCCTGCTCCCCCTCTTCCCCCACCATTGCCTTCACCCCTCCTGCCTGAGAGCCCAGGTGGGCAGGAATCCACAGGGAAGGGTGAGTATTGGCTTCGCCCAAGTGGGATTTGGTAGTGGGCAGGGAGGCAATGGGGTCAGAATCAGCACAGTGACCCAGGAGAGTCATAGCACGTTGTGTCATCGGCCAGCTGGGCAAAGATTGAGTGGGCTGTGTGAAATCAGAGACTGTCACTGTAGTTCCAGTCTGGCCCAGCACTCAGCTTGGCACTTCCCAGCTCTAACTCTTTCCTTTCTTCCCAGTGTAGTGCAGGATGTCAGGCACAAATGATGAAGGAGAGGCTGGGTTTCTCTGAAAAAGGCAGTTAAAAACAGAAAGGACCTTTGGGCTATGGCTTTATCAAGGTCCAGTCAACAATACGATTTTTTTATGTAACTGAAGCATAATTACTTTATCAAAGCTGCAATTCAACAGATGGACTTTAGACCAGGGAGGACTGGGAAGCCAGGTACTTTACCTTCTAGAGCCTCTGGAGGGACCTTAGAGACAGGCTGAGGAATGAGGGAATGTTTCTCAGAGGGAGAATGAGAGCCTGGGAGACCTTGGACACTGGCCACATAAGGAATGTCTGGAAAATGGCATAGCTAATGATTCTCAGCAGGAGTTTGGAAGTGTTATTCAGGCCTAGGTTTTGCCTCTGAATTGCAGTGAGAGCCTGGAGCCATAATTCATTTTATACTGTGCTGCCATTTTGGGTACATGTACCAATGTATTTCAAGCTGTTTAAAACTCTCATCAGCATCATGTTTTATAATGTGCAAGGAACAATCAGTCAAGAACATTACTGCAGGACTCTGTTTTGCATCAGCTTCCCTGGTATAAAAGAATGTCCCTGTTTCACTCTCCCTCCCTTTAAAAAAAATGAATCTTTAGGAAGTCCTGTGAAAGTAAATCAAAGTAACTGGATTAGTCTGAAAAACTCCTATGTGCTTTTGAATAGAAATACAGAAACAGCTGAACTGTGGGATCTTCTGTATTTCTTGATTGTCTATGAACTCTGAAGTTTTGAAAGCTGGGAGTGCTTAAATAAAGATATTCCTACCTTGTGAAGTGATGCCTTTGAATGGTTGTCTTCAGGCTGAGCCTGTCTTTAGTATATTTCTGGCAGAGAGAAAATCCAGTCCAAGTACCAGGTCCCTTGTACCAGAACCCTGCAGTCTGCAAGCTCAGGGGAGAAATTTTAAGTCCCTTTGAAACTTTCAGCAGCCTTTTTATATTGACATAAAGTGAAACTGTGTCTTCAAGCTTAAGCACAGGGGTAGTATTTTGCCTGGAGTGCTGTGTGCTCCCTATCTCTGGGGTGTTTCTGTTATGAGCATTGAACTTTGTGGCTAATACAGCAAGTATAAATGCTATCAGAAATGCTGTTACTCACATGATGACCATGATGACTATTTTGTGTATGGATTCATATTAGCTGATCACTGACCTTCAAGAGGGTTCTTGACAGCAATCTCCAGTCAGGAACTCTCCCCTTTCCCTTGACAGGTCTGTGGCAGGTGGGAAGGTGACCCTGTAGTCAGCAAAGCCCATCTTCACTGCTCTTTCTCCTCACACAGGTTCTACTGTAACAGTAACAGAAGATGATGGTATCAAGACCCAGCTGTACAAGCTCACTGACAGTGTCAGCTTTTCCTATGACAACCCTGCCTGGAAAATCTTTCTGCGCAAAGAGGTGCAGTTTTTCTAACTGAGGGCTGGCTATGGGGGCAGGGGATTGGTCCTGTGGGGGGAGGGGACTGGTCCCATACTTGGTCAAAATAATTTTTTTTGTCATAGGCCCATAGCATGATATAAGAGCACAAAGACAGTTCTGGGAGGAGGTCACATAACACAGGAGTCAAGAGGCAGAGGATCATCTCATAGGGGATATGAGTCCTACTCTGCCTTACTGACTCCAGTGTCTCGGTTTCCCAACCTATCCTTTCCTTCCTCTGTTAAGCACCGAGAAATATACAAATAAAGTAAATTTGGTTTTACCTGGTGCTTTCCTGTTAGAATAATAGAATAGTTTGGGTTGGAAGAGACCTTAAAGATCATCTCATTCCAACTGCCCTGCCCTGGGCAGGGACACCTCCCACCAGAGCAGGTTGCTCAAAAGCCCCATCCAAACTGGCCTTGAACCCCTCCAGGGATGGGGCAGCAGCCACAGCTTCTCTGGGCAACTTGGGCCAGGGTCTCGCCATCCTCAGAGTAAAGAATTTCTTCCTAATATTTAGATATTGTGTCCTTTTTCAGTTTAGAACCATCACCCCTCATCCTGTCACTACACTCCCTGACCAAGAGTCCCTCCCCATCTTTCCTGTAGGTCCTTTAGGGACTGGAAGGGGCCATAAGGCCTCCCCGGAGCCTTCTCTTCTCCAGGCTGAACAACCCCAACTCTCTCAGCCTGTAGTCATAGGAGAGCTGAACAAGCCCTCTGATCATCTTCGTGGCCCCCTCTGGACTTGCTCCAACAGGTCCATGTCCTTCTTATGCTGGGGCCCCCAGAGCTGGACAAATGGTACAGATGTGTTTAAAATCAAGTGTTGGAGAGTGCACTGAACACACCAGGGTTCATCCCATGGACTCACCACTTTAATCCTGGTCCTTCTGTTTACATTCTCAGTGTCTCTTCTCTGCCTGTCCTTGGAGGTGGACTCACTCTTGTCTGGTAGTAGGGCACATGGATTACAAAACATCCCCCAGGGAGCTATTTCTGCAACATTTGTAAACATCTATAATATTACTATCGTTTTTATCATCCTCTTGCAGGTGTTCTACCCCAAAGAAAATTTCAGTAACCCTTATTGTCTGAACTTGCTGTGTGAGCAGGTATGTACTGGTATCTCTCTGTTTAGGGACAAACCACTCTGTAACTACATTGCATAAGTTACTGTCACTTCTACATCCCTAGTGGTCTTAGTCTCTTCTCCAGGTCCTTCTAGTCAAGCCCCTGCTCACTCCTCCCTGAAACTCAGTCTGTTTAACAGCCTCAGATGCTCCAACACACTTAGATGTGGCCTTTTCAGTGGAAGCCTCTGTGTTTCCTTCCTCTACAGATCATGCGTGACACCTTCTCTGATTCCTGCCTTCGGATCTCCAGGGAGGAGAAGCGCAAGATGAAAGACCTGCTGAGTAATTACCAGCCCTTCCTCCCTGTGCCCATCCCAGCTTTTGGTTTGAAATGAGAAACAGGCCTCCAAGCACTTTCAGGCAGGACGTAGTGCAGAGGAGAAATGTTTGTCACTGCAGCAAGAAAGCACATTTGCGTGTGCTGTGTAGTGCAGTGTAGGAATGTTGGTTTATTCCAAGTGGCCAGAAATTTCTGTGAGCTAGAAAAACTTAGTTCTGTTATGTTTATTGTGGGAAGAGGAAACTGAGGCTCAAGGACGGGATTTTGAGTTGTCTCAAAATCCAGTTATCTTCTTTGAAAGGAATTTTATTGAGAGGGGAAGAGCAACTAGTAGTAGACTGATGTGCACAGGTAATGTGATAATCACTTCACCTCCATATGTCATTTGCTGCACTATAATTACTGAGAAGAACTGGTGGGAATGAGTCCCTGGGCGGAGGAAGACTTGGCCATCTTTGTCTTCCTGAGAGTGTCTGTTTTCTACCCCTACTAGTGGAGTTCCGGGTTGGCAATGATGTCCGGTCCATTCAGGAGGATGGGATAAAGAAGAGGATTGTACTGGCTGCTCGGGATAACTGGGCTAACTATTTCTCCCGCCTTTTCCCAGCTCAAGTGAGTCTTAATCTTCTCTCTAGACCCTGGGCTGGCTTTAGCTGTGTGGCTCTAGTTCACCTGGGATCTCTTTCTGTCTCCCTGCCTGGCCACACATCACTCATTCTTCTGTGCCTTCTGTACCTTGCTGGGTTTGACACTTCTGTCAGCCCAGGACCTCCTTCATGGTCCATATGGTAGTATCTTTTTCTCCTGCTTTATCCTGTCCAGGTGGGATGGAGCCTTTGACGCTCTTTGTTGCACTCCCCTTACAGGGTGAAAATGGAAGTGATGTTCAGATCCTGGGTGTTTCTCATCGGGGCATGAGGCTGCTGAAGGTGGTAAAAGCAACTGGCTATAATCCTGACCACCTGAAGATTCTTCGCAGCTACAGGTGAGCAAAAGGGTGCTGGTTGCTGCAGGATGATAATTTGTCACTTGCAGGATGCTTTCAGAGCGTGGGAGTCAGACTGCTGTAATTGTAGTAATTGTAATACAGTGCTGGTGAAGGGCCACCCTCTGGAGTGTTCTGAGGCCTGCCTCCATTTGCAGCCCTTGGAATGGGCTCCCATCTCCACGACCTGCATGCCTAGCTCTGGCAGAAGAAGCCTGAGCATGTTGGCTGTGTTCTCAGCTTTGCAGATGTGATCTCAGTGGAACTGAAGGGCAGCAATGTCTTGGAGTTCTCTCTGAAGACAGAGCAGCTCCTCCTGCAGTCTCCAAAGGCTCTGAGCATCAAGGCCATGGTGGAACTCTTCATCCAGGAGCTGAGGCAGGTGAGGGAGTGGCTGTAGAGCAGTAGGGAATGAAGATGGTTTCCCACACAGACCTGAAAGGGTCCATGGGATGACACGGTCTGAATCCTTCACATCCTGGGGATGAGATTTGACCTCTCCATTGCTTTTTCCCCAGGATACCAACTATGTCATTGCTCTGCGCAGCTACATCGCAGATGACAAGAGCCTTCTTAGCTTCGAGAAGGGTGACCTCATCAAGTTATTGCCCATGCAAGGCGTGGAGCCAGGTGAGGGAGTTTGTTGAGATTGGCAGGAAAGGTGGAGACTGGCTTCAAGGGCCTGCTGGACCCATGGTGTCCAGAAGCTCTACATGCTGCTGTTGAGTAAATCAGAGGAAAGCAGACTGTTAAGGGCTGGCATAGTCAGCGTTCAGCTCTGCTCTTCTCTGACTGTGACCCACCTTGTTCCAGATGCCATGGTTATAAGGGGTGTTATCTCGTGATGCAGGAAAGCCTGGTCAGTCTGGTGCTCTCCTTTGCCAGTAGGATGCCTCGCTGCTCATTTCTCTTGGTACCTGCCACAGTTCCTGACTTTTCCTCTCCTGTTTCTGCAGGCTGGCAGTTTGGCTCCACTGGTGGCCGCTGTGGTATTTTTCCCACCAGCCTGGTGCAACTTGCTGCAGCCCCTGATTACCTCAGCACCAGCATGGACAGACAGGGAGGGCTGTGGATGAACACGAAATCTTCTCCAGATAACAGGAACACCAGCAAGGAGGTGAGTGGTCCTTGGGGAACTGCTAGGTGACATGGCCGGGTTCTGTGGGAGCTGCCAGGGTGGGTCTCTGGCCCTGGGTAGTGTCTGACCTCCAAGGCCAGAGGGAAGAAGATGACTGCATAATCCTTCCAGATGGAGACACTTAAATACTATCATAGTGGGAGGGGGAGGCTCCACAGACAGATGAGGCCTTCCCAGTCTGGTAGGTGAGAATACACACTGCAGTTCCTCAGCTGACTTTTCAGAGAGCGTTTGGTGCCTGTCCCTGCAGAGTTCTGCTCCCAGCCTGACATCAGAACCCAGCAACATCATGGTAGTCCCTACTGGCGACCATTATACCATGGTGGACTTCGCCACAGCCTACTTCCGAGAGACTCAGTCCATGTGAGTAGGCTCTGGTCCTTCCTGAGCAGGCACACACAGGACCTGTGTAGCCTGACCCACTCCAAGCCATTTCTGGAGATATTACTTAGATTGTGGGTTCTTTCTCCTCTGTCTAGGCAGGGACTGAAGGGGATGCCTCCTGAAAAGAAGAGTGCAGCTCACCTGGTCCAGCACACCAAGGTAAGCCCAGTCTCTCTCCACGGCTGTAGGCAAAATCCCAGCTCCACCATTGCCTCTAGCTTTGTCCCCATATGGCAAAAGTGCAGAGTGCAGATCCTTGGCTGCAGTCTCTGGAGAAGTGCAGGTGCCCCCTACTTTTCAATGCTGCCTGAAATATGGTGGGAGCTCGTGTCTTTAGTGAAGCCTGCAGCACATCTCTGGCAGTCTGCCTCCCCAGTTACCCTTGTACTCTGGCCCCGCAGGTCCCGATCCAGGAGTCTTTGCTGCGGTTCTCTGATGGTGAACTGAATGAACTTGCTACAAAAAACTTCAAGAGTAAGTACCTCCCTAGGACACGAGGCTGCAGAGGCTGGAGTGGGGGTGAGTGGGATGGCCTTGGTGGCCACACATAGGCATCATGAGGCCCAGAGTGGGGAATGAAAGCTGTGAGAGTAGGGTCCCTGTTAAAGCATTTCTGCAGTTAATAACCACCTGTGTCCATGATGAAAGTGTCCAGCAAAATGCATTTTGCCTGGAGCGCAAAGTGCCCAAGAACACACCCTGCCTGGGCTGATGTCCCACTGACTACACATCCCATACAAGCCTCATAATAGCTTGTGGAGCAGAAAAGCTTTCAGGACATTTTCTAGTCTACTGCCTGCCCCCACCTCTGCTTACACCTAAACGCCAGCCTTTGCTCTGCAGCTCTGATGCGGTTCATGGGAGATCAATCGAAACTCAAGAACCAGAATGACATTGAATGCCTCTCTGAAATCCTTCAGGTTTGTGACCTTTCCCTGGGAAGGCGCTGAAGCACCAATGGGAATGAAGGGACAAGACCTTGCTGGGAAGGAGGAGAGCAGGGAGATGGCAGGATCACCTCTGCTTACACCTAAACGCCAGCCTTTGCTCTGCAGCTCTGATGCGGTTCATGGGAGATCAATCGAAACTCAAGAACCAGAATGACATTGAATGCCTCTCTGAAATCCTTCAGGTTTGTGACCTTTCCCTGGGAAGGCGCTGAAGCACCAATGGGAATGAAGGGACAAGACCTTGCTGGGAAGGAGGAGAGCAGGGAGAGCTATAATGCAACCTCTTAAATAAGAAAGGGAGCAGAAACAGAAGCTGATTAAAAACTGTGGAGGGAAAGGGTTGCGTGTAAATGGGTTTCCTGGATATCACTGTCTGGATGAGAGCACCACCTGCCTCTCCTTCTCTGGGCCTAGATAGCAATAGACACCAGAGGCTGCAAAGCCCAAGTTTTAAGCCACATTGGCAGAGCACTGGAGCTGGGAGGAGAAGGGCACAGAGAAGACCTGGGGCCTCTCTGATGCTCTTGTCCCCTCTCTAATGCTGTCTTCTCCTCTCTGAATGCAGCTGTGCAAGGAGAAGGAGAGTTTGCGTGATGAGATCTACTGCCAGGTCATCAAACAGGTCACCCACAACCATAACCAGTGAGTACCAGCACTGTCAGCTCCTGTGCATGCACAGCTGGAGGGGAACTGTTGGCCTTGCTGCTTAGACAGCAGGGGCAGGAGACAGGCTGCCCCCTAATGATGTGCTGTCCCTTGTGGCTCAATTGCAGGGGTTTTGCTGAGCACTCACGGAATTAACCAGTCACTGGGTTTGACTTTTTCACTTCAATGAATGTTTTTCCTTCTATCTCTGGCTGCAGATATATCTGAGCACTGGTAAACATTCCTAATAGCTCCCGGTAGTGATGCTGCTCAGAGCCCTGATTTCCTCTTCACAGCCGTGGGGAATTGACACAACATTTAGGACTGGCTTGACCCCACACTGACCTGCAATATGACAGCAATGGCAGCGGAGTGGCCTTGACTGTTTCCTTTCTTTGTTCACTGTTAGAATAACTGACTCAATCCTTTCTTCAGCATAGAAACCTCTGACCGAGGACCACCACCTGATTTTCTGCCACCTGCCATAGGTGTTCAGAAGGACAGAAGTTCACTTTAAGCTGTTTGGAGCAGTAATTGTCTTGTTCCAAGGTGACCACAGTTCTTTCTGTCCCTCAGGGAGGGTGTGATGCGTGGTTGGTTGCTCCTACACCTGCTAACGGGATACTTCCTCCCTTCCAATATCCTGGTGCCCTACGCCACCAAGTTTCTGCAGCTGGCCAGCAGTGATCCATCCAGCACCCACCATGGTATGACTGTTTCTGTGTCCTGTAAAATAAACGGCTGCCCCCTTGTTACTAAAGCCCTGGTGGTCAAAGAAAGAAGATGGGATCCAGGTGGGGACATGGTCCAATGGGGAAATCTCCCCTACCCTGTTAGGCAGGAGAGGTCACTGTGGGATCTGAGCCTGCAGGCAAGAATCTGCTTTGTATCTCTAGTCTTTCTGTTTGCAGAGGTAACTTCTCTTTGCATCTTCACCCAGGCAAGTTGGCATTGTGTGTCTTTCTGATGCTTTGTTTAGGCCCAGTTTTACAGCTAGACCTGTGTTCTTCCAGAGTCATCAGCTGTGAGGTGTTTGGGTGGGAATTCTACTGGAGGAGAGGGTTCCAGTTCTCCCCTCCTGTCCCTCCTGTGTAGCCCTACTGACCTAGACACTGTCTGGGGCTGGCCCCTCATGATCTGGATGTGTCCTGGCAGAGTGGGAGATGAGGTCAAGTCTCTTTCCCCTCCAAGCAATGGCCCTGGGTTAAATTCAACACAGCCAGGATGACCCAACACCGCAGGAGACAACGCTGAGTCCTCTGCTTGACTCAGCACATGAAGCTTTTTCCTTTTCCTGCAGATATAGCCAAGACCTGCCAGAGCAACCTGCGGAAAAACTTCATGTATGGGGGCCGCCGCCACCTTCCTTTCCCTATGGAGTTAGAGGCACTGCTGGTATGGAGGGGCAGGGAAGTGGGAACGCTGGGAAGAGAGCGAGGGCAGAGGCTTGCCAGGAGGTGCCATGTGCAGTGTCACAGGAGAGGGAGGGCAGAGGCTTGCCAGGAGGTGCCATGTGCAGTGTCACAGGAGAGGGAGGGCAGAGGCTTGCCAGGAGGTGCCATGTGCAGTGTCACAGGGGCGGTTAGTGTTCTGAGAGAGGAAATGAGGCATGTGTCTGTGAGGGGACTGGGACGTGCAATGCCACGGAGTAGGCAGGCATGTGGGCAGGGAAAAGGCAGGTGGGAGGTGGAGATGAGGAGGAAGGAAGAGGGAGGAAGAACTGTGGGGCTGACTGCCATGTGCAGTGTCACAGGGGCGGTTAGTGTTCCGAGAGAGGAAATGAGGCATGTGTCTGTGAGGGGACTGGGACGTGCAATGCCACGGAGTAGGCAGGCATGTGGGCAGGGAAAAGGCAGGTGGGAGGTGGAGATGAGGAGGAAGGAAGAGGGAGGAAGAACTGTGGGGCTGATGGGACCCTGCATGTCTTGCTGCCTGAAGACTGTCCTTTGCAGAACGGGCGTGGTGCCCGCCGGCTTGTGATACTGATGCCTGGAGGCATGGAGTACCTCACCAGAATTAAGACATTCACTGTGAGTTTTCTGCTTCAAACTTCTTTATTGATCTGGACTCTGAGCCCCACCAGGGAACTCCCTTATCTGTCAAAACCTTGGGCTTAGCCTTTGCTTCCCATAGTCCTGTGACTGTTTCCCGCTCACTTCCAAGGAATCCCTGCAGCAGTGTATCTCTGCAGGGTCTGCACAAGGCTGGGATGCCTCACCCAGCTTCCTTCTTTGTGCAATGGGCAAAGCCATGCTGCTGCCTTCTAACAAGCACTCACTTCCTAGGAATCCCTGCAGCAGTGTGTATCTCTGCAGGGTCTGCACAAGGCTGGGATGCCTCACCCAGCTTCCTTCTTTGTGCAATGGGCAAAGCCATGCTGCTGCCTTCTAACAAGCCCAGTATGTCTAACTGCTCTGGGGCTGCTTTGGGCTAGCCAGACCATGGTACTTATTTGCTTCTTTCCTTGCTTCAGGTGGCCAAGGAAGTCTTGCAGGAGATCTGTGAGAAGATGGGGGCAGGTGACCAGGAAGAGATGGAGGAATTTGTTCTTTTTGCCATCAGGAATAACAAAAATGATCATGGCAAGTAAAGCCTGGCATCTAGATTCTTTCTTAAAGCAGTTTCTCCAACAGGGACTACCATGGCTACTCTTTCAAATAGTTTCCCCACCCTTGGCTGGCTCTCTGAAGGTTCCTCTTCAGTACTTTCCCCCTTACTAGGGGTTGAGGATTGTGCCTTTTCAGAGGCTGTGTTGCTTGTTCCTGAAAGAGATGTGTGTGTCTCTTTGGGTCTGTGTCCCTTTGGAATGGCTGATGCTGGGAGTCATAAGGGGAGGGTGGAATAGAGGTGTGAAGGAAAGCTCCTGTCCTGGGCCATGGAGCTCAGCCCACTGTCTCAGCCCCAAAGTGATGACTCTCTCTGCATAAACTTGTAGATAAAACAGTGAGACCCATGAAACCGGAGGATTATCTTCATGATTATCTGCTGGAGGACAATTTGGTCACTGTGACTTTACGCAGGCTCATCTGGACAACACCTCTGCACTTTGAGAACAAAATTTATACTGATTTTCATTATGGACAGGTACGTAACGAGGGCAGTGCCCACCAGGAACCTTCCTAGCAAGGGCTCCTGAACAGGGGCAGAGTTATTGGCACAGGCCAGTGGGAACATCCCAAGGGGGCTGAAGAAGTGGGAGGATTCTGTGGCTGATCAGCTTTGTATGGTGTTTCTGGGAATGACCAATAACTGAAGCTATGGATGCAAGGACAGCAGTGTGCCCTTAGCCCCCTAGGAGCTGTACTGTTCCAGGCATGGTTTGTGCAGTTCTCCATGAACCTTTGCTTTTGTGTTATCAGCAAGGCAAGATGTGGGGCTCTGCAGGCTGGCGCCTGGACCTTCTGGAAAGCTTAACAAAGGTCTCTTTGCTGTGCTGTCTCTCAGGTGCTGTGGGATTACCTGAATGGGAAGATACTGTTGGGTCATAGTGAAGATACGGAGCGGCAGGTGTGCCTGCTGGCAATGCTCCAGCACTGTGCCAAAACCGAGCAGCAGAACTCTGTTCCCTCCAGGTATGTTTGTCTCGAGGGTGGGGGGGAAGGGAGGGGTCCTCTATCTCTAACGGCTGTTGGCACCACAGGGGTTAGTGCCTGAAAGTTCTCTCTGGATAATTGATGAATGGACAGCTCTGGAGAACATAAGCTACTAATTAATGTCACTACTTAGTGACTAGCTCTTGCCCCAAAAAGTTTACCTCCTGTTCACACTCTTAATGCTGTCTCTGATCCGGATTTCCTTTTGTGACTCCTCTTGAGCTGAGGGTCATGAGGGAGCCATGGACAATTTTTTTGACTGCCATGTGTTTGCAACACTAAGAAGGAAGTGCATGAGCTTATAGTTGGGATGAATGCTCTTTTGTTCTTTCTCACGAGTGCTAGAGTTTTCAACCCTGGGCACTTGAAATCTGTAGTGAGTTGCCTGATGGGAATGACAATGTCTCTGGGTACTGGAAAGCTTCTATCCTGCAGCCCCGAGCCATATTTTCACACTCCTTCCTCCCTGTATCCTTATGCACCTAGAGTGAAGGTAATGTCTCCATCAGGTTCCCTCACACCACCAGCAGCATAACCCTGCTGGGCACAGGGAACTCTGCTCTGTGTAGGGCTTTGGAGGCACAGGAGCAAGGCAGATTTAGTAAGGTGTTTTTCAGCTGAGACTGCCTGTGAAAGAAACACCCTGTGGCTCTACGTCCGCACTATAGCCCTTGTTGTCTCCAGAAAGGAGGGATTTCTCTCAGTGCACTAGTCAGTGGTGCACAGCCACCTTCTGTGTGGAAAATGGTGGTCTCACTGTCTCTGATGTATCTGAGCTGGATAATGTGAAGGGAAACAACCTGTTGTGCTCTTCCCCTCTCCCCCCACTCTTGCCCCCAGCCACGCAACTGAAAATTGTCGGCGCATCCCCTCCCTTCCTCTTAATCCCCCTGGCTGATCTTTTGATTTGAGCTGGGCAGGGGGTGAATTAGTATCTGCTTGTTGGCACAGGCAAGACCTGGAGGAGTACACACCAAAGAGTCTGCAGTCCTCCATCAGTCCCCAGGCTCTGCAGAACCAAGTTGGCATGCTGCTGAGAACCAGGCAGGCCCTCCAGCCATTGGATGCAAAAATCCAGTTCATAGGTGAGGAGACATCCAGACCCGCTTGGTTTATCCTCAGCATGATGGAAGCTGCTGATGGTGCTTTTGGGACAGTTCATGATGTTGGTGAGGGTCCATGGAGCCTGGAATGGGCCGTGACATGTGCCTGCAGATTGGCACTTGTTCCCAAGCACGGTGACCGTGGTCAAAGTTCCACCTCTTTTGCAGAAGCCTGCAGTATATTTTCAGAGCTCTGTACAAGTTGTGTTTTAATTGATACTCTGGCTGCAGGTCTGTTTTCTGGTTGGGAAAGACCAGGACACCCGTTCAGGCTGCTGAGAATTCCCACCTTCCTTCAGCCTTGGGGGGAAGGAGAAGTTGTCAACCTTACTTCTTAATGTAGAAAAGCTTGGGAACACTCGCAGCCTTTGACTGCCTTATGTTGGTGCAGTGGATTGCTGGATGGAAGCTGTTGCCTGAAAGCCACCTTTTGCTTTCTTACAGAGCACGTGAGGAAATTGCCATTCTTTGGCTACAACATCTTCTTTGTAAAGAAAGTCAGTGATAGGACAATTCCCATGCCCTGTTACTTCGGGGTGAATAAGGAGGAGCTCATTGCAGTGGATGGTGCCACCCAGGTATGCCAGAGAATTCCTCCCTGGAGTCCAGAGCCCCGATGTCTGTCAGAAATTGACTTTAACTTGTAGCAGAACTTGTGCAGGGAGTGACTGTATTTACCTCCATCACAGCCGCTCTAACAACAGCCCCAGCCCAAAGCAGGGGACAAGAGTGGTAAAAGAGTTAGCACTGCCATGTGCTCTTTTGTAAGTCCCATGTTCATGCTAACAAGCACTGTCCACAGTACGACTAAGTGTGGGTCACATTCCTGTCTGTCCCAATCTTGCATGAGATTTAGGGACATGATGTCAGCAGGAGCCTGCCCTGTATCCCATACACACTTGCACAGTGCCCCAGCCTTTGGCTCAGCTTTCAACAGGCTCTTGAATCTTCCTTGGGTGAGAATCAGATGGTTTTATTTGTAAGGACTGCACCAGAGAGTGTTTTGTGGCTTTTCCCCTTACACAGTCAGTCTCCCGCGTCATCCCACTGAGCGAGCTGCAGAACATGCGGACCCTGCGGCCCACCTCTGACGGGGGGCTCCCCGGCATAGAGCTGAACTACGGCTCCCCTGCCAGCCCCAAGACCATGTGGCTTGAACTGTCACAGGTGAGATCAGCCTGCACCTACAGCTTCCTCCTGGCAACTCAGAAACTGTCCTCCACTGCCTCTGCTGAGAGGACAGTACTACTGCTCTCTGCTCCCTCAGAGCTGAACGGGGGCACTGCATTTCCCAAAGTGCAGCTTTGTCCTGGCACGTACCTGATATTTAATTATGAGGAGCAGAGAGCAGAGCGTTTCTGGGGCAGGGAATGACTGATACTGATTTGTCTTTTGACAGGCTAAAGAAATGTATCACACGATTGTTATCTTCCTGAAAAAAACGGAGTGACACCACTCGAGCCCAAGAGGAGGAGAAAGACCAAGCGAAACAGAACTATTTCCCTTTCTTTGAGCCTGTTGAGTGTGCCCTGCCCCGTCTTCTGGAGAGGACTCTTCCAAAAGACACCCATGACCTCAGACAGCTGCTTTCTGAAACTGCCACCACAGTGTTTGTTGATGGACTGGACCATAATCTCACCCCTCCTGCCATTCAGTCCCCAAGGACTCCTCCTTGAAGCCCTGCAGCAGTGGCTGAAAAACCCAAAAGACGCTCTTTCCACACCATTGCTTTTTCATAGCCTGGTCCAACACGGAGCAGCCCGACAGGCACAAGCAATTGCCCTCAAGCTATACAAAGAGCTATAGAGCCATTCTTTTCTTTTTGAATTAATTAACATGAGCAAAGACCGATGCTTCCCAGAGATGTGTGTATCCCAGTGCACAGGGAGGCTATGGAATGACTGCGCCGCCTGCTGGGGTTTTCCAGCTTTTCCTCTCCATTGATCTGCAGGAGGCTCTGTGGCAGGGTTTGTGAAGCAGGAGCTTGTAGAAAGCATCTTAATTGCAAAGCAGATCAGTGTTAAGATACAATTAACACATATGCTGGGGCACAGATTGAGCTGCAATGGTAAAAAAGTTCATTGTTAATTAATTTCTTACTGACATAATTATATGCATATGTTCCCTTCTACTCTAAAGGAGTCAGTCCTGTCCATCCAGCTGTCAGACACAACTGATGGTTCCATGCCCATGGAGAAAGCATGTTCAAATGGAACTTGCATTACATTAGAGGGGAGTGGCCTGGGGTGTATAAAAATGCTTAATTTATTTTTATTGCTACAGCTGTCCTACTGAACTGAAAAGTATCTGCACTTTAGGAGATTCTAATAAAATAATCACAGGGGTATTTTGAAGCCATAATGTGACAGATACTGGTTGACATCTAACATGGGAAGACTGGCCTCCAGGTAACTGGGAAAGCTGGAGGAAAAGGTTACAGCTGTCGGCTGGGAATGGGATGGATCTGAGGGTGCTCAGTGCAAGCTGGGATGCACAGGTAGCTGCTTACTGGTGAGCTGATGCCAGCAGTAATGACACCATCTTCCCTGTCAGGAACTTCCCTTCACGTGCTGCTCCCTGTGAGGCCCTTGGCAGGAGCATGTTCCAGCCTCTTCTCCCTTCAGCAGCGCTACTGCAAGGCTGGGTAAAGTGAGAGACAGGAACAGAGAAGATACCTGAAGATTAACTTATCCTTATTCCCCTTCTGGTTCTCTGAGCTTTTGCTGCCTTACATAGAGGCACAACTCATCTGGTTAGAAGTGCCCCACATTGTGATAAAGCACTTTGTCACGCAACGCCACACCTTAACCCTTAACCAGCCCCTTCCGGAGCTCCCTGATTTACAAGATAAACAGAACATTTCTGGGAAGTTCACCCAGGCAGCAACTGAACTCTGTAAGCCCTGAGCTCTGGAGTAATAGTAACCCCACTTAAGTGGCTGATGAAACAGGATTTTTAATGGGAAGGTAAAATGGAAACCAGCAGACAACAGCTGAAAAATACTTTTATTGCGTAAAAGGCTTCTTGTAAAGCCCTTTGTCCTCCAGTGAGCAGAGAAAGCTGAAGATGAAATTGGCTTTTGAGTTAAACATTTCCAGGTTCTCCTCCTGTTTCTAGCTGGAGAAGTCCTGCAGCTGTAAGGGATGGGTGGTGTCTGCTGCCACACGCTTCCCATCCATCCCACCCCAGGTTTGCATTTATTAGCTCTCTGTTCAGAGATGAAATGAGCTTTCATAGCTTTGTTCACAGTGATGGAGTCTTAATGTGAGCTTTCAGGGAAAAGTCCACAGCAGCTGTAAGATTGTTTTATTGTCAATGCACACATACCCTTCAGTACATTTAAAAAAAATACATCTGTTAAATACAGTGATCCCAAAGCCCGTTTGGTGGCCTCTCAGGCTGCAGATCCCTCTAGCAGCACTAGTGCCTGAGGCCACCAGGCATGGAACAAAGGTAGAACCCAACAAAAACCCAGCAGAAAGGACTTGTGCCAGGGAGTCAGGATACTTCAAAGCCCACCCTAAGGTTCAGGTCCTAAATAAATATAGCAGCAGAGGCCCCACAGTGTCAATCTGAGGGCCACAGCAGTACCCTAACCAGTTTTAAGAGCAGCTTTGCCCTCTGTATTGCAGACTGTGGGCGAGGCACAGGGAGCAAATATGGCTTTAGGGGTTACAAGCAAATGCTGGAAAAGTGTTGGCAGCTTTGGTGCCACTATTGGAGAGGTTAATACTGAAAGAGCATCACCGCTTAAATTAAAGGGCAGGCAGAACTAGACGAAGTTAAAAAAAAAGGTTAAGATTAAAAGAAAAAGAATCTGAGTTTCTCCACCTTCAGAAAGTAGGCATTGCCTGCACTGTAAAAACAAAAGGCTCCCCTCCTGCCCTTCAAGGGAAAAACATGCCCTGAGCAAAGCACTGAACTTGTAGCGTAAGGCTTCTATCGGTAACACTGAGATAAGAACGAAGAGATGGGGGAAGAAGGGGAGGAACCATCCAGGAAGCAAGATGCCACCCCAAAGCAGAGTCCCAGCTGGAGAGACTGAGCCCTTCCCAGGCTGCTGCAGGGAGTTGGGGTTGGAGACACTGCAGAACAGCTGAGGCAGCAGCCCCCAACCTGCAGAGCTGATGCAGACTCCACACCTCTTGGCAAGAGGTACTAGAGGGCTTCAGCGCCCTGGGTACTGCAGAAACTCTGCCTAAGTTCACAGAAACTGGTTCCTGGAAGTGCGTGTCACTAAGGACAGAAGTGAGCAAAAACACAGTGGAAAAGGATTAAGCTCACTTCTGCAGTTTCACAAAACCCTCCATGGCTGAGTTCTTCAAGGTGCCCTGGTCCCACAGCTGGAGGAAGGAAGACACAGCCAACAGGATGTGAGGATCAGCTCTCTGAGCTCTGCAGCTCCTGCCAGTCCATCTCGCTCTCACACCTGACTCTTGTTTTGAAAAACTCCTTGATGAGTCTCTGTGCTTCCTCCTTCACTGCAAGAGAGGAAGCATCACCTTTGAGATGATACTTAACACATCTGCCCTCTCTAAAGACATCAATCCGTTTAGCACCAGAAGAACCCAAGATTCTTGGTGCTCTCTCCAGCTGCCAACTCACCAGTCTTGCGGGCAGGATTCTGCTCCTCAGCCAGTAAGTGAGACAGGTGCCGAGCAAAGCCTTTGAACAGATCCTGCAGAATTGGGGAAGAGCAGAGAGTAGATGCTGGTTACAACAACAGGCTGTTTCCATGTTTATCTTGCCCTTAGCATGAGCTGGCTCTAGCACAAACCATTCATAGCTGTAGGTTACAGGAGTGCTGCAAACCTGCAAACCCCCTGCAGTGCTGGAGAAGCACAGGCACACAGCATCAAGTAATCTACACTCTGTTGCCACTCTGCAGGTGGGGGTTCTTAAAAACGTGCCAGAGTTTAGTGTGAGGACATGAACAACCACAAACAAGTGTGGAACCAACACGACCCCACTCCAATCACACACAAACCCTTTCTTGGGAGAGGTGAGTTGTTGCACCCAGTCACTAAAACAGCACGTACCAAGATGTGACTTGGAAATGGAATGGGGTACCCAGATCATCCCACCCTTCTCAGAGCCCCAGGTCACTAGGGAGATGCAGCCTCCTCCTGCTAGAGAGTCTCGAGCTGTGCCCTACCTTGGAAGCAAATTTGCCACCCTTGTAGAACGGGGTCAAATATTTGACAACGATGTCTGCCGTCTCTTTGAGGGACATGCCTTTGGTCACTGGCTGCACGGTCTTGCTGGTTCCTTCTTTATCACACTGTGATAAGTTTGGATCAAAAGTCACCTTCTTCTTCGTTGGACAAACACTTTTGCTTTCTGGCTGGGACAGAATAGAAGATTTTGCCACTGTTCGTAGCCGCTTTGTTGCGGGACTTTCCGTATCCTAGAGATGGGACAGAAGAAAACCAAAAGCATCTGTGGCAACATTACACTTCCAAGCAGCCACTACCTTCTGAGAAGATGAATTTTTGCAGTGTCCTGGCAGGCTCTCCCTATAGTGAACACCAGGCAGGGGTCCGTGTAACCCATTTTGCTGTGCAGACATAATACACTGTTTCCTACACAAAGGGACTTTGAGAAAAAACTCTTGAAGACCACCACGTTCAGAATTACCCTATGCTCTTATCAGGGCAGCTAATTGCTAGACCCCACCCTATATAGGAAAAACTAACAGGAAAAGATTTCCCAGGATGAGAATCAACCACTTCAGGAGCGTCAGACTCCAGCTCAATTTGAAAGAGCAAGGAGAAAACTGTGCTGAAGGGTAGGGACAGTTCTGAGGCATCTCAGGTGACAAACGCAGAGCCAGAGCTGAATACACAGGGGAGCTGACTTCTGTGGGGTCCTGGGTGTCATTGGCCTGTGGTTGTTCCCTTGACCTGAGAAAGCAGCTCACTAATTATAGTTCGTTACAGATCTAGAGGGGGTGGAGAGACTCATTCCAGGCAAGTCATCAGCCAAGGGTACAGTCACGTGTGTTGCAGAGAAGAGGGAACAAAGCAGAGGGGAGGGGAAGGTTTCTCTGCAGACTGAGCCGCTGGCACTGGCCATAACTGGGTGGCAGCAGGACACCAGGAGAGCAACAGAGCTACAGGTCTCCTCTCTGCCACGACTCCCCACATAAATAACACTCACGGGTGAGGTTCAGAGCAGGAGCATCGCTCCCAGAGAGAAACTTGGCACAAGAGCAGAACAAACAGAAGAAATTAGCATCCATTAAAGTCTCACCTCATCGGATCCTGGTCGCTTCCCGCAGTCACCTTCCCCAACACTTAGCTCAGGTTCTGTGACATTTTCAGCAACACTAGTGGGGAGCAGAACAAACAGAAGGAATTAGCATCCATTAAAGTCTCACCTCATCGGATCCTGGTCGCTTCCCGCAGTCACCTTCCCCAACACTTAGCTCAGGTTCTGTGACATTTTCAGCAACACTAATGGGAAGAGTGGAGACCAATTTTAATCATTCCACAGTGAAGATGTTATTACATTCACTGTCAGTGGCCACAAGACTCTCCATGGTAAAACAAGAGTCTTCCTCACCAGCCTCAGAAATCTAATACAGATTCCCAGTTTCCAGGACAAGGAAACGGGTGGGACTCTGCAGCTCGTTAACGGGCAACAGAGGGAGCAGAGAGGTAGAGCTTTTACCTGGATTTTACACCCATTTCTTCCTGAAGGAGTTCAGATTCAGCAGCCTGCTGGGCCTTAAAATTCTCCTCTTTCTCAGTCAGTGTTACTTCTGTCTCTCCCAGCTCTTCATTCTCTGCCTGGGACTGTCCAGTCACATCTTCTCCAGAGACATCTTTGTTTCCCTGAGGTATTGGTTTCTCTTGACACGTGCTTTGAGAAGAAACCTGAGGTAGTGTCCTTGCAGAACAGCCATCTTCCTTTGCTGAGCTGCAACTTTTGGCTTTAGACCCACCTTTGGGGAGGGAGAAGAATTTGGAAATATCCTGTGATTCCTTTTTAGCTGCTTCTGCGAGCATTTGCTGCTTCTTGCTAGGTTTGGACTTCTTAGGAGGGCTATCCAAAAGGGCAGCTTTTGTGTCTGGACTGGGGTGTTGTGCCTTCTTTTCAGGAGGGACTCCTTCTCCCCCAGTACTCTCACACGTTGCTTTGGTCGCTCTTTTTTTCTTCTGGTGAACAGGTTTTTTAGTGTCCACATCCAGACTGCAGGTCCTGTCATCTTGCCCATTTGGACAATCTTCTTCTTTTTTGACAGGCTTTGTATCGCTCTCCTCCTGAATCTTCAGCAGTTCTGAAGCTGTCTGGAACAAGCTGGATTTCTTTGGAAATCCTGCTCCCACCCGCTTAGGTTTGAACTAGGGAGAAAAGAAGAGGAAGAAATGTCAGATGTGAGAGCATTAAGGAAGCCCTGTGTGCAGAACCCTGGAAGGAGCTCAGTTTCTGTACACAACACACCAGTGTGTACAGCCATAAGCTGGGGAAAGCTCTAAAACTGACTCATCATCATAACCATCAACTGAGACATCAAGGAAATGGATTAGGTTAAAGTCACAGGCCCACGGTGAGGAAACGGGCAGCATCCTTGGTTAGAGCAAGATGAGAAAAACCTTATTTGATGTATGGCCTGCACACGGGTTATATTCAGTAGGAGGAACCAGCGTGACTACCTGACCTCACTCCAAAACCAAAGGACAGACAGGGAAAGCAATTCCTATAGAAACACACAGCTATGGCCACACAAAGGACCTAAAATAAAATTATAAAGAAGCAGATAGAGACAGCACACCGTTCCTTCCTTGTCTATCCCATCTGTACTCACCGAGTAAACCTGGGATGCAGGGAGGAAGTCCTCTTCTGCTGGAGACCCAGATTTTGTTTCTAAGCTGCTGTTGCCACCAGTTCCGGACCCAAAGACTGAGAACAACTCTCCTTGTTTTGAGGCTTTGTTGATTTCTGCTACCTGAAAAAAGAACAGAAATGTTCCCTAATGGCCAGAAATCACAGAATCAGAATCACAGAATCTTCTAGGTTGGAAGGGACCTTAAAGATCATTTTGTCCAACCGTCAAATCTTTATGCATCCTTGCCTCTGTACACACTAAAAACCATAGTGGCATAACATAGGTATCCATCCAGAGGAGACATATCTCAAGAACAGAAACATCTTCCAAGAGATTTATTGCCACCAGCTGACCTAGACTAAGCCTTCTCTATTGTCAGTGACGGTCTGAGGAACTCCCCATTCCCTTTATTGCTAGACCTGGAGGATATTTGGATAAGCTGCACTGCTATGTAGGTTTCCAAAGCCTGTAAAGCCAACAAAGATGTGAAACCAACATAATTCTGGGCCCTGCTGGAAACAAAACCAAGAAGAAAGATATGGAAGACATCAAGGCAAAGCAGAATCATTCCCACACAAACTCTACCCTATTTCCCCTCGAGCTGAGGCCACAGCACATTTAAGGGAACAACAACAGACATGGGGCCCTACCTTCTTCAGCACAGTTGCCTTGTATGAGTTGGCCATTTTACTGGTTCGGAAAACTTCATACTCCAGCTCCACAGCACAGGCATGAGGGTCTGACCTGTAACACAGGCTGGGGTGATTTCTGGCAAGACACACCTCTATATCTGCAAAGGGAACACTGATGCTTAAGCATCTCCCAGAAAGTATGGAATTCACTCTTCTGGTGACTTTCAATTAAGTCCTAAGGGATGCAGCTGTGAATTGCTGGAGAATGGAAAGGGAGGGGTGGAAACAGTTTAAAATCCAAGTCCTCCCATGCTCAGTTTGCAAAGCACACGATCCCCATCTCGTGGGACAGAGACGAATTACGACTCCTAGGACCGAGGTAATTTAACAGAATCACACACAGGAATCCTCGTACCTGATCCTGGACATCACCACAAGAAGGATGCTATTAATTGAAACTTCATCCTTGGATCAAGACATTCCCTGAGAGCAGTAATGCTGCTCAGCGAAGAGTAGGCCCCGTGTTAAGCTCATTAACTCAAATGCTACCCCTTTTCTCTCATCTCATACCCTTTTGCTCCTGCTGGAACATTTTGATTGGTGCTCAAAGCTTCTTCCAGCATCTTCAAGCAGTGTTCCCGGCCCTAGGAAACAGGGGACACTCAGCCATGCTCTACAGAGGTCACAGTGCCCCTCGGGCTTCCATCCCCGAAGGAGTAAGAACAGGGTGGGCAGAATCTTTGTTGTTCTTTGCAAGTCAAGAAGCTGGAATGGTGACCTGCCTTTCTTACCTTCACTGTGAGCTTAGAGATTCTCCTGCTGGAGGCATCCTTCAAGGGGCAGTCTGCACCTATCACACAAGAGACATTTGGGAAAGGTGTCATAGCAGGGCTGGGGCTGATGGAGAACATCTCAGCTGGCACTGAGAGGGTGCCAGTCCAGCACTGCTTGGCATCCTCCTCCCTGCATAGTCTCAGGGTGGACAGAATCTTTGTTGGTCTTTGCAAGTCAACAAGCTGGAATGCTGACCTGCCTTTCTTACCTTCACTGTGAGCTTAGAGATTCTCCTGCTGGAGGCATCCTTCAAGGGGCAGTCTGCACCTAGCACACAAGAGACATTTGGGAAAGGTGTCATAGCAGGGCTGGGGCTGATGGAGAACATCTCAGCTGGCACTGAGAGGGTGCCAGTCCAGCACTGCTTGGCATCCTCCTCCCTGCATAGTCACCTCAAGCACCACACAGTCACCCTTTTTACCTGGAGAAGCTACAAGCTCCAAAAGAACAGGCAAAAGCCAAAGTGACATTTTTCTCTCTGTATGAGAATGTCAACTTTGCTAGTTTATGACTAAGAGCTTTCCAAAACCTCCCCACCTCAGGAAACCCTTTCTCAAGGGATCACAGCTCTTAAGAAACACAACCCTTTTCTGCAATACCAACCGAAAATAAAGAGGCTGAACAGAGTAAGGTGCACCACCAGCAACACTACTGCAATAGTGTAACAGCTGTGTTCCCAGCCAGGGCCCCAAGTAGCACAGTTACAAATGGCAAAGTGTTCCAGCAATTTCCTTATAGCCCATTGAATAGAGCTGCGTAACCACTGCACAAACAGCCTCCAAAGTCAGGTTACACAGAGTTTTCCTTCTCTCTTGTCTATTTGGAAAAGTCGTTCAGAAAGATGCATTCCATATCTTCACCCCAACCAAAGCTAAGCTTGGATCCATCTCCTCCAGCCAAGATTTCACAGCCAAAAGCCTGACCTCTGTGCCTGGGGACTGATACCTCCAGTGCTCAAGCTATATAAATTACATGCAGCTGCAAAATACAAGATTTCCTTTTCCCAAAGAAATCCCACTATAAATCAAAGAAGATAATTACTTGGAGGAACAAAATCTTCCTTTTCTGGTTCTTTGCCCTGAAAGAAAACAAAGATCAGTCAAACATTTCCATTCCTGCGACACACATGCGGGTCCAGAAGCACAAAAGACACATTTTATACCCCTGCTCCAGGGAAAACTAATGCTGAAGGTACAAAGGTACTGAAAAGGCACCAAAATGGGGGAAAGGAGACAAAGGATGAGAATCAAAGCCAAAAGTTAACCTTTGCTATAGGAATATGAAAGAGAAGCTGAATGAGGAAATCTGTTTTCGCTAATACCAGATGTATTAAAGACAACAGGATCCTCTTGATGAGCACTGGGGAGAAATTAGTACATGAATAAGCTGGGTTCCTTCATATTATGGGACTGACCCAAAATATAGAGATCATGGCAAAAGCAGAGGTACAAAAAGTTGAACACAGAACAAGCACCAGCAAGATGCAATAATTTACTTTCATCATTGTGTCCGTAAGCCAAGCCCACAGCAAACCATCTCAATCTCCTACCAAGATGTAACAACTCACTCTGCGCAGACTCATCTGCTTTTGGTAGAAGTTGTTCCACTCCCGTTTCCGACTCTCTTCATTGGCTTCATCCCAATTCCCACCGCCTTCCTCATCATACCTGGATAAGGCAGGAAAACAAACATTTCTGTAGCTGCAGCATTAATTGGGGGACAGGCTTTGGAGAGCCGAGGTCATCCCAGTATTTACCAAAGCTGATGTATTTCAAGTCCTTTCTGAACGAGTCTTAGCTTTTAATTTCACTGCCACCCCTCAACCTGGACAGGAGTGAGTGTCCTCTAAAAATTTATGGGTTTTGTTAATCCCATGAACTAGATGTGGTAGCATGAACTAGCAGCACACGACTAGTGCTCTGAGAACGGAGGGCTCCATTTCAGAAGCTCTGCCAGCTTCTCCCATGGAGCTGAGGAGTCACTGCCTGGTGTTGGGCACCCCGTCCGTCAGTCATTGCTGCCCTTGGAGCAGAGATGGCAGAAAGGGGTATTTCAAGTCCTTTCTGAACGAGTCTTAGCTTTTAATTTCACTGCCACCCCTCAACCTGGACAGGAGTGAGTGTCCTCTAAAAATTTATGGGTTTTGTTAATCCCATGAACTAGATGTGGTAGCATGAACTAGCAGCACACGACTAGTGCTCTGAGAACGGAGGGCTCCATTTCAGAAGCTCTGCCAGCTTCTCCCATGGAGCTGAGGAGTCACTACCCCGTCCGTCAGTCATCGCTGCCCTTGGAGCAGAGATGGCAGAAAGGGCAAAGCAACCACTCCTCAGCCTCAGTTGTTCACAAACTGTTGCATTAAATTAAACCCCCATTGTTAATGCACTCAAATGCAGCAGCTGATTCTTGCCAGATGTAGCCCAAGAGTTTACTGCCGTCCACAGCAGTCACAGCCAAAGCTCACAGCTCTCACCGACCAGAGCTTTAGGACTATTACAACAACCTCCAAGGCAAAGCTACAACCAAGTCACGGAGAGGTTCAGTAAATCAAGTGGTGAACACCGTGGTGTACAACAGCACTGCCCGTGTCTTCTCAGGTCCTGAGATCGAACACGGGCTCAGGTCACAAGTGCACCAGTTCCCTCCAACTCAGTGGACTTCCTGAAGAACAACGTTACTGGTCTGAAGCCATGGAAGGCAAAGCAGAGGGCTGGGCCAGCCGGCAGCGCTGTGTGTCCTGGCAGAGCTGCCAGGGCAGGGCAGGCAGTGAAACTTGCATCCTGCCAGCGCTGCACGATCGCCCCAACTCAGCCAGAGAAGGAGGAGGAAGAGAAGGTGTCACCTCCACACTGCCAAGCCTTTTACAGAATTAATTATGGTGCCCACCGCACATCTTCACTTTGCTGTCAGCCTGATAGGGAAACACTAAAATTTAGCAATCTCGCAGAATCAGCTGACACTGGTGCTCCGTTACGTCCTCTCTGATGACTAAGTCCTGTCAGTGTCCCCCCCAGCTGCTGGCCCACAGACAGCCACACTAAGTCAGGAATGAACTCTGGATTGTGTCATACTTTGCTGTCACGTTAGTCTCAACTTAAACACTTTCGATGTCACGCTGGTTTCAACTCAAACATTTTCAATCCCTGTGACTGTGACTGCCTGAGCCCACTGGCTGCTTTCAAAAGATTTCAGGCCGATTTCTTGAACCGATTACATTCTGCAGGGCAATTCTTAGGTCAGTCAAAACAGCTTTTGGCTCTCTGGGACATGAATGTGATCAAGGCTGCCAAAGCGTGTGGAAAATGAAATTCCAACTCCTGCTGCCAGGAAGCTACAGGAAAATACCACCACACAGAAACATGTGCTGAAAATAGGAGTGGCTGGGCCTGGAGCTGGGAGATGCTCTCTTCTCCCCAATAGCTTCTATGACTTGCGTTTGAGCAACCGAATACAGACCTGCTAAAACCTCCACAACCTCTTCTCCCGCCTTCGTACAGCTCTGGATCGTAGCTGTCCCAGGGGGAACCTGTGGGCCCGATGCAGGTTTTGCTCCAGCTGTTGCTGCAGCGTTCCAGGGACTCCAGTTGCCTTTTCACTGCCCCTGGGTTCTTGCAGTAGTCACAGCACTTGTTACAAGGTGGGGTCACATCCCCAAAGTACTTCGCTATGGCGGCATGGCGGCACCTAGGAAACAAAAGGGGAGAAGATCTGGTAATTATTTTTATTGACAAGAACACCACCATCCAAATGCAAGGTGTCTTTTGATAAAGAGTCTTTTTTTTTTTTTTTTGCAGAGAATGCCTATTCCAGCAGGAATCGCGGGGATTACACCCTGGGTGCCTCCACTTCCCCACATGTGAAACAAACAGCGGTGTCAATCCCTTCTGCTAAATGCTTTCAGATCTCTGAGATCTGGAGAAGGCACACGGTGGATGAAATATGCAGTTATTGGAACATAATATGCAAGTTGGAACATCAGAGGTTCCACTCAAATATGAGAAAAAACTTCTTCACAGTGAGGGTGGCAGAGCCCTGGAACAGGCTGCCCAGGGAGGGTGTGGAGTCCCCTTCTTTGGAGATTTTCAAGACCCACCTGGATGCTCCTGAGTAACATGCTCTGACAAGCTCTAGGCAATCCTGCTTCAGCAGGGGAGTTGGACTAGATGATCTCTATGGTCCCTTCCAACTCTAAAAATTCAGTGAAATTCAGTGAAATTATTAATTCTGCATCGTTGGCCAAATATATTCCATGTCCAATCAGAATGGCTCTAGGATAAACACGTAAAGAGGTCCTGCTGATCTCTACACCTCAGAGCGCAGACTGTGTCTGTATATTTCACATTGAAGCCTTTAATGTTATTGTTTATGGCTTGAAGGTGAAGAAATCTACATTTGAAGAAAGAGGAATGTAAATTAAGTCACAGAAATAGTCTGGACTGAGGTCACAAGGGAGCACTATTGAGATCCTGGGCCTCCAGCTGCCCAAAACGCTTCAGATCAGCGGCCAAAGTTCGGGTAGAGTCCTCCATCCATGGAAACCAGTCCATTTGCTCATATGGGATTGCCCAACCAGTTCTACCAGCCCCAGCAAACTAGCCATGTGAAGATGATTAGATTCTTCCAGGAATCTCCAAAAGATTTCTGGCAGACATGAGTGCTTTTGGGTATGTAAAGAAGAGTTTGGTGACAGAAATATGCTCATTAGCAATACAGGCAGGAAGTAATTTCTCTTCTAGAACATTTCCTAACTTAAACCAGTGAAGAGGCTGATTTCACAGATAAAGAAGAACCAGGCGGTTACTTTTTTTTCTTTTTTTCTTTTCCTAAGAAAGTGGGCAGAATTTAGAGGAGCTTTTTAAAACTTAGGTTTCACAGCAGAGTGGCTGGTTGTCTCTTAAATCAAAATGCCAATACTAGATACACAGAAACACTTACTTCAGCAGGCATTTAGAGATCAAATCCTGCAGCCAAACAGCAACAAGAGTTATTTTAGAAAAGAATTATTTTACTGCAAGGAAGAACAAAGTGGTGATTTTTCTTCTCTACCAAGGAGTGCCCTCGCTGGGTTACCAACTTCATCTGCAAAAGTGGGTCACGGAGCAGAAAAGTAAGAGAGAGAGCACTTCATTTATTCTTATTATAAAACCCTTTAAGGGATGTCTGAACTTGCCAGAGATCTAAGAAATGCAGTTTGCTTCTTACCTTGTGTGTGTCTGGGGGGAGTGTAACTGCACGTCTACCAAAGCAGCACAAACCAACCCTGCCAGGGTCTGGTTCCTCCCTCCTTCCCACGGCCTGGGAGGACAATGTCCCAGGCAGGAGAGCGAGCGGAGCAGCAGGTTACAGACCACTGTCACCAGAGCAATGAAATCCATGTGCTGAAGTGTGAAGGACCTGGTGCTGCTCAGGTGAGGAGGGCTGCACCAGGGGGACGTTGCAGGGCAGGGCCCAGGGCACTGAAAGCCCAGAGAGGGCTATTACAAAGCTGGCTTTATATCCCCCTGCAGAGCCGCGCTGACTCCTCTCGCACTCAAAGAGCTCCTTTCACATGGTGGGGAAGGGTGGGGGGACCGGGATCGAGAAAACACATTCGATCCCCTTGTCCTGCCTTTCCAAAAGAACTACTGGTGCTGCCTGTGCTGCCAATGCAACGTGACTATAGAAATGTCAGCGAGCTGCAAGTCAGCTTTTTGTTTCCCCCAAAGAAAACAGGCATTCTCATTAGTCCCCGTCTCTCTCTCGCACGCACTGGTCTGTATTGGAGTTAACTGAGGCGTACAGTAACGGGCAAGCCCTCTCCTCACCTCTGCAGCCTGCTCACCAGGCCTACCCTGGCGAGGGACATCCACACACACCTCTGTCCCTTCACGCAAACAAGAGAGGTGCCCCAAGAGAGGGCTTTGCTGGAAGCACAAATCAGCTCTGAAGTCACTGGAATTCAGAGAAGTTCTGGTTTCTAACCCATTGCGTTCGTCAGACCCAGCCCTTTCCGTCCACCTTCCTGTAACTGCCTCTGTTTTCCTGCAGAATTACCCAAATCGGGGCCCCAGCCCCACTTTAGCCAGGAGTGCTCATGAGTTGGGTGAGAACTGAAATCCAGTTGCAAAACTAAGACTGCAGTCCTAAAATTAGAGCCAAAAGGCCCAAACCAGAGTTACCACCAGGGATGCTGGGGGGGAACCATCGGATTAACGTTTAACTCAACACAAGAGGTCCCGAAACACAATTGGTTATGTGTTAACATGAGGTGGGAAAACTTCCCAAGCCACATGAGCACCTGACTAATGCCCTTGAGATGGAGAGCAGATTTACATAAATTAATGGTATTTTGTATTATTATACATATCCTAAAATTATTTCATCTTTTAAATATGCAACCGTATTATTTTGCTCCCCCACCCTTCAACAGGAGTATGTATAAGGTGACCACTGGTCTTTAACATGTCTAAACAAAATCCTTATTTAATTTGAGACATCCTACCCTGGTTTTACATCACGGGACAGGATGAAGAGCAAAATAACAATCAGGTTTATTAACATGTTTTTATCTATGGCAATAAATTTCAGGAAAGTGCTAAACTGATCACACCATCCTCCTCTGGGTACTTCTTGCTGTTGTACAGCAGGTAAAACAGGAACCCTATTCCTGCAATTAATAGAAAAAGATGAACTGTCAAAGAAGGAAATTCACATATCCCAAAAGAAGCTCTGCCTCTCCCCAAAATACACCAGAAAAAAGCATTCCCTTGTACGAGCCAAGGAAGGGTACAGAGCCCCATCAGAAGAACTCCCCGAAAAAAACCCCCAGCGAATCTGGGAATAAAGGCAAGAAATGAAAGCGTTAAAAAAAGACAAAAATCACATGAGGACAAATTATCTACATAGATGCCAGTTGCTGAACAAAAGCCATTTAATGAGCTTTATCAAAGAGAAGAGCGAATTAGGAGGTTGATGAGGAATGATAATTTTGCACCTGTCTGAAGGACTGTACCCTTTGCAGTACAGGATGACCTTCACCAGCCCTGAGACACGGCAGTGGGGGCCAGCTGTCCCCAGCCTGCAAGAAGGAAAACCCAGGGCATCAAGAGAGCAAATGACCTGGCTGAGGGCAGGGAAGAAATCCCCCAGACCCTACTGCAGCGTCCTGGCCATTGCCTGCTCTGCCCCTTCAAAGAACACAGGAGAAAAGCTCCTTCCCCCGGGGAGTCGGAAGGAAACTGGGCAGCAGAAAGAAAAGTTAATTGCTTTAACACACACCCGAACTATCGCAAGGAGAGAATCCGTTCGAGTTCTACTCCAGAAAAAGTGGTAATTAAAAGGAAAAAAAAAAAAGAAAAGAAAAAAGACCTTGCTAAGGGGAGATGCACAGGGGAAGGGAGCAACAAGTGCTGGCACTTGGGCGCTGCGGGGAGTTCCTCGCCCTCCCTCCCTCCCTCTCTGGCACACATGTAACACGAAACTTCGTATCTCCAGGACAACCAATAACAAAAAAAAAAAAAAAAAAAAAAAAAAAAGGCAGAGACAACAGCTGGCTGTCAGCAGCCCGAGCAGAGAGGAGCCGAGCGAGGAGCCAGACACAAGCCAGGATGAGGGGAGAGATGACGTGAAAGTTGAAGAAGACAGAAAGAAAAACAAGAGGAGAAGAGTTGGCGGCGCGGCTGGGGTAAGGCTGAGCTATTGCCGGTGTTCGGTCAAGCGTAGCACCTTCACGTTCAGCTGGAGAGCAAGTCCCTGCAGCTTTGGTCGCTCTCTGTGCGGCCAAGCGCAGAACCGGGCAGAGCTCGCTCGCCTGCATTTGGTGGCAGGGGACATTTGGGAGGAAAGGTGGTGAGAGAAAACCCTTTTAATAGGGTGGCAGGGAGCTGCGCCGCAGCCCAGCGCTAACAAAAGGATCGGGGCGGCGGGTCTTGCCTTGCTCCCACACTCCGAGCAGGAGCAACTTCTCTGCTGATTAGAAAGGCTGCCTGCTTGGGTTTTTTGTTGCTGTTAGGGAATGTGACCTTAGCTGATAAGCAGGTCTAGCACAGGGCATTCTCCAGAGCAATGATTTGTTGCATTAATGCTTGGTGTGGACAAGAGCTGCTCTGCTCCTCCGCACCAGTGGCGTCTGTGCCGTCGGCGAGTAGCTGCCAGCACGGGCAAGCCCGTGTGGGACCAAGTGGGTACCAGCCATGGTGTTCCTCCAGAGCTCCTCCCAGCCCAAGCTAAGTTTTATCCCCCAAATCCTGAAGCAAACAGAGAGCTTGAAAACAAACCCCGGTCGGGGAAACTAGCGTAATGTGCAAGTTAAGCATCTGTGTCCAATAGAAATAAATGGAAAGATTTTACACAGCTTCTAACAAGAGCGTTTTTGAAAAAAATCAACAAATTTATCAGGCACAGATGCTGGTTTCAAAACAGCATGAGAAACCACTGCTCTGAGGGAACACAAACACATACATGGTCTATGGTTTACAGTAACGAGACCATCAGGTCTGAATGCTGTGAGAAGGGAAGGAATCAAGAAAGAATCCCCCAAATACATGAAATCACCCACTTTAAACCTTGGGTTTAGATGGAGAGGTGTCCCACCACCTGCACTCCCACCTCTCTTTGCTGCTGGGTGTGGGCAGGGGGGGTTGGCAAGGAGACTGACCATATAAACCCCCATTTTTTGCCACCTGAAGCTGATGACTCTGGAAGCTCCTGCAGCTCCCAGCACAGAGCTGGGACTCCTCTTCCAGGGGCAGTCAGCTGTTTACAGACAGGTAGGGAGCGAGGCAGAAAGCCAGTTCTCCCCAAAAGATGTCTTCCTGATCCTACACATGCCTTTAGGGAGGAATGTTAAGGATCAGGTATTTCCACTTCTCTCTGTTCCCATTAACGTGGAAGGGAGGGCAGGTCGTGGTGCAAACACCAAATGGGAACTGCCTGCACGAGAATATCTAGTAGTTAAGACACAAACGCCTCCAGCCTAACCCTGGGCTCAAAGGGGATGGAGGGAAGTTTCCACCCTGCTAATGAAGGGTCTTCTGTAGGTTGTTTGTTGCTGTTGAGCTGGTTTCTCAAATAAAGTGCAAGAAAAACAAAGTTTAGTACAAAAAAAAAAAAAAAAAAAGGAGGGGGGTGGAGGAGGAGTGAAGGCAGAAGGGCAGGGGAGGGAGGGAGGGAAGGGGAGAGAAACAGGCCAAGTTTTCCTCGCCAGAAGAAAATCTTAACGGGTTTGGCTGGGGGCTTGTCCAGCCACAGCCGCGTTGTACGTATGGGGGGGGTAAGCAATATGAAACACATGTCTGGATAAAAGAGGCAGGACATGGCTTGTGTTACAGCTGTCACAGAGCACGGGCCTCAGCCTGGCTGCCCTGCAAACGCGGGGAGGGGAGTGGAAGAACAAAATAAACCAAGTTTGATAGAGCAGATCCTTTCCATAACACAACCCCTCCCGAGCCACCCAGCTGCTGTGGGCCAGTGAGAGCCTGCTGTGGGCTAGTGAGAGCCTGCTGTGGGCTAGTGAGTGGCTGGCAGGGACTGTAAGAGACCACAAGGACTGAGCAGGGAGAGCAGTGCAGCCCTCGCCTCCATGCGGGCTCTCACCACTCCAGCAACCACAGCTGATACGGTTCATAACGGCTTCTTCTGAGGAAGCAGCTGTGGTAGCCTTCAATTTTGAGTTCCTGCAGCCAAGTGGCATCTGTACTAGAAACAAAGCAACATATTTCAAAAAACTCAAAAATGCGTGTAATTTCTGAGACCCGCAGGCCTGAGACCAGTCAAGGACAGGACACAGAGGTGGCTGAAAGAAGCTGGAGAAGGTGTTTCCAGCACTCTCAGGGGACTCCAGCTGTCTCACCTCAAACACCAAACTACTGACAGATCCCAGTGTGTTTGTGAAGTAACTCTTTATAAGGCTCTCACAGACACACACCTACCTCTCTGTCAGCTCCCTGGGAAATGCTTATTTTGCTAATATTAGAATAGACTTTCAGGCTAGATACGAGCATCAGCAACCCTAAAAAAAGTTCTCTTGTGGAAGAGCTACAGGTTTATTTTTAAAATTGACCTTTTCCTTTCACTGGATGGCTCTGTGCTTTGGTTTCCCCACTTCTTAAAAGCGGGACTAGTAGGGAGGAATCATCTCATGGGGTTTTGTTGACTTGTTTGTGGGATGGACTGGAGAAACCCAGCGTGTTTCATAGAGGTGTAGAGACTCAGCTCAGTGCCCCAGTGGGTACCTCAGCTCCTCAGACTGCTATTGCAGGGAATTCAGTGCCTTTTTATATTAATCTAATATTAGGTTGTAGGGGAGGGAAGGAACGTTTACGGTGCTGCCTCAAAACCAATCTCCAAATAGTGGGTGGTGGAGATGACAGGGTATTCTGGCCAAACGGCTACCCGGGCAGGGCTGCTTTATAATATGAAAGAATGTGTGGTCTCCTTTTCCAGACCAGCTGACAAAGTCAAAGCTTTTCTCCCATGACATTGAGCTGCAATTTACCAGTTTGGGTGTGTGCTGTTAAAAAGCTGAATTCTCTTGATACTGGAAACTATTTTCAACTACTTGGGAATGAATTATAGGTCTGTCTGGCTCCGTTCACTCCTGTTTTAGAAAAAAAAGGGCTTGTCTGTTGAACTATAGTTAACATTGACATGGCTGGTTAACAACAGTCATGGCAGCAAACAGTGCATTAACAATGACAAGGGAAAACCATACACTGATAATACAAGTAATTTCTATAGCCCTTTTCATCTCAAAAGTACATTACAAACTTAGAACAATAAACAATCGTACAGGAATTATTACATGTTCTGCCAAAATGCATCTAAACTGTAACACCACCAGCCCAGCACTGCTACAGGACAGGAAGCCTCACAGACCTTATCCATACCAAATCAGAAGCACGTTTCAGGAACCAAGAACAAAGCTGGTAGGGCTGAGAAACTGGCCAAGCCTTCATGTTCTTAAGAAAGTGGCCAAATACAGTTGGAGTTTATTTAAAAGTTTTAGACCGGAATAAAAAGCATCCCCTCCCCTTCAGCTGCTCAGCACTCTCCGTCCATGAAGCCGGGATTACCTTCTAAGATTTGCCACCAAAAAAGCTACCACAATCCATACAGGCTTCTCAGCCCTGACTTGGGCCAATTTCAACCAACTTTCTTGGCTTGTCTGAGTAAGAACAACACAAAGTACTCGCTTCTCCACAGCCACAGTCTTGGGAAAAAGACAACGTTGCAGTGAGAACATTGCCCTGGCATCCTGCTTGCTTGGGCACATCAGGGAGGTCCTACTTTGTAAGGTCTCTGGAGCACTGCTGCTAAGGGCAATGGGCACAGCAGGGGGCATGGAACTCTCCTTCACTGGGTTTGTGGCATCAGGACCAGAGGCATTGGCAGCTCCAGGGCACCATCAACTGATTCTCCCCCTCCAAAGCTTCATCTGCGTTTTTAGAGAACTGCAGCAACAAACCCACACAAGCAAGGATTCTCAGAGGGAGCACAGTAGGACCAAGAGATCGGGAGGTCACATCAAGAGACATTAACCCCGTGGAGCACGACTGGGTAAAGAGCACCCAAGAGCAGAAGCCATGCTTTCATCTACTTTCATCCTAAACAGTCTCAGTGTCTGATGAGTAACAAGCAGTTGGCAAGCAAAGGTCATTTTGTTTTGTAACTGCAACAGACCCAGGGACTTGTTGTCTTTCTATGTAAAGATTTCAGAGCATTTTAGAAACTTGGACACACAACAATTAACAAACAAACTTCTGATGGTGGTTACGTGTCCTGCCACTGTGCAGAGATGAAGTCACCCACCAGAGGGATGGGATGACTTATCCGAAGACACACCACCAGCGAGCATCACTGGCAGCCCAGGAAGACTGCCTGCACTTACTGACTTCCAGTCCTGGGGCTAAACCACAAACTCAAATCCACATTCTTTGCCCTGAAATAGGCTGCTCAAATGCCAGGGGGTTATGACTAAACAAGTGTCTCAGTCCTCAGCAGTACGTTTAAGCTCACCCACTCCCTACGGTTCAAATTTTGATGCACCAGCGCAGGTACACAGAGAGGATACAGCTTTCCAAACCAAAGACAGACCAAGAAAATATGATCAATTTCCATCAATTCCAAAATACTTACAGCAACTTGACTAGTTTAAGGCAGAGGGATCTGGGACCCCACCTTACATAGTCATCCCAAAGCTCTTCTTGCTCGAAGACCGGAAGCTACCACACACGGCCAGTTCGCAGAACAAAGAAACCTTGATCAAGGCTTTTCTCTTCAATGTCTAGATTGAGGCCTTTTAATGGCTTTATTCTTAAAAGGGCTGAGCAGCCAACTTCTTTGAGTGCTTCAGTACGGCACGAGTCCATTAAAACAGTTCAGAAAGATAATCTCAGGGCTATTATGGCAATTTTCACAGCTTTATTCAGTGGGCACAGCAAGATGAATCTGCATTAAAAACAAGTATTAGCACTTTCTGGGAATCTACCTCTGCAGAAGCCCTAAATGGAGAACGTGCTTCTTTGGTTTTAAAGGCCCATGGAATCCTTGCAGCTGACACCTGCAGACATCAGGCATCCTCCAGCATTATTACTGTGCTCTCTTTTCAACCAAGGCCAACAACTCACAGCACACGGTTGATTCAGCCTTTTTCTCTCAAAAACAAATAAACCTAAATTAAAAGATTTGTTTTACTCCCTCCCCTGCGAGGCCTTGTAACACAGAGGAGGGCAGAAAGATTTGATGATCTAGTCCCACTGGCAACACTGGATAGATTAGTTATTTTTCAAAGAACAGCCAGAAGAGGAAACAGCTGAAACCACGAATTTCAGGCTGCCACCCCAGCAGGAACTTCCCAACTGCCTGCCACAAGACACCAGCATTGTGTTCACTTTCTTTTCTATGCGAGTTTCTCATCTTGCCTCTCTTCACCCTGTTCTCACTTTGTATGATCTCTAGCTGCAGCTACGGAGCACAAGGTCATGTCATTTGTCTGCCAAGGCATTACTAGGGCTGCATTGCTCTGTAGTCATTCAGCATTTCTTGCGTAACAAGTTCCATCAGCTTTGCTGCTCTACCAGCCGTGCCTCCTCCGCTCTGCAGGGTTCCCATCCCCAGTGGATGCGGTTTTGAGGAAGGACAATGGACAAGGAAAGATTCCCAACTGAGAAAAAACACGAGCAGAGAATTAGGTTTGCTCCAAACCACTTAGAAAGTAAACTGTCAGTTAAGACCGATAACTGTAAGTTTCAAATCTCTCGAGACCTGCCCGTTCTAATAATAATCATTACAGTTACTGCTTCAGTCAAATAGCCTGCACCACCTGGCCTTTAGTACTGTTGATAACTGGGAGCTTACTTGAACACAGTAAAATAATTAAAAAAAAGATTCTTACAGCTTACTTTGAAATTCCTAAGTAATATCTTCACTGTTGTGTTGTACATGAGGAAGATAAGGCAGATGCATAAGACAACTTGTCACACAGCACCAGCCTTACCCTTCTGCTGATCTCTAGGGTAAGATCTGGGTTCTGCTGAAATCAACTGGAAAAAGATCACAATCAAAACTAGTCCTGACCAAAGACTTTATATCACAAGTAGAACGGAAGATAAAGAAGTCCATGAATATAACTAGCTTTCTTGGGGGAGTTTTACTTTTTTTTTTAATTTTAAGAAGTGATTTATTCTTCACCCTTTTGCTACACTCCACAAGCAGAAATCCCAAAGCAGCGAGGGCCCTTGAAACCAGTGTGCAGTCAGAAGTGCAGTTGAGCAGAAAACATTTGCTCCCTCATGGGTGGCTTGGAGACTGCACCACCAACACCAGACTTTGTCCCTAAAGAAGTTCAAACCAAGGTAAACAAGCAACATTCCTTGCAAGTTTTAGAATAAAAACTCCTTCACTTTGCTCCAGCTCAGGTACCGTGGGGCAGAGGAATGTCCATTACTGAGACGACAAGCTCTTATCATTTTAGATCAGGCACTTTGCTAATTCACGTGGAGTTCTACAATCCTAATCAGCAATTTTTCACTGTACACCCAAACTTCAGAAGCCTTGCTCTTATACTTGCTGCTTCTGGTGCAGCCCAAAGCATGGCACGAAGGGTTACAGCAGATTCCTTACTAGGAAAGCTTCTGGGAAGGCAGAAACACCTCCAGAGGGAACAAACATTTTCAGAATGTTAGAGCCAGAAATACTATTTTTTTTTTTAAAAAAAAGTTTTTCTTCTAGAGCCAAGAGCAGAAAACACAAATCACTTCACCTCTGCCTGCACCGCCATCTCTTGGAATGGAAACAAAACTGGAAACCTGCTGACACAGAATCCCACAGCACTGTGCAAAGGATAAAGCAGCCGTTTCTGGAGCAGCTCGCTCGGGGTATGGCAATCATCTGGAAAGAGCTATTTAACCCTAGTCTCAAAAGTGACCTTTCCAGGTCAAAAGGCCACAGCTATGCCTCCCCGCTAAGTTACACAGAAATCTTTCTGTAGATGTAGATTTTCCATCCACCCCCATCCCTAGGAAACCAGCTGGTTCCGATTTTTATTCCTTAGCTTGGATTTAAAAGAACAAAGAAAACCCTTTTTGAATTGCATAAACATACAAAATGTAATTTAACTTGGCACTGTAGTATTTAAGCCCAGCGTGCAAAGAAACATCCAAGATCTCTCTGTCCTCAATGTGTTTAGGAAAAGCTGAGCTCCAAGGGTCCATTTGTTTGAGTAACCAAACCAGATGTGCAGTAATGAACTAGCTGGATTGTTCTGGAAGTCCTGTCTTGGTCACTTGGCTTTGTGTTACCACCAAAACTAGGATATTAAATTGTTCAAGTCCTATAAAACAGTGTTGACTATTAGAACACATAGAAGCTGGTACATTCTGATACAATGACATAAGAACTAGAATCCATGCAAGCGTTGACCTGTCCAAACACTTGTTTTAGGTGGTACTATGGATATTTCTCCACAATATCCTGGTCCAGCTACTGACTGAAGTAAATTTGAACTTCCGTATCTATCATGCCAGCTTGTTTGTTGCAATGCCTTCCAGAATTTTGCTCACAGGGCAAAAGAATAGCAGATATTTGTTGCAAAACTGAGGCATCTAACTTTGACTAGCCTACTATTTTCAGTAACAATAGTTCTTGGTCATTGTACTTTCTGAGAATAGACAAGGTGTAAGATCTCTGAGCAGGGCAGGAGGGATTAGCTCCACAAGGGAGATCTCCAACAGATCCAGGGGCTTTTGCTTCGCTCATTACCAGCAGTGATGGGTGGACATGCACTGTTCAATTCATATATTGCTCCATTTGAACAAACTGTGGCTTAAAAGAAAAAAAAAAAAGCTACGTTTAGCTTACCATGTAAAACTTGCAGTCATCTGTAAGAACTTGCAAAGCACCCAGCTGTCCCCACTGAACACAGACTTTAGCTCTTAATATCACCATTGGGTAAAACTGGTTGATAAAACATCCTTAATGGTATTGTAGAGAGGTGTTGACCTAAGTACCTTAGTTTTTGAAGGGGCTTTCTGTAGCTGAAAGTGCAGAAAATCTCCAAGGGGGTCTGCTCAGTAAAAAACAATGAAAACTACTGGAGTTCAGCAGTTGGAATTCAAGTTGAGTTAGAATTGCATTTCTTTCTGGAAGGACAAGTTAGCACAACTGGAAAAAAAAATTACTTTCATTGGGTGAAAGCCAAGGGCAGGCACTGTCCAGTTCTAACTCTGTGCCTGCTGAAGTATTAGAAGAAACACCGTTTTACCTTTGCTCAACAGTGCAGCTGTCAAAAGCACCCTCAAAGCCAGATTTTGAAATTAAAGCAGTGCCAAAACACGTAGACAATTAATAGTCCTCCACCTTAGCTACTGGGAACAAGGACTGAGACCAGATAAACTTGTTTTCCTTGTGATCACCAGCTCTATAAGAAGGCTGGCAGCTTCCTAGCATTAGTCAGTGAAAAGGCTTATTCTCTGTTTGGTTCTTCTACAGCATAAAGCCTGGAGAGGTTGAGCCAGAATGTCTTCTGAAGGCTTTCTGAAGGAAATGCAAACCATCGGTGAGAAGCTTCTCCTTAAGCTCCAGAAACTGCCCAAGGCTGACCCAGTGGAGATTGTGTCCTTCTGTGTGGTCCTTCTGTTTATCGGTGAGTTTATCGGCGGAGGCAAACGGGCGTCAGGGAGTCTCTTCTCTTCTGCGGGGACAGTTTGCTCAACAGTCTTTGGTGGTGGGTTGGTGGGTTGTTGGTGGTGGTGGGTTGTTGGTGGTGGTGGGTTGGTGTTGTTGGCAGCTGTATTCCAGGCTCTGCTCTGAGGCCCAGTTTAATTTCTAGGTAATTTTTAATACTCAGCATGTGTCTCTACATGCATGCAGAGCATGGTGGGCAACAGCATAGCTTTCCCCAAAGCTCTCATATTTAAGCATTAGCTTAAACAGCAGCATATCAGCCAATCCAGAGGTGCTGTTTTGATGTGTAGGAGATTTGTTTATGACAAAGGGTATTAGGGCATCTCACTGCCACAGAAGACACAAAACCTGAGACTGAGTGTCATTCCTGTACTTAATTCAGTATGCTTCAGATAAGCCTATTTGTTCTCCTCTGGTAATGGCAAGATCCCTCCTGCTGCTCCGTGTGGGGATGGCATGGAAGGAACAGCAAAGAGCTGCTTGATCAAGGGGATGAAGTTTGTTTAGACAATAGGAAAACAAGCAGGAAGGAAGGCCAGCCCTCCCCTTCAAAGACACTTTGCTCCCAGCCAAAAGGAAGGGTGTGTATTCAGCCTGGACACTCCTCCCTGGGCTGGAATTCACAGAGACACACCTGCTGCTTTATTTTTTTTCATACCTACAGCTGGTTCCCTACAGGTCTGGTAACTTGGCAGCCCAGCTCCAGACTTTTAAGGAACACATGCACACACATGTGCACGTTCACACACTCTTATGTGTTCTGCAGGATTAAACATGTCATCCTTTTCTGTTCCAGATAAACTAACATATCTCTTCCAACACCAACCATTATGCCTAGTGTAGAATAACAGAAAGCTAGCCCACTGCTTTGTGAAACAAAACCCTGCATTTGAAGTGTCTATTTTTTCAAGCTAAATACAGGAGAAAGAGTAAAGCCAACCCAGTCACAAATTTCTATCCTCACTAAAGGGTACAATGCACAGAGTCTTCAGAAATGCAGCTGCCAGTTTGACTAACCAAATCCTTTCAAGTTGTTTCTGACACAGCTGTGGGGAGAGCTGGATCTCCATCCTTTCCAAGCACATTGCTCTGCTTAGTTACCTCATGTCATCTCCGAAACTACAGCCCATTAGGAAGGTAAAGATATACCCCCACATGGTTTGGTACATAGCTCTTAACATCATAAAATATCTGGTAATGATTGTCCAGATTAAAGAGACCAGGCACTTAGGAGAGCTGGGGATATAGGGGGTGAAAAAAAAAACCCACCAAAAAATGGCAAGAAACTGGACTTTGTTCATTCTGCTGCTCACCAACCAACTTGGAGGAGACATAGGGTACCTCTGCAGTGATGGCACCTATGACATGAAGCAATATCCTGTGCTTCTCTTTCCAGCTACTGTTCTGGTGCTCATGATCATTGCCTGTGGTTGCTGCTGCTATAGCTGCTGTAGCTGCGATGGACAACCTGACCACAGACGTAGGAAGACCCAAGTCCGCCCAATTGCCCATTCATGAAGTGCAACAAGAGGTGACACAACCTACTATCAAGGACATGCGTGGACATCATGATTCAGTCCTATAGGAATGACTTTCTACACTAGCTCACTGAAAATGGCAATAACAATATTCATTAACGTGACTCAGAGGACCAGAAACCACAGCATGGAATTCCTTCTTTCTGTGACCGCCACTGGTGGGCTCCGTGGTGTCACCAGAAAGGTAACGCTACTTTACCATCACTGTCTCCCTCTTCTAGTGTGGGGTGGGGGTGCATGGACACACGCTGCTGAGAAACCAGACATGCTTTCCCAGCGATGGCCCTGCAGCTGGGCCAGCCAGGGTTCCCTTGGTGAGCATGGAGCCACGGACCAAAGCAGAGGACACAAACACTGCCACGTGCTGGGCAGCACAAGTGGCTAATCCAGAAGGATGGTGCTGGGCGCTAGCGAAACCCACTGATGTCACTGGGACGTCCATATGCTCAGTACATCTTGGATCAAGCCCAAACCTCCTCTCTCAAAAGCCACCTGCCACAGACACGTTTAGCTGAGACGTCTGCTGAAAACAACAAAATTGTGGACTTTCTGATCCGGACGTGCCAGCGGAGGCTCCGAGTACAGCTGGTAACAAACGCTCCCTGCTTTTATTTCATCAGTGTTACAATGATGTGAAATTGCCAAAGAGAAAAATCAGATCACGTGCAATACCCTTTGTAAACAGCAAGATGAAGGCAAAAGGGAAAAACTCACCAATTCTAGGGCTTAATTTGATCATTCTGCTGCTAAACGTGCTCCCTCCCCGCTCCCCGTGTGGTTCTGCTCTTCTGCTTATTGCAGGTGAATGGTACGTACAGAGCACGGGAGTCACAGGAGATGAACAAATCCCTGTCCTTACTTGAGGGACCTGTGTGCCTGACTCCCTGCACTGTGTGCAGTTTATTTTAGTGGACATAAACAGTATGCCTAAGGTATGTTTATTAGCATAAACAAAGGCATTTCAGAGGAGTGACATCCATTATGGTAACCGTCACTTCAGGGTACACATGCAGCAGCTTGACAGTGGGCATTGTGACAAGGCAGAGCCAAGGATGGGCTGTATGACTGAACTTAACAAGTGCAAATAAATCCCTTTTCCATGCTGCAGCCACTGTGTATGTTTGGTTTACACTTCAGTGAACTTCAGAAAGGGATTTATGTAAGTACAAGGCTATGGCACAGGGCACGACTTTCATAACTGGGACAGCCAAACAAAAGACCATCATACTCCACCTCACTCTAAGCCACTGGTCTTTCAGCCCCTAATGTGAAACCAACCACCTTTATATAGAAGAAGGTATAAAAAGTTACACATATATGGATAAATCATCTTCTACCCCTGTATTCCAACTAAGTGTAGAAGAGTCAAAGAGATTACACATTCATATTCCAGAGACAAGATCTAGCTAGAGAGAAAAGAATCAAGTTTCTAAAAGGTTTTCAATATTCTTCACAGTTCAGAAGCGACAAAAAAAACCCTGAAAACTTTTTAAAGAAACATCTTTTCTTTGATCTCTGCACTCAAATTAGTAAAAAGCCCATTACGTCAGTAGCTTCTCATGTATTTAATGCACTTTAATTTTTACAAAGAAACTAGATTTAGATATTTTACATTTTTGTACTGCTGTATATTGGAATGTGTCTGCAGCTGGTGACACAGAAAATAGTCTAAAAATTAAGGAAAAAAAATTTCCTCAAACTATCGGTGTTACTTTTAAATTAATAAAAGGAAAAACTTTCCAGCAGAAGATGAGGATGTTCCTTAGAAAGTAAATATTTGAGCTCCCACTTGACAACTACCAACAGATGACTGCACTTGTGTGATCAACGAAGACCAACAAAGTGCTGGCCTTTGTCATGCTGTCCCAAAGCTTTCACTCCCAGCCAATATGTTAGGGTGGGATAAGCTCAAGCTGGCATCAATTTACACTAATCAACATCCCGAGATGCCTCACACTAACCTCTCTGTCAGATATGTCTTTGCTCCTTTCACTTACAAACTAGCGGCAATCAAGGTGACATAGGAAGTCTCAGAAGGTTTTTCGAGGGACACAGACTCAACAGACATTTCTGTATCTGAGTTAGGTCACCAGACCTATGAAAGAACAGAGCTTCCTTTCTTTCCTGGCTTGTGCCAGACAGTGCCAGCTACAGGAATTAACAGAATCCCATTGAGAGCCGTTCCAGCAGCACGGAACCAGTCTGTGCTCACAGTCCGGAGGAAGCTCAGCAGGCTGGAAACATACCAACGCCTGACAGGTCACTGACACTAGGAAGGAGCTGCCAGGCCTTATCTCAACAGGAAAAGCTACAAATACATGTTTCCCAGTGGTGTTACAAGTTAAACCACTGACAGATACCAGGCAGGGGGACAAGAGAAAAGGCTCCAGCCTTAGCTATGCTACTCTTAAGTTCCTCAATTAGAAATAGAGAACAAACACAGAACCGTTAAAATAAAAAAAAAAAAAAGAGAAGGAGAAAAAAATTAAGCAATTCTCTAAAGAATTCAGGTGGCTTTTCTGGAACAGAGGAGCAGCCACCACGTAGAGGAGGGGTCCTGGGACTGATTTGTACATGCTTGCCTGAACCACACAGGCCTAATGTTCTGCTGTGTCCCACTGTACACAGGTGGATTATTCCTGTACTTTTTATTTAGACACACCATTTTTATTTAGACACACCAATTGCTTGCCTGGGCTGGGTGGTGTCTGTCGCCTTCTTGCATGCAACAGATCTGGTTGGCCTGAAAGATGCCCAGCAACCCCCCAGCTTTCTACAGCTCTTCAGTTTCCATTGATTAGAAACATGCCAGTTTCTGGGTCCCTGCTCACCACTCACACAAGCTTTTGTGGTTTTGGCTTCAGTCATTACCCATGTAAAGGGATCTGGAAGGCCCTGAGCATTAGTGGGGATGGAGCTTCTCTGTTTCAAAAAGGAGAGACAGATTCAGAAGAGCACAGAGTAAAGTGAGATTGCTTAAAACACAGCAACTTCTGTACATGTTGTGAAAGCCTGAGAGAGCCAGAAGGAACTGCAAGGGAATACAGTTACTCCAGCCCTGATGATACAAGTGTTGAAATAGTTTCTTTCCCTGAGGAACCTGAAAGAGACGGTGAGGCTGCCTCTCTGCAGAAGTGGTTGGACTGATGGCTTAATGGGATAGCTTCCATTCTGTAACATCATCCCTCTGGTTTCAAAGTGATTTGCTTGGCTTGTGAAAAACAAGTTTCCTTTTACAGACACAGAATCTCACACACCATAGTCTCCTCCTTCTCCCCTCCCATCTCTCCCAGCACCATCCCTCTGGTCTTCTTCAGTTGGGAAAGCACCAGGGAGTCAGTTTTATTGCAGCTGAACAGCAGTGCAAGGCTCTGTACTGAGTGTATCCTCCTAAGCTTGTCATGATGAAGTTTGGACTGGAGGGCAGTCTTGTTCACACTCTCATTTTAGACATGGCAATCTCCTAACAGAGCTTACAATACAGATCCAAGCCCTCTTCTCTCCACCACGACCTGCAGCCTTCCCCACTCAGGGGACATAGCAGGCATTTACAATCACTGGAACAGGTCTATGAGTGGCTAAAGCCATGGACAGGAAGAAATGTCTGAGCAACAGCTGAACTAGGTCTTTTTGACTCTACTCAAGGCCTTTGATTAGATTAGCCACACCTTTGTAGGAAAGTCAGCTGTTAATCATTTACGGCAGCACAAACAGGCAAGTTCTATGCTGGGTCTACGACTCTCCAGGTGCAGCAAGGGGGTCCCTCGTCACAGGCCATCATCTCTTGGACTGGGTACAGAGAAGGCACCAGAAGAAACACCTACTACAAACACAACAGCTTCAGGTATTTATAAAATCCCATACAGGTCTCCTATTTCAGGAGATTAACTGTGGTTAGCAAAAGAGATGGGAACTTTCTCGGGTGTACAGTCACAGGGGGTTTCTGCCTTTGGGTCTCCAGAACTAGTATTTAGGCTGCCTGCTTTTTAAAGGCAAGAGAAGCTATCAGGAACAGCTTTCATGGCCTGTGTGCCTGTTGGGTAGAGACTGGGCATGGTGATCTGCTGTAATTCCAGAAAACAAAGCATGAACTGAATATATTTGGCTGCTGAGAAAGAAAGAGAGACTTTAGCAAGCTGAAGTGTGAGCTTGTGCTCGTACTCAAGTGTGACTTGCTGGCGATGAAACACGCTTTATATGGTTAATCCTATTCCTTATAATATTAAGGATACAGACATAAAGGTCAGCAAGTCAAACAAATTTTCAAAAATAAAGACGTCTTCCTGCATTACATCTGCAGAGTCACATTTGAGAGAAAGTGTTAGAAATAACCCATCCTTTCCCTTGAGAAGCAAGAAAGCTTTAGAAAAGCCACAAGATGCTCACAAAGAGATGCTGAATGTTCTTTAGAAAGCTGATGGCCAAGTCATTATGCAAAGTATTGCTAAAAGATCAAGTGAGTAGAATCCACTGAGATCCCTGTTTAAATTACTGCTAAGTACTTCAAGGAAGGAAAACTTAGGCTTCTATTGCAGAGTAACAGAAAGTGGTACTGAAGCAAACTGGGAACAGCACACATTTTTTACAGCACTAGGCTATTCTATGCCCTATGGGAGCTGTACATGAAGATCTTTGCTTATTGTTGGTGGATTTTTTGTTTGTTTTTAAGTAAGTGTTAACTTAATCTCCAGTGTGTATTGGAGTTTAAGTGCCCAACTCCTTTTTGGGGATCTTTCTGATGGTATCAAGCAAGTTCTCTCACTGAACACTTGCCTTTCCTGTATAGGCTGTACAGTTGACAGAGATGAAAGGTTCATACTGAACATGTTGGGAGAGATACTACATGATATTACCAAAAATATTGCTAAACTATGATTAAAATAAATCTCATCTGCCAGCATCTTGTAAAGCCAGACACCTTCCTCTTTACATCTCTGTAGATCTGATTATAAAACTGGCCTCAGCTATCTTTCTTCTGGTTTATGCTCCCATTTCTGTGAGGGGTGACTCTCCCTTTTGGAAGAGGGATGCCTGCAGGCACAGACAGCACACACACACCTATCCTGGTTTTGGGACTGTGGCTCACAAAGTAGAGAGGATACACCAACATCTATTGTTCTTGTCTACCTCCAGCAGGACAGAAGCCAGCATGTCATCAGTGCAAGAGGCATCCTCAGTTCTGGAAGACCTAAAGAGACTAATTACAACAAGTGACTGGGCTCTTGGAGGGCTAGTGGTGATTGGCGTCTTCTGTCTTGTTTTTATTGCTCTCCTTTTATTTGCTGCCATCTTTGGGTGCTGCTCATCTCCAAGGCACAGATAGAGCAGTGAATAAACAGCGAAGCCAAGATGCAGTACTGGGAGCCCTACGGCAAGAATCAGCCCAGCTACAGCCCAGTTGTGTTGTCCACAGAAAGCTTTCTCATCTTCTCTCCCTGGGTGGCTATTTCTCCACGTGCAGCTTTGCTGCATCAAGAGCAATGCACCAATTGCAACGCAATGCAGCAAGTTGTTCTGCAAGTCCACAGCAAACGGACTCCATACATAAAGCTATCTTGTATTCAGGATCTGCATAATTAGCCAAATGCCAAAGTCAACTCATCTCTGCCTGGTTTTCATCTTTCAAGCAAAATCACAGGTTAGAGGTGGCAAATGGTCAGCTACCACCTAAAACTGATCAAGATGTCTTCTGCTGTTGTGGTTACAAGAGCTTTTTTTCCATCTTGCAAATGAGCAACAGGAAACTCTCACCAGCAAAAAGCTTTGTCTAAACCCACTCTCTAAAAGCAGCTTATACCATTGTTCTCCTGTCTTACTTGGACAATAGCCTAAATATACTATGCAAAAACTTGCTTGCCAAGTCTGTCTTTATTTAGAACCTTGTTCTTTATTTGTTCTTATTTTGAACTTTGCAAGGTCAGGTTTTCAGGTTTGCTTTCACCATTTGGATAGTGAATTGAACTGTGTTAATTAAAAATGTAAAAAAGAAATGCAATGTGCCATTCCTTTAAATAGCATCATAGTCTCCTGTACAGTTATGAGCAGGGAAGTCAGTCAGTGGCACTACTATATGTGACTCTGGGATGCATGTGAGATGTTATACAGTAAGAAAAACATACCAAGCTGCAGGAGGGAAGAAAAAGTATGGGAGATGTGACTTCTAATTAGGTAAGTGATATTCCCTTGCAAAAATCTCTCTTTTACGTACCCAGTGAAATCCTATTTCCATTACTATTCATCTGAGCAAAGGAAAATGTTTTCTCTGTCCTTGCTCAGATGTTGCCTCATTGCTGCAGCACAACTCTAGAGAAGGTCCTCACTTCAGAGAGCAGTCAGGATTTTTACAGCATGTATGAAGTGGGAGATGCTGCAAAGTGGTTACATGGAGCCTAACTCTTGCCCTCACTGGGACACCACCTGTGGCTGCTTCTGGTTTGTGCAAGCTTCGTTCAGTGAACCCAGTCTAGTTCTTATGGCATTAGTGTCCATCCCAAGAAATGACTGTCATGACTAACTCTACTGATAACCATCTTAGGAATCACGGAGAAATAGATATCAAGACAAAGTTTCCTGAGATAATCATCTTAACCAGGTAAACATATCTGCCTCTCAGATTATACAAACCCAAGACTCAAACAGCCATCGGGCCACTCTCACTGTGAGCTGGCAACACACACCAGAAGGAGCAGAGCTGCTTAGCCAAGTAAGTGGACCACAGTCCTATAGCAAGAAGCCTCCTAGTAGCTACTTCCCAGAATCACCTTGACTTTGGGCTAAGAAATGCTCCTTCAAGTGCCCCAGGACTCAATGTTGTGCCATACTTCAGTAGAAGCAAGACTTTCCCAGAGCAAACCCATAAAACCAGGATTTGTTTACTAAATGTGACCACAGGGAGAGAACATGCTCACCAAGGCATCAGAGAAGCAGCACGGGTTACATTCGCACTGAAAAAGTTGCCTTAGACACAGGTGTGAAGAATGAAACAAAATGCAGACTTGAAAGCAAGACACATGTTGACCATTTCCAGTTAGTGAATACATACTGCTCTCTTACTGGCAAAATTACAGCTTTGATGTCTTATCCAGCATAGAATAGCAATTAGTACAATTACATCTTACAAGTCATGAACAAAACCTGACCGACGCATGGTGCGGTTGCTAGTCTGCATTTAGACTGGGCACGTCCATAATTTGAGCCTGTTTCTGAAACATTCTAAGCACCATCAGCTCCTTCTAAGGTCAACGAAAATCGTGGATACCTTGTACTTTGCAGAGTGGAGCCCCTGAGATACAGAGAAACATTAAATCTAAATGCTTCCATCCCATGCCAATTAGGCTGTCAGTTTGTCTCCTTAGAAGAGAGATGATGTAGTGAAGGTGGAAAGAATCACAAAAAAAGCAAATGCATCTAAGTCAACCCATCATCAAAGACAGAACATAGTAAAAGTCATAGCCAGAGGAGTTACACTTCAACATCACCGTGTCACTTGATCAGGCTCCAAGACCAACAAACATCTCCGTTATCTCAGAGGTGGGAGTGAGAGGTGTCTCAAGGACACCTTCCTTGGTCCAGGCAGCAAAATATCAAGTGATTCATTCAATATTTTCTTTTTCCCTGACATGCAGGACCTCAGCCATAACAGCTCCTGGGAAGGGATCACGCATGGTTTCCCCAACATTAAACAGTGTTTGAAAGAAGCGCACTCACCCCAGCTCTTCACAGAAGCTCACGATGGCATCAAAAGCCGTCATCACAGCTTTGTCAGATTCTTTTAAGGTGCCTTTTTTTTCCTGAAAGTAGACAGGAGCAATAACTATAGTTTTCAATTTAAATATAAAGAGATAAAGTAACTCTAACGATGACCAAATCCAACCCTTCTGATCACTACGGCAAACAGGTACAGACACCACCCTGTCTCTGCTCCACGGGCCTCTCTAAAAGCTGGAGCTGGGTCTGGCAGCCCTTTCCCTTCCCACTTCACTCCCTTCTGCTGTCCCTTGAAACAGGGCTGCAGACAGCTTTAGACCCAAAAAACCTCATTTCATCTCTGCATATTTGGAGGTCACTGCAGGCAAGAGGCAAACCAGATCAGAGCAAAGGCAGCGTATCTAGGCAGGTGGCTACTCTTCTGCAGATCTTACTTGGATGTTAGAAAGCTCCTTCTTAATCAGGAAGCTGACTTGATCCCGGTCATTTCTTGAGTAATAGAGGCGGCAGCAGGATGGCTTCCCATCTCTCCCAGCTCTGCCAGATTCCTGGTAATATCCAGCCATTGACTTCGCAATATTCCAATGGGCAACAAACCTGCATGTGAGAAGACAACAGGAAACATGAGGCTGCCGTTTCTCAGATCACAGCATACATGATTGTGCTGTTTGTGGACATCCACAACAGTAAAAAAAGAGGGTAATAAAAGCATAAAAGACAAAGGATTTTGCACACAAAGATTTAAGTCCTCTTAACCCATGAGACACAAGGAAAGCAGCAGAGCTGTAAGAAAAACAAATGCACCTAAACAACAGGTGATGAGGATGTCATTCCAGACGGATGGAAATGAATGGGCACATGAATATCCCAAATGTGCACATAATTGCACAGCTATGAAGAGTGAGAATAAGGACACCGATTTAAGGAGTTTGACACATCTTACTATAAAATACATCATTAATAAAAAAGACCTATTTATTTTGTGGAACACAATTTGAACATAGCAGAACATAATCTGAAATACTCAATTTTAAAAAGACACTTTTTAACCAACAAAAACTTTTTCCCAAGAAAATCTGCACGGGAAATTGTGTCTCACCAAGCTCCCTCGTAGATAAGGGCACCCTTCCCAGCCAGCAAATGTGACCACGAATCATTACTAAACTCTGTGTAATCTCTGAAGGAAGGTTTTCACACAGCACTGCAAGGCTGCTTTAACCTTGCTTATACCTGAGCATTCAGCAATTCAGCTTATACCTGTATTGAGAGGATTTTACAGTACAGTAACACTGCCAATGTTTTAAATACCAGTCTGTCTCAAATCCCAGAGGCAGGTATGATGCATATGGGTGTGGCAAAAGATTAAATGACAAAAGCAAGCAAACACGTTTCTTTAAACACAAACACCCCAGGAACAGGCCAGACAGGAAGCAAAGCCCTGCAGATTTATTCCCCATCAGGAAGCTTACTGAAGCAATTGATAAATATTCTCAAGCAAAACTGAAATGGGAGTAAAGAGAGAGAAGCAGATTCCATCAGAAAAAAGAGATAATACCTCTGTTTTCCCTTTTGTCCAGAAGAGTCACCTCTAGAAGTTGTTAAACCTGATCTTACTTGATAACACATGCATGAATACTCAGAACTCTGCCAGCACAGAGCCAAAGTTAAGCAGCAGTGCCTTGTTCCCTGAATGTGGGTACAATGTCCTTTGAACCATTAAAAATATCCTGTGAAGAGTCATTTTAATGCTGTTCCTTGGAAACTAACCAGATTACAAGCATGTTTCAGCCACATTTCACTGTCAATCAGCCCCTATGCATTTTGATTACTCTCTGCCTTTTTTTAACAACCACTGTACTGACCAGGGCAGCGTGGTCTCAGCAAGTCATTATTTCATGCTGCCACCATAGGAGACATCTCACTTCTCCGTTGGGTAACATGCATCAAGCAGTGAAATAGTCTGTCACTGCTCTCTGGGATGGGATGCTCTCTGTCACACAGGGAGAAGGGTGGCACAGTTGTGCACTGACGTGACCACCTCAGTGACGTCCTGCCCCTCTCCTGCAGCGGTCAGAGCAATTGCTTTATGTGGATTTTAGAGTAAAGATCAGGTCTGTGTGGGGTGTTGTGTGAGCTGCACCCCAGTTATCCCTCTACTAAGTGATCACAGCTCCCAGTACTAACTCAGCACAGCTACACCGCGGTGCAGGAATTGTAACACAGAACAATTATGGCAACAGTTAAAAGTCCCAGAGGAACAGCAATTGAAAACATGTGCAAAGTTTCTGTCCTTGGACTAGAGCTGTACTTTTGGTATGGTTAATGCCATTTGTGAACTGCTATTTTTTTCCCCCCATTGCACTGCAAAAGGGGATCTCTAAAAAAAGCTGGCTCTGACTATTTTAGTAGAGGGTGTATGAATTATTTTAGGTGCAGATTTTCTTCCCGCTGTTTTTTTAACAGCAACTATTGCACTAAGAGAAGTGAAAGGGACAGCTGTGATGGCATCGAGATGGTTCTTTTTGAAATCCTGGAGGGTGTGGCAAAAAAACAAGCATTCCTCCAATTTTCTTGGTTTTGAAGATGACTGGCAAAGAGGAGCTCTGGTGCCTTGTTTTTAATTTCTTTACAAAACCCTTCCAGGTTTGTTTTTGCTGCTTGTAAGATAAAGAATCTCCAGCTCTGGTTTTGTGGGTTTTAGCAAGTATTCATCAGGCATTTGCGTCAGATGTATCAGGTAACAAAGACTGAGGCTTTCCCTTCCCACTGCTCAGGTTTCAGCCTCTGGTGGTGCACAACACTCAGCCTCACACACCTGACATTTGCTTTGTCTACTCCCATTCCAAAACTGATGGTTGCGACAATAACAGGGATCTTCTCCTCCATCCATTCATTCTGGACTGAAGTCCTGTCAGCTGCCTTGAGTCCTGGGAAGGGAAAAAGAGGGATGGAAACAATTACAAACAAACAAACAAAAAAAAAAAAAAAAAAGAAAAAGAAAAAAGAGAAGAAACGAGGATTTTTTTCCTCCTCCATTCCCCCACTGCAAGGAAGAAATGAGGATTTTTTTTCCTCCTCCATTCCCCCACTGCAAGCCAACCGCCTCACTAAAACTGACTGACTGATGTACACACTCCTCTCTGCCCATGTTTGAACTGGCCTGTGATCAAGCTGAAGTCAGCAGCAGCTGTTTCTATTCCAAAGAGAAAAATTCAGATCCCTCCTGGGATAAAAGCAGTTGTTATATTTAGACCATGCAAGATCCAACAAACCCAACAGTTCTGGGGTGAAGGGAATGCCATTCCGTTGAAGGCACATACCTCACAGACCTGACACGTGAGCATCAGACCCACTTCAGACAATGCCTAGGAATGATTTCTAGGTAGCCCCAACCCAGGCCTTAAAGGTGGTACGGTTTGGTTCTACCAGCTACTGAGAGATGCAGATGCAGCTTCCACTACCTGCGTGATAGGCCTTGGCTTTCACTCCTCGGCAGCTCAGTTCAGTAGCCAGCTGGTCACACGCGTCCCTCATCCTGCAGTACACGATGCCACAGCCCGAGTACACCTGGGCAGACAGGAGAGAAATTCTGTGACACTGTCTGAAGCCAGTCAACAAAGCTGCAGTCATCAGTATGGTGGAGCCAGGAGGGATGCCTAAAGCTCATCTCTTCTACAATTGAAAGTGCTGTTGCAGCTCAAAAGTAAATCAGATGTAAAGCGAGTTTCCTTACAAGGCCTGACATTGACCAACTGAAAGGTGCTGTTGCAGCACAAAAGTAAATCAGACATAAAGAGAGTTTCCTTACAAGGCCTGACATTGACCAAATACGGTCCCCCAACCCTCTCCCAGTGGGCACAAGGCAAGAAGCAGTCTCCCACCATCCTACAAATAAACTCGGTGCAGAGGCTGTAACTGAGTTGCTGAGAGTTATTTTGGGAATTAGTGTTAGAGCAGGAAATTCAATACAGCACTTCAAATGCTTCTGTTCACCCTCAGCACACTAGAAGAGCCGAACACCATCAGACATACCATGATTGCCTGGGACACGACAAACCAAGACAGAAATGCTAGTCATTCCTCATCCATTTTCTTTTAGACCAACCCCTTTTGAGGGCAGCTCTGAAAGCAACGTGGCCTTCACATTGAATCTATTTTAGAGGAACTAAAAAGTATTCGTGAGCACTTTCCTTCCAGGGACCTCCTCCTTCCCTGCCACAGACCTGTGAGGGCCACACCAACCACTGGAAGGTCCATGACCATTCACGTACATTTTGTTCAATTTAGCCTCTTCCCCAAATGTAAAACCTACCCCAGAGGCGTTCTTCACTTCAAGTGCCTTCAGGCAGAAATCCTTCAAGTTGGCGTATGGATCAGTCAGGAGCTCTTTGAACTGCACATCATAGAACAAGTTAGACCTGAAGCAAGGAGTCTTAAATGTGGAAAGTGGCTGCTTTAGCCTAAGTGCTGCCACAATATCATCCTGGACCTGCTTGGTGGCAGTGGCAGTCAAGGCAACACATGGTGTGTTGGGTATGCGAGTACGCAAGGTGCCCAGCCGCAGGTAGTCAGGGCGGAAATCGTGTCCCCACTGGGAGACACAGTGAGCTTCATCGATTATCAGGTAGGACAAGAGGTTTCGGGACACCAGAGAGTTCAGTGTAGGTTGGAAGGAAGAGGCAGCTGCCATCTCTGGGGTGATGTACAGGAGCTTTACTTGGGGCTTCTCGCTTGCTAAGTCAGCCAGGATGGTCTTCTTTTCCTGGGCAGAAAGTTTGGAGTTCAGAGAGCAGGCTTTGATCTTCAGAGCCAGCAAGTGATCCACTTGGTCCTAGAGTAAATATAAAATTAACATTAAATGAAAAGCAAATGGATATAAAGAAAGTCACCACCACCAAGAGAGACTACTAGGGAGATCCAGGTGAGGCCCCAACTTCCACCTCCAGGATCGAGTCTCAGGACAACATGCACCTACAGTCCGGCTATTTAGAACTTCAACCCTAGATGCCTTTATCTTCAACTGTGAGCACATCTGTCCAGCTCTAACATCCAATTGCATTTCTGTGTATCCATTCACTTTCAGAGATTTTTTTTTGCTGCCAGGGAACACCAGCAGGTATCCATGAGTTCATCATAGCCACAATGAGTTGAAACAACAAGCCACCAATGCATCTCAGGATTTACACTATCAAGTTGTCACAGATGGAAAATGAATACCACCACCCTACAATAACAGTGCATTTCAGTCCAAAATAGCTTGAGGATATTATAAACATAGCTGAGGTAGGATAAAATACAAGAATCAGGCAAATCACCACTGCAACAGAACCAAGTGTGGATGAGAATCATGCCATGAAAACCGAGAAGAAGACATGGCATCACACCCAGATACATCCAGATGAACTCTGGGCAAACAAATTCACCTCCCTACCCCTACACTGAGCTGCTCACTCATGTTTGACTAGCACGTAGTATTTCAGAAGACATGAATAGTCCTGAAAAATGGATCTCTCATTAATTCACTCAATAACTGGTTTCAGTGATTGAATTAATACCCTGATTTAGTACTGACAGGAGACAGTTACCTGAATCAGTGCAATCAGAGGTGAAATGACAATGGTGATGCCCACTGCCAGAACTGCAGGAAGCTGGTAGCACAGGGATTTCCCCGCCCCTGTGGGCATGCAAACAAAGACATCCTTCTCGCCTGCAAAGACAACAGAAGAAAGCTCAAGGCTACTGAGTGGTGGCGAGTTCCCAAGGTTCTCTCTGGAGGGGTGGGCACACCAGCCTGTAACCTGTGACAAACAGCACATGTGTGTGTGTACCGTGTGGCATCCCAGCAAAAGACACTTCAGTTTAAGTTCTAAAAGCACAGCGATACTTTGCGTGCCTGTAATGGTTTCCTTCAAAGAATGTCTGATTGCTTTGTAAACATTAAGAAACAGCCTTACAAAAGTACCAGAATATACACAGAAACCAAGATAAAGAGAGGTTAAACAAGTTATTCATGCTAATTCTTTTCCAGACGAGCTGCTTTCTTTCATCTTACAAATCTCCAGTTACGAAATGAACAGCCCCATGAGAGATCTTTACCACATCCTCTTAAAGCTTATCCCAGAACGGTACCTCGTAAGAAATAATGGCTGGAAATCTCCACCACATTGATATTATCACGCAGTTAGCAACCGCTACTGCACTAAGCAGTGTCCACTTCAAGTCAGGGAGATGCCAGTGTGTGCCATGTTAATAGGGAGAGTCACCCTGCTGCCAGAACAGCGCTTTTGGCCGGCCTGTTGTCAAGAGCACGTCTGCACAGCTGCTGGCAATAGTTGAAAACTGTAACTGTATCCTCAGTGCAGAGTTTGATGCTGTTCTGCTTCGCACTGTGAGACCTGCCAGCGGAGGTGGTGTTTGGCAGCTTGTAAATGTGAGCTGCCTGTCCAACCAACAGCAGTATGATGGTGGATACGTTCACATCACCAAAATCATGTTGCTGATAGCGGCCACCTGATTCAGAGAACAGATATAAACTGTGCCAGGAAATCAAGTCTTCTACTGGTATCATCTCTAACATTGTCTATAACAAGGATGGGTTTACTGTGAAAATGTAGGAATGTAGACAGTTCTGATCTCATCTTTGAGATCATCTTTGATGTCATACACTTGCTGGCAGATATCTCCAGCAAGACTCTATGATCTCAGAGCAGAGCAGGCCTAGGAGGGATGAGTGGTCCTGCCCAGTCCAGGCAACTTTGGTTCCTATTTTCTAGTTGATGCAATAGGGAGGTTACAAAACCAACGCAAAGGAGAGCAGGCTGGGCAAAACTGTGCTCAGAATGCGTGTGCTGTGCATGCTCCTGTGCCACTGGAATGATCTCAGAGCAGAGCAGGCCTAGAAGGGATGAGTGGTCCTGCCCAGTCCAGGCAATGCATCTCCTCAAAAGAGGCCGATACCAACTCCTGCGGTACCTCCCTCACAGGAAGATGGAAAACCAGATGCGTCTCACATCTTTCCGATGCCGAGCCTCACAATGCATCTCCTCAAAAGAGGCACGACACCAACTCCTGCAGTACCTCCCTCACAGGAAGATGGAAAACCAGATGCGTCTCACATCTTTCCGATGCCGAGCCTCACCTCTTGCCACAGTCATAGTTGCGCTTTCCTGCAGGGATGTCTTGAAGGACTCAAACCCGAAGACCTTCTGCAGTGTTTTACGGACCCTGCCTTCCAGGCCCAGGGGAGCCTTGCCGCTCATCTTAGAGAAGCTGCGAACAGGGACAGAAACCAATGCTAAACCCCAACCGCCACCTTCCTCTGGCAGAGGCCTGCCCTGCCTCGTTGCCCTGCCAAGCTCCCCCTTCTTTTTATCACCCCCCTCCCCGGATGCTATCCAAGTCTCCTCACTGGAGGAGACCCCAATATCGTTTATTCTGGGACAGACCCCCCCGCTGAGGCCTCAGATGGGGGGTTCACAGCGGCGAGGGAGGCCTCGCTGCCCTCCAGCCCGCCCTGTACCCCGGGGGATGAGGCGGGGCCCTTATCACCCCCTCCCCGGGCGGGCTGTACCCCCAAATGTCGCCTCACGTCCCGTCCCCCCTCACTCCTGGTCAGGGTCCGGCAGGTGCTGTCGCGGCGCCGCGCGATGACGTCAGAAACAGCGCTTAAAGGAACACGCACCCCCCACTATAAACAGGCCGCGCACCTTTTATCCCTCCTCTCCCTCCCCCGCGGAAGCCCTGCTCCGCCTCGCTGGTTTTCTCCTCTCAGCGGAGCTCTCCCGGGTTAACGTGAGGCGGCTGAAAGCGGAAGGAGACGGGCGGCGTTGCTATGGCGACCGCGCACAGGGCGTCATCTCCGCGCGCCGGACGTCCGCCCGGGCGGAGGCGGAAGATGGCGGCGGCGAAGCGGAGCGTTCTTTCTTCCTTGGCGGTTTATGCCGAGGATTCGGACCCGGAATCGGACAGCGAGGCTGGGACGGCGGGAAGCGATGGGGGAGCGGCTACGGGTGAGGGCAGGGAGGGGGCCGGGGAAGGGAAGGCCCCCCCTCCTGTGAGGGGAAGGCCCCCCCTCCTGTGAGGGGAAGGCCCCCCCTCCTGTGAGGGGAAGGCCCCGCTCGTTGCTGCCTCCCCTTTCCTCATGGTTTTCTTGTTCCTTCCTTCCTTCCTTAGGAGAGAAAGGCGGCCTGGTCTCGGTTGGGTACGGGGATGACGACTTTAGCCGCGTGGATGGAGATGAGGAAGGGTACGAGGAAGAGGATGATGAGAACAGCAGGCAGTCAGTAAGTACCTCTCTGCCCCGAGAGCTTGCCCTCCTCCCTTTCACGCGTTGCAGAGGCTTTTCTCTCTCCAAAGAAAGCCCCCGAGTGGCAACTCATGACAGAACTTGGAATATCAGACTCCTGGTGTGGATTTTGGCACTTTCCAAATACCTCTATTCACTTTGCTTTCAAGTAGGAAGCATTTGCCTTGAAACCCAGCAGCAGCTTGGTGCAGCTCGTGTTGCTTGTTACTAACTGTGTTGATGCCATTTCACGTTTTTACGGGAAAAGGGCTGGTACAGGTCAACAGCCATGCTAAAGGAGAGTTATTCTTTAAGCATAGTTGACATATATGAAAACCTTGTAAGAGGAACACTGTTGCATGATCAGCTGGAGGATTGAAAAGAGTAAAGTTCTGTGATGTCTTAAGTTATTCTTTTGTGTATAACTCAACCCACTCACTACATCAGGTTACCTTGATATAACAGTGTCCTGTCTAGACGTGAGTGGCTTTTGCTTGTCATAGGTGCATGGCACATGTGTAACATCACCTAAATACCAAGATAACCGATGCATCGTGAGACAGGGCATGTAGCTCACTACCTGTAAGTGCAGCTATAACACACAAAAGGATATATAATTCTGTTATCTGTCTTAGGAGCAAAACAATAAGTTGGGGGGGTGGGAGGTTCTTGTCTCCTTTCTTTCTCATCAACCTTTTGCTTACCACCACATTAAGGATGTGTTATCTTGTCCCTGTTCTAGTTATTTCCTCTGCCATGTAGCCAGAAAAACAGGACTGTGTTACTATAACCTTTCCTCGTTGAAACCTACTTTGTGTGCATTAGGTCAGTCTCCTATGAGACTGTTTCTGCCATCTGTTTTCCCAAGTAGCAGACAACAAATTTGTCAGTCTTTCGTTCTTCTTTTGGTTTTCTTCTGTTGCTAACTGGAGAGGGTGCAAGCAGCAGCGTTCAGTGTCAGTCCCTGGTATCTGGCGTAGTGAAGCTTCTTTACTGCTTTACTGTTTCTTCTTTTTATATCCAGAACTTCTATGAGATCCTTCAATGAGATCTTGTCAGTTTAAAGAAAGTGGTAGGTATGATCCAGATGGTTCTCAGGATCAACTGTGTTTAATTAGCATTGACAAATAGGCATGTAAATGGAGCAGCCTTTATTGCATGCACAACTTTCAGTGCGGGCTGTGGCTGTCCATCATCTGGGAGGTACAAGTTTTGTTCAAGTGCTGGCAATCAATGAAGTCACTCCAGTGCCAGCCAGTAGATCTTATGGTCACTGTACAGATGTGTGCAGGTTGCACAGGGTGCCTTCCCCATACTTTTGTTGCAGGAGAGCAGCACTTGTTTCTTTTTACATTGAGTGTTCTTTGACCAGAATTGAGAGCTTCCTTGATATTGCTTGTTCTAGTAGCTTATAGTGGTTATAAGTTGTTTTTAGAAAGTGGCACAAGTTAGACTCAGGTTGTCCTGGACTTTTATCTAAACAACTCTGTGCTTATATTAATTATCTACCTTAACAGTGACCGAAAAGCCTCTGGTTTTTTCAAAGGCAGTTCTTGGTAATTCTTCTTTGTTGGTTGATGACGATTTGGTGATATCCCCTGCCAGGTTAGGAGTTTCTGGGAGTTGTTTCAGTTACCTGCCTGTAACATGAATGATTCAACCCATTGTTGCTTTGTTGAAAGGGACTTTTATCTTTATAATCTAGGTGGGACTGTGGAGGGGAGAGGAATCTCATTTGTGATAAACACAAAGTTATGTGGTACTATGGTCCTTTTCTAGTTAGAAACTTACTGGTATTAAACTGTGATAGTTAAGATTGAACTATTGGCGTATGTGTATCTTCCAGGAAGGTAACCTGGAGAGTAGCTGAAGTGAAAGAGTTTGTCTCACTTCTGTGGGATAGGCATGTCAATTCAGGCAATTAAAACTTACTGACATTATTGTGTGGTCAGTCCCTAGGCTGCCTTGCCAGAACTTGCTTGTGTGCTAATACTCCGAGGTGGGCATTTCTTTGTAAACTCTTCCTTTCAGTTCACTTTTTTGTTTTTCTTCTTGAAGCTGAAACACCAAGTTCTTGTTTTGGGGCCAAAGTTGAAATTTTGTGGCAGAGTTTGGAGGAAAAAAACATTCTGCTGCATTGTGTGAGCATGAAAAACATTTTCTGCTCCTCAAACTTGTTTTGAACCCAGAGTATGTATTTATGTCTAGAAACACAGGTCACTCTAGGATCCCAGTGAGGTAGCCCATGGGGCAGCGGAACAGTCAGCTCACCTGTCAGTTGGGACCAAAGCTGGAGCTTACTTCTCATGAGGTGTCGAACTTGACATGAGGCTAAGTTCAATATTGTAAGCTCTCACAGAGCCGAAACTTGCCCATTTCTTTGATTTATTTCTGGGTAGAAATAAGAGCTGAATGGAGGCTATTACCTAAACAGGTGAAATGTGTTAGTGCTTCCCTTCTGTGAAAGTTCATGTCATCTGCAAACAAAGCTATGAGAGTGCTACAGGAACAAGAACCATGTGGTGTCTGTGGCATCACGGGATCCTTGGAACTTGGTGTTAGGCCAGACCCTCACCAAGCCTGCATGTGTGGATGGATGGCAGGCCAGCTGTGTGTCCTCTGTGTGTTGCTGATGTTTGCTTGGGAATATAACAGGTCTTGCAAATGCTGCTTTTTCTGTGAGTACCGCTAAACGGGGACAAGTGCAAAAAGCCCACCTGCCACCTGGAAGAGACAGAATTATCAAATGATGAATGCTTTTTTTCCCCAGTTCTGTTGCTTCTTACTGTCTAGGTCGCAACACTCAGGAGCTGCATGAGTTTTGCGGGGGATGTCTGCTACTGAGTGATGCCTTTGCCTAAAAAAAATTAAATAACCTCAAAACCAAACAAACACTTCTTTCCCTGACTGCAGGACTTTTTTTCTAGTCATGAGTGGGTGGGGCAAAAGTACCTTCTGTGGAAAGGGTCTTGGACTACTGCTGGGCTGCTGAATGCGAGCCCTTTGCTGTAAGTGCAGTTACTTGCCAAGCCTGCTCTTTAAGCTTAATCCTGTAAATTCTTGTCTTGTAGGAAGATGACGATTCAGAGACTGAAAAACCTGAGGCTGGTGACCTAAAGGTATTTGAAAGTGTGGTATGGCGGTGGGGGGGGAAAGTTCAGTACAAGAGGAATAAGTCTTAACAGCATGGCTTGGTGTTCGTTTGTGACCTTCCGTAGCTAGTTTCATACTTACCCTTTTGTAGCTGTAATGTGGTTTTTTTGACTTTAATTCTGGCTTCTGCCAAAGGTAGTTAACCAGTTAGGCCACGGGCTGAGTCACGATCAAGATCTGCGTTTGTGAATTTAGCCATCTTGTGCATTAGATCTGAGGTAGGTTTTCACCTATTTTGCAGTGATCTGGGAGTGTAGTACTCACTATGAATTCTCTTATGACCATGCCAGCATCTCGCCTATTTTGCAGTGATCTGGGAGAGTAGTACTCACTATGAATTCTCTTATGACCAGTGTTAGTAGGAATACTTTCTTAGTTTAGAACAACTTAATAAATAAATAAATTTCTGCTCCTAGAGGTCATGAAATGTGTCAAAATTGATTCCATTGTCTCGAGCTCTTTCTATCCTTCTGAATGAACCAGTTTTGTAAAAGTTGTATTTAAAATTAAAAAAGTGAAATAAAATCCCCAGTGATAGCTATCATAAATAGTTGAAGTCATCTTTAGCTTGTGATTACATCTTATTTGTGCTGCACAGCAGGTGTTTAACAGCACACAGGAACACACATCAGGCTAAAAGCAGACAAAAGGCCAAATCCATTCAAAACTTTTATAGAGAACTGTGCTCAAAATTTTATGCTAGTTCAGTCTCCCGTGCAATATAAGCATTCTTGTGGGACACTGGGTGAGTGACAATTGCAAAGGCCTTTATTTTATCCAGTAGCTTCCTCAAGGATGCAGACAGTCTCTAAGTTCTGCTGAGGAGACCAGGGGACTGTGCTGCAAACTGAAATTCTCTAGAGCATTTGAATTAGCACAGGGCTTTGATATGACCAAATGAAGGCAAATTAATGTGTTTAGCTATTCTGCTTGAATTAGTTTGATAGCAGCACCTTTTTCCAGTTTCCATGATATTTTTATGGGTATATAGGGATACACAGTTGAAAGTCTTGGCAGCTGTATTGCAGCTGGTAACATCTCTTGCGTCAGTGTGTGAAATGTCATTAATGCCTTTGGCATCAGGTAGGAGCCTCTTGGGAGTGGAATGTGTTGTTTCCTTTGTTGCAAGAAAAAATAATTACCTTTTTTTTTTTTTTTTTTGGAAGAGAGGAAAAGTTAATCTCTCACTTTTATCCTTTTTCTGCCTCTAGATTTTTGCCACTGTGGCTGGTAAGCATGAAGCATGCTAGCAAGATATTTCTATAAAAACTGCTGGATTGAAGTGTGTAGTGTGAAAGAGAATAGATGGGGTTTCCTTAAAAGAGACATTAGGTGTACATCACCACAAACTCTGCTATAGGTCCCTGCTGCA